TTTTATTGGTATTATACATATATACATATAAACTTATACAAAATCCAATACTTAAATTGCACATAGTACATTCAATCCATAAATCATAGATACATTTATTTTGGGCTCTGCCGAGCCTTGGACTTCCTTCCATTCCTTTGGTAAGTATCAAATAAACTTTATGTTCACGTATTTTATCTCTTTTACATAATGGCCTTTTGCTGTTAGAGTTGTTCCAATCCCGCCAGTGTCGTTTAAAGTTTAGTCCCAATATATATCCAATATTTAACCCAATTGTCATGGAATTTCTGTTCATCTTGATCTCTTATTCTTCCTGTTATTCTAGCGAGCTCGGCATAATTTGTTAATTTGATCTGCCAATCACTTATATTAGGTATGGCGTCCGTTTTCCAATTTTGAGCTAACATGATTCTTGCGGCTGTTGTGGCATATAAAAATAGTACCTTATCTTCTTTTTAAATTTCTTTACCTGTCATTCCTAGCAGGAAAGCTTCGGGTTTTTTGGGAAACGTGTATTTAAAGATTTTTTTAAGCTCATTATAAATCTATTCCCAAAAGCCTTTCACTTCACCACATATGGTAGAAGTCACCGTCTACTTCTCCACATTTCCAACATTTTTTGTTCTTTAACCGATAAATCTTAGCCAGTTTCACTGGTGTAAGGTACCACCTATATATCATTTTCCACATATTTTCCCTTAATGCCATACATGCCGTAAACTTCATGTTAATGTTCCATAATTCTAGCCATCTCTCAAAATCAGTGTTATAGCCGATGTCTATAGCCCACTTAGTCATAACCTCCTTCACCTCCTCGTCTTTTGTGTACCACTCCAATAAAATATCGTATATTCTAGACAGTATTTTGTTCTTTCCTTCAACAACTTCCACATTAAATTTAGATTTTTTATCTTCAAATCCTATTTTCTTTTTATCTTCTTTTAACAGGTCATTTACTTGGTGGTATTGCAGCCACCCAGTAAATGAGTTTTTAATCTCTTCATATGGTCTAAGTTTTATACCTTGATCCGTTTTCCTTGTAAGTTCTTCATAGGTAGCATTCTTCCCTTCCATATTAACTTTTTTGACTGTTAACACCTCTATTGGTGAGATCCACCAGGGCCATACCTTCCTCCGGCAACAGGAGCAGGTTCAAATCCTGTTTCATCCATGAAGCTCACTGAGTGACACAGGGCCAGTCAGTATCTTTGAGGCTACCTTGAAGGGATGTTGTGAGGATAAAAGTATGTAGGCGTATCTTGTGCTCCTTAGAGAAAAGGTGGGTATAAATGAAACACATACATACATATATATATTTAAAATGGTTGAACAGATTAATGGAGGGTGATATATCAGTGACATTTAGAGCTAAAAATGGAACAAACGAGATGCATTCTACAGTGGTACCTCAGGTTAAGTACTTAATTCATTCCGGAGGTCTGTTCTTAACCTGAAACTGTTCTTAACCTGAAGCACCACTTTAGCTAATGGGGCCTCCTGCTGCCGCCGCGCCACCAGAGCACGATTTCTGTTCTCATCCTGAAGCAAAGTTCTTAACCTGAAGCATTATTTCTGGGTTAGCAGAGTCTGTAACCTGAAGCGTATGTAACCCGAGGTACCACTGTACTTAAAGCAGACTCGTTGAAATGAATGTACCGAAGTTAATCATGTCTACTTCAGTGGGTCTACTTTGAGCAGGACTATCATGGAATACTACCCTCTGTGTTTCAGGCAGGATTTGTTTGATGGCCAAATCCTGGGGACAGATGATTTCTGGCATGCTATGATTAGCCAGTGCCATCTGGCTGGCCACAGAGATGCAGTGCCAAACCAGATATGTGTCTGAACCCATGGGAAGCACCCCTTGTGATCAATTATGTGATCAAGTATCTAGTCCTGGTTGTAGCTATTCACTGCTTCCTGCACCTGAACTATTTGGGGAGACATTTGTCACCTTGAATTAAACCTTGGGCATTCAGACCGTGATGCCTCTTGGCTGTTCCTCCAGCCAAGGGTTCTATCCTCTCTTCCTGCCCATTTTCACAACAACCCCCACCCTTTTTAAAATTGTTTGCTGTAAACCCTGATTTCGTATTCAGAGAACATTCCATATTGTGGATATTTCCTTTCCTCACTCCTCACTTTGAACTCATTATAAGTAAGCAACAAGTTACAGTATAGAGAAGAGTACAAAGGAGCTATTTCTGAATAATAAAACTGGCGAGGCTTCCAGTTCAGCTCCCAAAACAAACATCCCAAGTTAGCTCATCTAAACCCCAGAAGGAGCCAGAGATAATGAGGGTCTCAGCTCCAGAAAGCCTGGGAACTGTATAAAGTAATAATAAAGATGACTGTGCCCTTGAACATGCACAGAGTACCCCTACGTCACCACTAAATAACCACAGTCAACCCTACAAAGTTAGGGATTAGATAGGAGCAAGATTTCCAGGTTGGGGGTTGGGGATTTTAAGGAGGTTCAAGCATTAGCAAATCTGTTGTGAAATTAGTCTACATCACCTTGATGATGGGACTTGCTCATGCTTTTGTTACAAACTTAGTAAGAGAACTCGTGCAAAAATCAGGATGTGGTGGGGTTTTTTTGGGGGTGTGTGTGTTCAGGGATAAGGACTATTGTGGCAGGAGGACAGGAATGGATAAAGGTAATTAAGCAACCAAACAGACAAGAAATGAGCACCGGATCTGTTTGCAGATACTGTCTACGTGGTTTCAGGGCATACAGTTCCACTATAATGAGGCCTAGAAACTTGAACTAATTTTTAAAAACCCACTGCAAACAGTACCTTCACAGAACAATTATTTTCACATGCACGGCACAGCAGAAGGCAGAATTACCTTTCCTATTGGTCTGGCAACTGGAGCACAAAAACATTCATTTTGCCCAAATGCAATCATAGGAAAGTTGTAAGCTGCCAAAGCTCTGTATGGCAGCATATATGACTCATGCCCCACCGAGTCTCCTCTCTCCATGGCCTTTGCTGAACCTTCTTAGTCAGAGCGACTGCGTAGGAAGAAGAAGAAGAGCTGTAGAATGGATGCTTAGCACACCGTCAGCATCCCAGAACTGGTAACACTCTGTTTTAAGATGAGTTTCTCTCAAGGTCCCTCATCCCCGGGGCCCAAAGTGACTCTCTTAGATTCAACCAGCTTCTCTGCTTCACTTCTCCTGATTGCAGGGAATCTGTTCCAGAAGAGGATCTTGCCCTGGCACAGGATTCCACCAGGGGCCAAGGGTTCCTTACATGCCAGCTGCCAGCTAAGGATCGCACCACTCTATTGCAATCTTCTCTACCAAAGAAAACATGGAAGTGGAATCCATTTCCTTCTGGAATGGGACATGGTGAAATATAATGGGGAGAGGGGAAAAGCTTAAGCAATGTTTGCCCAATTCAAATTTTCTTTAAAAAATGAATTTAGGATTCTCCTAATCAGAATTTAAGTGCTGAGTCATGGGTTTAGCTTTCATAGTGGGAGTAGAGAATTATCAACATTCATAACAGACCCTCTGAGGGTCCCTATTTTCCAAGTACAGTCCTGGATTTACAGAAGCCAGAATGTCCTTGAATGTCCCGCTTTTCCTTAGGACATCAGAGAAATGTTGGAGGGTATGTCATAAGCTGATAGGTAATGTGACTGTCTTCAGATTCATGGACTAATATGTTGAATGGTAGTCCAGGTAGGGAGGGGCAGGTGAAATTCAATTTTGTTGGCATTTTAATGAGAAACTACCCTAATCCACACTTCTCAGCCAATATGCAAAACCAAACCACAGCTCCCCTTTAAAATGCACACTACTTCTAAGGTTGCAGTGAAGTTCCCCAACCCACCAATGTCTACAAAAATGCATTTACAGTCGTACCTTCAATCCCAAATGCCTTGGTACTCGGATGTTTTGGCTCCTGAACACCACAAACCCAGAAGTGAGTGTTCCGGTTTGCAAACGTTCTTTGGAACCCAAACGTCCGACGTGGCTTCCATGGCTTCTGATTGGTTGCAGGGGCTTCCTGCAGCCAATCAGAAGCCGCACTTTGGTTCCCAAACGTTTTGGAAGTCAAATGGACTTGTGGAACGGATTCCGTTCGACTTCCAAGGTATGGCTGTATTAAGGTGGGGTGGGGCTGAAACCCCCCCCCCAATCCCTGTGGTAGGTGAAAGTGTTCATGCCACAACAAGGCACCTATCATGATAAGTAATACACACGAAATCAATAGGGAAAAATTCTTGCAAAAATGTACTTCAGGCAAAGCTCCATTTTTAAAAAAAGTGTTTATTATCAGAAGTGTGCAGTAACATGCTGATGAATTTTCTGGAGAATCCCCCCCCCCATGCAGATTGCAGACCCTCCTAAGTGTCCCTATTTTCTAGTGACATCCCTATTTAGAGAAGCTGTTCCGGTTTCTAATATGATCCCAGAATGTCCCGCTTTTCCTTAGAACACCCCTATTTTCATTAGAGAAAGGTCAGAGGGTATGGAGTTATCTGACCCCTGAGCCGTCTGAAGGCAATCCTGTATAGGGAAGTATTTTTTTTTAATGTTTACTGTTTTATTCTGCTTTAATATATGTTGGTAGCTGCCCAGAGTGGCTGGGGCAACGCAGTCAGATGTGTTGGGGTATAAATAGTAAAATTATCAGTGTGTGGAGTGGGTTGGGAGGACTGAGCCTCTTATGCTCGCTGACTGACCTCAGGGGTGATGGACGACACTGTCTCATCATGGGGAGGGTTCAACTTCCAGGGTGGTCTGTTTCCACACAAGGGACATGTGTGTGTAGATGAGTGCCCATATTGTCCTTGGCCTCAGGCAGCAAAATATCTTGAGCCAGCCTTGGCTTGATGGGGAACTTCAAGTCTTCTGTTCCCCCTTCTTAGCTTCTTTCTTTATACGCCAGACTTGAACCTGGCTGGCCCTTCCAATAGAAGATAGTGTTCTACAGAGTGCAACCTGGGCTCTCCAGGGTTTCAGAGCAAAGGCCTTCTGAGAGATGCAGAGGACTGGACACATGCCAAGAATGTGCTCTGCCACTGAGCTATGGCATCCCCCGTACCTCCCGCAAACCTGCTGTACGAAGTACAGGTGCAATTTGCCTGTCTCCGGAATTGACACCTGGGCTCTTGAACACGCCGGGCGAGTTCACTTTTATGATGCTGGCAGTGACGCTGCCAAAACAATCACACAATTGGGAATCGTCCGGCAAGAGGTGAGGAGCAGGCAACAATTCCACCCCCCACCCCCACCGCCCTTTCCCTCTTTTCATTCTGGTAGTGATTGTCTGACTTGGAGGATTTACATAATGACACATTTATAACTCTTCTCCGTAATAATACGGAAATGGTTCCAGCACGGTTGCGCAAGAGCCGAAAGGATTCTTCCTGCCTTACTGCGTCAGACCCCATTTCCCCCACTGACCTCCTACACACTCCAGGCAACTGTGTGTTTGACTATGCAACAGTCATTAATACCAACACTGCCTCCAAAGTTAACCCATTGTGAGGCCAGCTCTCAGGAAGACACACTTTTAGATGGTGGAACTGGAAGGCTTCTAATTGCCCCAAAGAGAGAGCTATGTGTAGTAAAGTGGATTTAGAAGGGGAAATGGGGAGTCCCCGGTTTGAACCTTATCTCTGATGATGGTAATAATAATAATAATAATAATAATAATAATAATAATAATTTATTTATACCCTGCCCATCTGGCTGAGTTTCCCCAGCCACTCTGGGCGGCTCGCAATTGAGTGTTAAAAACAATACAGCATTAAATATTAAAAACTGCCCTAAACGTGTAATATATTGACCAGCTTCAGGTTTGAGGGGGGCCCTAGTGGGTCCCTTCCTCTCTTTCTCGGTCCCAGGAAAAACTTATTTGGGTGGGGTGGCTGTCGTCTTAGACAGGATGTTAGGTGAGGAGCATTGTGGGAAACTGGACCGGCTACCTGGGGCTGCTCAGAGCACGGGGCCAGAATTTTAAGCATTCCAGGGAGAGGCATCAGCAGTGGGTCTTGCCTGGGCCCTGGCAATGGTCCAAGGATGCCAGGTGACAGCACCAATCCTGTATGGCTGTCACAAATCTGCAAGGAGGCCTTGGGCAAGCCGCCATCTGATCAGCCTCAGACACCCTCTCTGTAATGTGAGAAGAACAAAGCTGACCTACTTTGTGGGGCTCTTGCACCGCAAGGAGGGAGGCGAAGGGCTTTGAACATTTGAAATGAGCTGCGGAAGTCTGATTATGATTCCCAGGACTAGTTCTGTCATTAGGATGGGTGGGGTGTTTGTGCGCATATGGGGAGGACGTCTGCCAGAGCCTGGTCAGTGAAGGCTGGGCTGGGCTGTCCATTATCAGGACTCCAGGGCAAGTTCTGCCCTTCCCTATAAAGGCATATGGTGCCATGATTGCTAAGCAGTTTGAGGATAAAATAGTCCGTATCTATCTTGACTCCAGATGCTGTTGTTTCTACAGATCAGACCAATGGTTGCAACCAGAGCACCATCTAGTTTTATGTTTATTGCCACAGATTCCCCATCCCTGGATGCTGTGGAAGGCCAGTGGTCTGAGAAGGTGGATGAAGTGCTTGGAGGAGGTGTGGCCAACCACACGTCTGCTTGACCTTTGGCTCACCTTGGCTTTTGTTTTTAGCAAGGTGCCTGGGTCCAGGTAAGTGCCTCACTGTGAAAGGGGCTGGTCCCGATTGCCTTGAAAGACGTGGCTGTGTGAGACCACTCCCTGGGTGGACCTCAGGGATTCTAACAGCTACCAGACAGTTTATATATATATATATATATATATATATATATATATATATATATATAAAATCATCTTGGGCAAGGCAATTGGGTGAGGTGGTTGTCCTTCAACTCCAGGCCTGTTTTGGCACAGTGCCTTGGCCAGACCCCTCTCTCTCTCTCTCTCTCTCTCTTGTGTGTGTGTGTGTGTGTTTGTGTGTGTGTAGGTTTCACTATCATCATAGCCATGGTATCCCTGGGGAGAGAGTCTGCCCACTTATGGAACTTTCTCCCTAGGGAAGCTCACCAGCTGCCTATGTTAAGCACCAAGGACTTTCCATCACCAAGGAAAGAGACCTCTCACCCCAAAAAGGCTTTTGCCACTGTGCTTTTCCACCTTCAAGTTTTTAAAAATAATAATAATAATTTTGCATCTGCTTTTGGTATTTTCTTTCTACTTTTACATGTATAAACTGTCCTGATAATTGCACATCGGAGGGAGGTATTAAAACAAATCTGATAAATGAATGTCGAAAAAGTGCTGAATTTTGGTTTCCCCCAGTGAAGTGACCAAAGATATAGAAGGAAGTATTGGGGTGCACTTTGGGACACACCACCGAATTGGGTGCTAAATCTGCCCCCTGGTGACACCAGCCATTGTGAACCAGGCTGCAAAGCCCCATTCTGCCTGTTTTCTGTATCTTGGTCACACCAGAGTGTGATGGATTGCTGGATACTCTAGAACTGTGCTTCCTTTTAAGCAAGCCGCATGTACGGTAAATTCCCACCAGGGGTTCCCTTTCTAAAAGGAGGGTGTTCTGGAGTCTGAGCCTGCCAGGAAGACATTACAGTTGACCTGAAAGCAGCGAGAGCTGGCTGTGATAAATATGCAGTGAAGGTAAAGTGCCCTGCCCATGCTAAGAAGGATTCACCCCTGCTATCACTTAACATAGGGAGGAGGGAGGCTCACTCTGCATTCAAAAAGAAAGGCAATGCAACTGATGGAATCCACATTTTATTCAATGTTTTGAGAAAATTCTGCTGTTTGTGTGTACACAAAGCTCCCCCAGTTATCCTGTGGCAATGGAGACTTTCCCCTTCTGCACTGGGATGGGGGTTCCAGAAAGAGAGACCCTTTCTAACCAGCCCCTCTAACCAACCTATATCTGAGAATACAGAATGCTGGGTTGGAAACCACAGTTTATCCTGTCACACAGTTTGCTCCAGCAGCCAATGGAACATTATTGTTTTATTTTGCAAGTGGTTTAAGCAGAAATTATTTTGCTCTTCCTGACTGCAATTACATTTACAAACATATGCAAGCAATTATTCTTTTATCTCCCTCCCTCCTCTCCCTCCCTCTGAATAATTTCATTTAATAGTGATAGTTTGTTGATTGTTCAAAATGTATAGATAGGGGTCTAAAATTTATCCAGCACTGCCCAATGAATCCTAGTTCCAAACAAGCAATTTTACTTGACTTTGGGGTTTATCCACCAGGTTGTTGTTGTTGTTGTTGTTGTTGTTTACCTGCCTGGGCTTTTTCATGCTTCCTTCCCTGTTCTTTTGGACTATACACCCATGTCTCTCTTTAATGAGGTTGTGGGCTACTCTTTAAGTAAAGAAATGTGTCCTGGGTCCTTGGCACCTATCAGTTTCTCTGGTCAACCCAAGGAAAGGAAAAGGCTATAAAATGCTGTTATCCAAGGTATTTAACCCTCAGCCAATTGAATGGCATTTCCTTTTGAACACTCCCACCTGGCCGGCAGGTGCATAAAAAGAAAAGGGATGGTCCCAGTTGCACAACAGCCACAGCCAGCTGCAGAGCTAAGACTTTCTTTCTTTTTCTCTGGTATTTTCCTAGTCCATCTTTTTTTGGGGATCCGCCAATCATGCTTTTCTGGCACAGCCAACCTGATCATTACTGGCCAAGCCCGGGGGAAGTGTATCCTTGCTCTGGAAGCAACATTATAAGGTGAGAGGCCTTCTTTTGTCTGTCTTGCCCTGCCCTGCATTTCCCTTCCCACCCAACGCCATCCGCAGAGGTCGGGGAGGTGGAAAGTTCATGCAGAAGCCTGAAATTTATTCAGGAAGGGATGCGTAGAATTGTGGCAGGAGTTATTGGTGCCGCTTAGAACCATTCAAACAGCCTCACCATAGAACAACAGCTCATCTAGCCCGCTTCCAACAGCAGGTCTTGTGAAATCTCACAAGCCAAGAGGGATCTGCTATTCGGAGGTAGACTGCCTCTGCACAGGGAGGCTCCACTTCAACTATTCCGGCTGATATCCCCTCCACAGACTCACCTCCCACGGATTTGTTTGTGACCTATTTTAAAGCCACCTACACTAGTGGCATTGCTATGTCTTGCAGTAGTTAAGTTTCCTAAACAAATTCCAGGAAATTAAGCTTCACAGCACAGAAGCCAAGATTCATCCATGTGAGGGAGACTTTATGGACTTGTGAAGGAACCAATGATTTGGATGGATCTCCCGTTGCTTTCCTTCTTGGGTTCAACTATGTTCGTTGGCTCTTTGGGGGTGCTTTGTATCCCCACCTGCAAGACTGCTCCAGCATGCCTCGCCAGTCTCCTCCCAAACTGCTGTCCAGAGTTTTTCACCTCCTGGTTCTCTCTCCTCTGCCCCTTCTTCCTTACTCTCTCCACTCTGCTGCTCTTGCCCACCTCTGCATCTTTCCTCAGCCTTCTATCTCTGCCTTCTGCCATGCTTGCAACTCTCAGAGGGGGTCTCCTCCTCTACTCTGCCTCCCTCTCCCTAACCAAAAGCTTCCTTTGAACCTGCCCTGAAGCTCACCTTTCCTAACACCTCCTCCTGGATCTCTCCTTCATCCAGACTGCAACTCTGCAGAGGTGGATTTATTTTTAAAGTCCAGAAAACCACCCCAGAGGCCTCTTCAAGCCCTGAGTGTGACAAGCGAGCCTGTTGAAGTCTAGATTTTGCAGCCGCCCACAAGTTCTGTTAAACGGTTCCATTTAAGAGTCCAAGGCCAGAGAGATGCAAGAGGCAGGCAGGCAGAAAGAAAGACTTCTGTGACGTACGTCAGGTGGGAGGAAGACAGGGACTGACCCCAAGCCACCCAGAGAGCAACCTAGCTAAATGCGGAGGGTATTGTCGAAAGCCTTTTTTGCAGACTCATGACATGTGAAAACAGGCTCGCACACAGAGAGACTCAGTCGGCAGTCTGGGGTAAAGAATTGCCCCCAGGAGAGCGGGCAAGGAAGCTTTTGTCAAGCAGAAGAGAGCGGTTTCTTTTCTTCCCCCCTTTCTTTCCCTTTGGAGCTGTTAAATGTGCCACTAACGAGTAACTCAGCTACATTTTGGCAAGCCGGCTAATTATAAATTGGGCAGTCTAGTAACCTTTGCTTGCTTTATTTGTAAGACGGATGTGAATGTTGTCAGTGCCGGACAGAACGTGTGAGAGAGATGCTTTCAGACAAAAGCTGTGTTCTACTTAGGGCACATTGAACATTCAGAAGTGGGACGAGGGAACAACAACACCCCCCCCACCCGATGCTTTATGACTCATGATACTCCTACATAGAAAGGGCAAGGATGTAGAAATTAGCAGGTAATCTGCGCGTAAACAAGTAGCCATACTGCACCATCTATGCACAGGGAAGCCACTGTTGGATTCGGCATCCTGACATTTGCACACTGCATGCATGTATGTATGTATGGAGTTTTCAACTGCATTTGAATACAGTCATACCTCATGTTACACTTGCTTCATGTTATGTTCTTTCAGGTTGCGTCCCGTGGCGACCCGGAAGTACCGGAAAGGGTTACTTCCGGGTTTCGCCACTCGCACATGTGCAGAAGCGCTAAATCAAACTTTGCGCATGCGCACAAGCACCAAATCGCGCCGCACACCTGCGCAGATACGGCACTTCAGGTTGTGGGCTTTTCATGTTGTGAACAGGCCTTTGGAACGGATCCCGTTCGCAACCAGAGGTACCACTGTATATATGTTGCATTTATGCCCCACCTTTTCCTCCAGAAACCACAAGGAGGTACTGTATACATTTAATCCTCACAACAAACCTGTGGAGTAGGTTAAGTTGAGAGGCAGTGACTGACCCAAGGTGCGGACTTCATGGCCGAGTGGGGATTTGAACCCTGGGTCTCCCGGGTCTTAGTCCAACACTCTAACCACTACACCAAACTAGCTTTCTGCCTGCAGGCTACTTCCTTCATATATGTGATGTCTATGCAGGAGTTTCTCCCCTCAGCTGAGTGTAAAGTCATCATTTGTAAGAGCCCCTCTCCCTTGCTACCTGCAGGGAACCCCTGACTTTGCCATTCCTGAAACAGGAAGAACCAAACAGCATCTCCACGTCGGCCGAACAGCACTGCCCTTCTTTCCAGTATGTTCTGTGTGCCGTTACCTCTCCAGCTGTCAAGCAGCATGAGGAGACCCTTACCTATCTCAACCAAGGTAAGGTTTAGGGCAGGTGTGTGTGTGTGTGTGTGTGTGCTGAGGATGGAGTGAACTTTGCCTAGATGCTGACCCCTAGCGGTGAACATAAGGCATGGACAGATGTGTTGCCTCTTCAATATACGCAGTGAATAGGATGGTAAGCACCCAAGAAGCTTAAAAACAAACCAACCAACAGCTCAGGCTGGCTTTTACAGCTCAGAATGCTGCTAACAGTTTGCTGAGGTTTCAGAAGGTTTTGCATGGATGCAGACCATGCTGATGGGTTTTGACCTCCAGATATTGTTGAACTCCCAACTTCCACCAGCCACAGCCGGCATGGCCAGTGGTGAGGGATGAAGGGAATTGTGGAGGGTGACACACCAGGGGCGGGGGATCCTTGGCCCTGCAGTTGCTGCTGAACTACAACTCCCATCAGCCCCAGCAAACATAGCCAGGGATGATGAGAGTTATAGCTCATCAACATCCGGAGGACCAAAAGTGCCGCACACGTGAGCAAAAGGCTTCCCATCCACGACCCATGTAAAATTCCTGCCATATCAAAGGCACTAGACTAGAACTCAAGTGAAATTTCAAAATTTTCAGATTTTGCAATTTGGATTTCAGCGTCAAAGCTTGATTCAGAATCCGACATTTGACTGATAGGCTTAAAATTGCATGCTTTCGATGGGATGTTTTCTGGTTGATTAATTATTCAGGTTAACATAAAATGTATTACATCATATTGCAAGCTGCCCATCAGATACTGTCAAATACTAAAGCTACAAATGTGCACAGGAACCTTTGCTAGCCGAATAGCTCAGTCGGCAGAGCGTGAGACTCATAATCTCAGGATTGTGGGTTCAAGACCCATGTTGGGCTTAGATAATCATTGGTGAAAATTTGTGCCTGATATTCCAGATTCTTGACCTATTTTTATACATCAGCCTCCCATTCCTGACATATTCTGCTCTTTTCTAGGGCAATCTTATGAGATCCGGATGCTGTGCAATCCAAAGATGGGAGAGTTTGCAGAGGGGCGCAAGTTACTGAAGGTGAGGATGGAAAGGGAGATTTGACCGGCATTTTAAAAAATCAAAAAACTGGGATGCTCATAATGCATAATTAGCTGATGAAATCCATTGACACAGTATATGTTGCAAAGTTTTTTTGGGGGGAAACAAATTAATGAGTATATAGCAGATAGGTCCAGCTACTAAGTCATAACAGCTAGATGCACAATCTCTTTGTTGAGGAAAGCAAAGGTCGCAGATGCTGGGTGTCAACAGAGCAAGGATATTCCCACCATGCCTTGCTTTTAGATGCTCTCTTCTCATTCCTGCTCTTCTGTTATTCATTTGCTAGCAAAAACATTTGGATTTCTCTTTTCTTAAATCTGAATGTTTTCAACATTCCTCATTGGGAGTGCTTTCAGACCTATGCATTTTAGGAGAAAACGATGCGTAAGTTGTGTTTGATGAATTGCACTTCCCCAGTGGTAGAAGTGGATCCTGGGAAATCTCTGACACCTCCTTCTCCCTGTCAGAGTGTTGTCAGGGTGGTATTCCATGACCGGCGACTACAGTATACTGAACACCAGCAGCTGGAGGGATGGAGGTGGAACAGGCCAGGTGACCGCATCCTGGATATTGGTAAGTAATGATTTGTTTTTTAATTGGGCCCTGGAGATTTTGTGCCCATTTAAATACTTCTGAACCTTGCTTCTTTTAAACCTTCAACATAACCTTCAGCCTTCTGTAACTGGGAATGCTTGATGATGATTTTGGAGAAGATCAGATTGAGTTTTTTGTAAGCGAAACCCAGTCAACAGAACAATGTTAAGGGTCCCCCTTAAGAAAAGCTTCGGCTTCAGTAGAAAATAACGGTAAGTGCTAGGATGCAGGGAACATTTGCCCACTTCTCTGAGCAATGAGAAATTCCAGGGGCACAGGGCTCCCTTGGAAGGAGGTCACTGGTTCACATTACTTCACTAGCGTGAATTAGGGTTATCAGTGGACTTGTAACTGAATGGAAAATTAAAGACGTGTAAGGTAATAAAAAGGGACACGGGTGGCGTTGTGGGTTAAACCACAGAGCCTAGGACTTGTCGATCAGAAGGTCGGCAGTTTGAATCCCCGCGACGGGGTGAGCTCCCGTTGCTCGGTGCCTGTTCCTGCCAACCTAGCAGTTCGAAAGCACATCAAAGTGCAGGTAGATAAATAGGTACCGCTCCGGCGGGAAGGTAAATGGCGTTTCCGTGTGCTGCTCTGGTTCGCCATAAGCGGCTTAGTCATGCCGGCCACATGACCCGGAAGCTGTGTGCCGGCTCCCTCGGCCAATAAAGTGAGATGAGAGCCGCAACCCCAGAGTCGGCCACGACTGGACCTAATGGTCAGGGGTCTCTTTACCTTTACCTTTAAAGATAATAAAGGAGAGAAATTGGAAAACAGGGGTGGGGTGGGGAGTCTAGAAGGGAAGAAGTAGTAAGTAATTTGGATGTTAAATTGTTAAATTATTGAAAATTGATAATAAAATATGAAAAAAGGGAAGGAGGATTATTAGAGTTTTGCAATGTTTGCATTTATTTACAAATGTAGAATTGTGCATAGGTGGAGGGGTTGCTTGAAGACTCCAAAGTCCACTGCTCCCACATTATATTATAATGTATTATTATAAAAGTACATTATAATTATAACATAACAACAACAACAACCCACTCTTTCCCATAAGGTTCCAGGGCATTTTACATCAATTTTTAAAAGAACATTAGAAGCAGTTTAAAACAACTTAGGATCACAAGATCTAGGGGTCAACAAACTTTTCCAGCAGGAGGCCAGTCCACTGTCCCCCTTGTGGGGGACTGGACTATATTTTGAAAAAAGAAGAACGAATTCCTATGCCCCAGAAATAACCCAGAGATGCATTTTAAATAAAAGGACACATTCTACTCATGTTAAAGCACGCTGATTCCCGGACCGTCTGTGGGCCGGATTTAGAAGGCAATTGGGCCGGCTCCGGCTCCTGGGTCTTAGTTTGCCTACCCATGCAGGATCACAAGAATAGGGTGCATCTTGAAAATATAACATCTCAAATATCACAAGGCCAGAGGTGTGTTTTCAGCACTCACCAAAAACTGTGTAGCGAAGGTGCCAGACACACTGCTGTGCGGAGGGAGATCCATAACTTTGGGGCTGCCACAGAGAATGCCCTCTCCTGGGCCGCCCCACAATCTTCTGAGGTGAAACATCCAAGAGAATCCCCTCTGCCAATCCCAGCACCCAAGAGGGTCTGTAGCGAAAGAGGCGGCCTTTCAGGCATTTGGGGCCTAAGTCATTTAAACACTAATGTCAGCAGCTTGAATAGGTGCCCGAGTGCCTTCATGTCCTTTGCCTGAGGCAGGAAAATGTTTGGGGCCTGCCCTGGAGACGCATCACTGGAATATCTGCTCTATCAAGGTCTTTTGACAAGACTAAGAGGCCGGGCAGGTCTTGCCTCAGGGCAGCCCTCTTTGGCAGCAGGTCTATTCACAGAAATCTGGTGAGAAACCCGCCAGGGAAATCTTTGTCCTTTTCTCATGCGTTCTGCTCCTAACCTGGGGCTGGCCGAGATATTTTTATGTCTCCAAATGCCTCGACTCCCACCCTGACATTTCAAGGTTTTCTGGAGCACGCTGTCCTGCTCAGCCACTGCTTCGCCAGCACCGCTTCTCCACATTTATCCGATCCTGCATTCCACTGGCAGAGACTTCTTCTTTGGGGGGGGGGGATGTATTTATACATACAAGACTATCAGTATTTGTGGCACTTTAAAAGAACATCATAAAGGAAAACAAAAAGGGGTTTTGAGTATAAAATAGTCAATGGGGAAAACAAAAGGGGAAAGCGAGGAGGAGGAAAATGCAGTTACGTGGACTTAAAATTTGGTTACTGTTGGGAATAAAGAGCAAAAAATTCTTAAGGCAAAGTCTCCATGGGAAACTTGAGCCCAGAAGAGGGATTTGAAGGAGGGCAGTAGAGAGACAGGAGGCAACAGCCCAATTTCTGCTTCACTAAAATATTAGAAGCAAAAGACAGTCTATCTTGGGAGGTGATGGGAGAGATTCACTGGGGACATCTAAGCAGAGGCTGAGTTGCACCGAGCAGGGAAGGTGTCGTTGCATCCTGCACTGTGGATCCTGCTCTCAGCAAGGGGGCTCAGATGAGAGGATCTCCAAGATCCCTTTTATGATTCTATGTGCACTCCCAGGGAGGGAGCTCCATGCAGCCCCCTCCCCAAGGTGGACACCCAGCAATTGTTCCGATTGTAAGCTTGCCCTGAAATCCTGACCCCCTCTTCTTCTGATGGCCAACTACAGATATCCCCATGTCCGTCGGCATCCTTGAACCTCATATCCACCCAAACTTGCTCAATACCGTGGAATTCCTGTGGGACCCGACAAAGCGGACTTCTGTCTTTGTCCAGGTAAGCAAGCAAGATGCGGATACCTGCCGGTAGGACTCCTTGACTCCCTACAGTTGCTTTCTCCTCCTTTAGGCCTTTATTCCCTTTCCCCTTAGGCCAGTTTTGCTTCCTCTGTATTTTCCAAGACATACACCATTGGCACTTAATGTAAATACAGTATGTGTAAACGAACCTGTACGCCTTCAGCAATTGAATAACAAGTAGATGTTGTTAGGATAATAGCAGTCAGTGGATGCGAGCAAACACGCGAGTCGCAGTCATAATAGCAGGGGCGGTTTTAGGGTGGCATAACCGGTGCTGGTCACAAAGGGCACCGCACTTCAGGGGGTGCCAAAACAATGCTGTAGAAAGGAGTGTGATAGGCATGTGTGTGTATGTGCGTGCTGAATTTTAGCATTGCTGAAATTTGAGAGCCCAAAGTCCACCTCTGGCAATAGTGCTATAAGTAGGAGCTGCCACAAAATGTTGCAGTGCAGACAAATAGAAGAAGACACCTTCACCCCGGTATGGCTCCCCTTTATCACATACACAGCCCAACAAGATGACGACAAAAATCCACCAACAGCATACAAATCAATATGGCTAACCTGATCCAAAACACCCACCCACCCCACTCACACATGAAAACAAAGACCACCACAGCCAACCACAAATGAACAACCACACCCTAGGCCAACCCCAACCTCTCTCACCACCAAAGGAACACAAGTGAACAGCAAAGAACCTGCACAAGCAACGCTGACACCAAACCCTACATATAGTAAAATAGTAACATCGCCACCTGACCCCACCCCCACCCATCTCCCCACCCCCACCTCTTTCCCCCTTTTCTTCCTAATGTCTCAACAAATGAAACTGATTTGTAAAAATGTTACATGGGGAAAAAATACGAGAGACATTGCACACTTTTGTAAATCAACAAAATCTTTAATAATAATAATAATAATAATAATAATAATAATAAATGTCGCAGTGCAGAAGGACCGGGATTCCAGCCACTATCAATGGGTACTAGATCTGATAGAGATGTTCTTCCTCCACTACTGGAGGCAGGAATGCTTCTGAATGTCAGTTGCTGGAAGAGAGGGCTCTTGTGCTCAGGTTCTGCTTGCAGGCTTTCCATAGGCGTCTGGCTGGCCACTGTGAGAACAGGATTCTGGGCTAGAGGGGCCAATGCTTTTTTAAAAAGGCCTGCTGCACTTTTGCAAGCCTTAGGGTTCCCCAGACATTCAGATACTTCCCCTTGTTTGCATGTGGCATTGTTTTTGGCCCTGAGCATTGGAACTAAAAGGGATGTTTGCTACTACTCTGGCCTTGCACATGGAATGAGCAAAGTTGTTTTGTACAGACTCTTGACTGTAACAAGGCTCGTTTCCACACAGCTGCCCATACTGGAAGAATCCTTGCTCAACAAGCCTGCGGGATAGCTTGGTCAGTAGCGCACGAGATGCTTAATCTTGAGGTTGTGGGTTCGAGCCTCACGTTAGGCAAAAAATAAAATAAAATAAAATCCTTCCTTCCAACTCCACAACTCTGTGAACACCCCCTATTCCCAGTTGATGCTGATTACCCGTTTTCTGACCTTCCTCTTCCCCCACTTTTTTTGGGTAACAGGTCCACTGCATCAGTACTGAATTTACATTACGCAAGAACGGTGGTGAGAAAGGTGTTCCCTTCCGAATCCAGGTGGACACCTTCCGGTCCAATGAGAAGGAGGAACATGTGGAGCACTTGCACTCTGCCAGCTGCCTCATCAAGGTCTTTAAGGTAATGCTGCCTTGCCCAGCAGGAGCTGGTGATCAAACCTAACACACCCACACACACCCCAGAAGCAGGATCCTCCCAGCAAAGAACCCTTGCTACAGAGCTCCTCTTTCAGAAAAATGAAAGCAGGCGTAAACAAGAGAGTGCCTGCTCTGTGTGACTCGAGCAAATAAGCCAAGTTGCATCATGCTACATAAGGCAAAACCTGGGCCCAGTGAATTTGTTGGGAGCACCTAATAAACTACTGTGCCGTTACTAAAACTAAGGGGGTATGAATCTGATTTGGCTTCTGGATGGGATGCCCTTTAAGAGCAAACCCTATGAACAGCAGGTAAGACCTTGTTAGTGGTGCTGCCCAGTTGGGGGCTGTGACAGGGCTTTTTCAGTGCTGGTTCCCTATCTTCATCATTAACTTTCAAGTTGTTGTTGTTGTTTTTTAATCCTGTTTACCCAGGAGTTTGGTGGCTAAAGAATTCTATCCCAGGCAACCCTGAGATCATTGGATAAAATAATGTTTTTGGCTGCTTTTAGATATTTGTTTGTTTAAACTGCAACTGATTTTTGATGTTTTAAATTGTCATTGTTTTTGGAATATTTTAATCTGTTTTAGAATGTTTGCTTTGTCTTTGTTTTGAACGGCACCTTTGTCTCCCTGGGCTCCTTCCAAATATAGGCAGCCCTCCCCCGTTTACATGTATTCAATATGTAAACAACTATGTATAAGCACATCGCACCGAACCCAGAAGTGACCCAGAAAGACATCACTGAAACATTGCTAAAAGGGCAGAACAGGGGCAGGCCAGGGTGTTTGCAGGCTTTTTCAATGGGTTTCAATTATGCGTGATTTCACCAATGCGTGAAATCAGAACGTAAATGGGGGGGCTACCAGTAACTATATACAGGACCATACTGTAAGTGTACGTGAAAATTTGATTTTATAGATATAGCAAATGTATACTTTTCAGCCCAAAGGAGCAGACCGGAAGCAAAAAACAGACCGGGAGAAGATTGAGAAGCAGTCCCTTCAGGAGCGTGAGAAATACCAGCCCTCGTATGAAAGCACCATGCTGACAGAGGTACGAGTTCCCTTTCTACAGCAGGGACTGAGAATAAAAGAATTGTTGAGTTGGAAGTGACCCCAAGAGTCATCTAGTCCAGCCTCCTGCAACACAGGAATCTTTTGCCCAACATGGGGATTAAACCTGCGACCCAAAGAATAAGAATCTCGTGCTTTGCCAAATGACCTATCCCAGCCTTATAACTTGTGGGCCTTCAGGTATCGTTGGTAGGGCTGGGCGATATCAGCTTTTCAACATCGTGGAATATCACCAGCCGAACATCGCGGTCTGGCGATATACCACGATATTGAAAGAAGAAGAAGAAGAGGAGGAGTTTGGATTTGATATCCCGCTTTATCATTACCTGAAGGAGTCTCAAAGCGGCTAACATTCTCCTTTCCCTTCCTCCCCCACAACAAACACTCTGTGAGGAGAGTGGGGCTGAGAGACTTCAGAGAAGTGTGACTGGCCCAAGGTCACCCAGCAGCTGCATGTGGAGGAGGAATCGAACATGGTTCACCAGATTACAAGTCCACTGCTCTTAACCACTACACCACAAGCTGCATTGGCTTCAGCCTCACCCCAGTGCCTAGTGGGCTGGGACAAGGCAGCTTGTTTGTCTGGCTCAGCTGGGGTGCGGCAGAGCCATCTCCGGTGCTCTCCCCATTTGTGCAGGAGCCAGCGCCGGGCTGGGGGGTCCTTTAACTGCTCGGATGGGAGTGGCAACCACAAACTCCTCAGCTGAACAGTTTAAAGATGCAGAGAGAAGAACAAGCTGTATTGGCGCCTCGCCAATGCACTTTTTTCTCCCTCTGCACAGTATGAGGGCAGAGTGGGATGGCGGTTTCGCTCAGTGATATATCGCTGGTGAAACCGCCACAGCTCCTGTGTCCTTCTGCTAGCAACACTTGCTGGAGGAAGTCTCTAGCAGAGGGACTCAGGAGCAATGGTGGGTTCACCGGTCCTGGGCGATATATTGATATATCGCCCAGGCCTAATTATTGGACTGCAGTTCGTACCATCCCTGATGAGTGGCCATGATGGCTGGGGCTGAAGTCCAATTTGAAGTCCAACAACAGGCTCCCCCCATCCCTAGTTAGAGCCAGCTTCCCCAACCTGGAGCTCTCAAGATGCTTTGAACTACAACTCCCATCAGCCCTAGCTAGCACAACCATTCTGTCGGGTGCTGATGGTCCAGGTCCCTTCCCATTCCTAATAGCCCCTTAAGTCCTGGCGTCTTCGTTGATCTATGCTATTTCATTATTCAAATTAAAGCTCCACGAACAGCCACATCTCACACTGCTTTTGCTAGTTATAGGGGCAGATAAAAGGTTAAGCAGGGCACTAAAGCCTTGTCCACTGGGGATCCTCAGCAGCTCATCCAGCATCTAGGTTTTCAGTAGGCATCGCCCACATAACTTCAAGCCTATGATCGCATCCATAAGGACTAGGAACTTGCTTTTTGAACAAAAGCTTTCTGCAACCATGCAGTGCCATGCTGCACACAGCCCTTTGAGAGGTGTTCTCTGAAGTAGGAGGGCTGTAGCCCCAAAGCACCAGAGGATGGGTGAGTGTGTCAGATGTTGCAGCATCCAAGGCCTAACATTTCTCTCCTGGTCTCCTTTTCCAGTGTGCCCCATGGCCAGAAGTTGCCGGCAACCTTCACAGTCCTCCGACCACCCCTGGACTTGTCTCTCCCCATCCCTTCAAGCTTCAGACCCCTGAAAGGTAAGCTGGGCAAAGCAAGAGCCTGTGGTAGCATGAGAAAAGAACCTCATCCTTTCAAAGCCCTGGATGACTCCCCCCCTGCCCCCCGCATTTGTCCCGACTTGCTTGCACAAAGCTCATGCAGAGGTCAGACTATCTCCTGTCTTTATTAAGCATTCCTTCCAGGGCTGTTAAATGACATTGAGGATTCGTCCCAATTTGTGCCAGCTGTGTTTATATGTCTTCCTGTAAACTGTTCATCTTTCCCACACTGTCCAGCGCATTTTCCTGTCACTTGCCTAATCGTGGCGGGTCTCTCTCCCCTCCCCACCCCCAATTTAGCGGATTTGTTGTGCTAGGGCGACAGAGCACTTCAAGCTGCTGTAATCACACAAACCTAAATATCTGGTCTGTGTTTGAATCCTTCCTGCAAAATGCTGACCATTTAGAGGTGGACCCTGGCCATTGAAACTGAATACAGTGGTACCTCAGGTTAAGAACTTAATTCGTTTTGGAGGTCTGTTCTTAACCTGAAACTGTTCTTAACCTGAGGTACCACTTTAACTAATGGGGCCTCCCGCTGCATGATTTCTGTTCTCATCCTGAAGCAACGTTCTTAACCCGAGGTACTATTTCTGGGTTAGCAGAGTCCGTAACCGGAAGCGTCTGTAACCCGAAGTACCACTGTAACCCACTTTTGTTCCTCTGTTTGGCAGGATGTGCTCCTCACCTGGCTACACCTTGGATAGCTCATCAGAGAGCACGGCAGAGGTAAGTGTGGGGGGGGGGGGGAGACAGGAGACGGGACACACACCGATAGGCTGGCTTCACCCTCGTGAAAGTTTTCATCTCTTTCAGTTTAAATGTTCTAGGCACTGGTGCAATCTTAAAATGTTTTTATATGATACACTGAGAAAGCTGCATCTCAGAAAACCACACAGTTAGGTCCATTTTTCTGCAGATCCCAACTGCTTGGGCTCACCCTGAAAACCAGGAGGCGTATTCTAGTAGTTTGCATTTATTTGTTCATTTATTAGGAACATAAGAGCAGCCCTGCTGAATCAGGCCAGTGGCCCATCTAGTCTGGCATCCTGTTCTCAGTGTCCAACCAGATGCCTGTGGGAAACCCACAAGCAGGATCCGAGCGCAAGAGCCCTCTCTCCTCCTGTGGATTCCAGCAACTGGTATTCGGAAGCATTACTGCCTCCAAGCATAGCGTCAGAGTGCAGGGGGCTGGACTAGATGACCCTCGTGGTCCCCCCAACTCTAATTCTGTGGCTAGCAGAGATTGATAACCTTATTCACAATGAATTCGTCCAATCCTCTTTTAAAGACGTCCAAATTGGTGGCCATCACTGCGTGAAGAACTACTTTCTTTTATTTGACCCGACAGGCTGTATTCCTACGCTTAGCATCAGCAGCAAAAAAAGAGAAAAAGTCTGGGTTGTTTCACACCATGGTTTTCAAGCAATGTTCCATTTAGCTTGGGAAATTAACCAGTTTCTCCTCCTTTGCTGAAGAACTGCAAGGTTCCCTCACAAGAACCACCACCAACCACTGAAATAGGCAGCTGCAGAAGCAGGCTGGCAGTCTGAGAGCTCTAGGTTAAAAGGAGCAGTTCTAAGACCCCCCAAACCTCCTCTGGCCTGATAGGAACTGAGGGCGGATCCACACCATTCTTGCAAAGCACCTCCAAGGCACATTTAAAGGCACACGAGTTTTCTGGGAATGGTAGTTTACCCCTCACAGGGCAACGGTCCCCAACATCCTTAAATCACAGTCCCATAATTCTTTGGGGCTTTAAATGTGTGCTAGATGTGTGCAGTGGCTTTGCCCAGAGCCGTAGCTAGGTGATCCTGTGCCCCTGGCAAAACCATCCAGATTGCGCCCCCTAGCCATGGAAGAATTAGCTCTTTCTGCCTCTCCTCCAACCACCCCCTCCACCCATTCAGTTCAGGGACGCGGGTGGCGCTATGGTCTAAACCACAGAGCCTAGGGCTTGCCAATCAGAAGGTCGAGCTCCCATTGCTCAGTCCCTGCTCCTGCCAACCTAGCAGTTCGAAAGCATGTCAAAGTGTAAGTAGATAAATGGACGGATTAGCTCTTTCTGCCTCTCCTCCAACCACCCCCTCCACCCATTCAGTTCACCCTCTATTAAAAACCTTTTATGAGGCAATAACAATATTTTTATTTATAGACATATTTTTTTGCTGATTTTGCACCCCTGGTGGGGGTCCACTTCACCACCCCCTAGATACGGCCCTGGCTCTGCCGCGAGTGTGCAAAATGCCCGGCAATCCTTGGCTGATGAGTTGATTCAGAAAGGGTTCCCTGAAGGCTCTAGCACAGGGGTCAGCAACCAGTGGCAAGGGACTATTTGATGGCAAAGAGATCTGAACCTCGCCCCTGCCCCATAATCCCAGTAGGAGTTTTGCTAGCTTGTGCCTTCTCTTGCTTTGCTTTCCCAAACATGGTATGAGAGTGACGCCTGGTGGCAGCAAATGGTTTTACTTTTACCAGCCGGCATCCGAAAAGGGCATATGCATGTTGCGTCACTGTGCTTAGGAAAGGACACATCACACACAACAGCACCGGATAATTGCCACTGGCTTGTCCAGGTCAACATTTTTGTTGGTCTTGCTCTTCCAAGCAACACCAACGGGAGCTGAGGAGAGAGCCCGAAGGTTGTCATCCCCCCCTGCACTGAGTTCGAAACATGCCACCTGCAGCCCACACCTCGTCCAGGTCTCTGAACTGATTGCACACAAAGGCTCTCGGGAACAGATTTTGAAGATTTTCTTTTTTCAAATTCCCGCCAATGATTTGTCCCGCAGCAGCACAGTGCCATTAACTGCCATCTCTTTTATTTCATTTCATTTTTATTTTTAAATTGAAATCCTAAATATTCATGCAAGTCATCCAGAGACTGGGGGATGGAGAAGGATATAAATTATAGAAATAATATGGGTTGGTGGCATTACAGCAACATCACCTTCTAGGTAGGGCTTCAAGGTTCCTGGGCTCAGTCCTAAAACATCGACATGATACTCCGAATCCAATCACAGATGGTTGCCTGGAAGGGGTGAAGCAGCACTGTTGACTATTTAGCAGGCTCCTACCAAATCTTTTGGCACCAGCCAGCGAAGTGTGGAAGCCAAGAAACTCAAATTGTTCTTATACTTGGGCATTTATATACTGCCTTTGATGTATCTGATCCCCAGTGCCCTCTGGGTTGTAGCTGATGTTGGTTTCTCCATGTTTTTTCCACTCTTCCTTTCAGGCCCTGAGCCCTAGCGCTTCCATCTTGGAAACCCAACAATGGTTACACAAAAACAGGTTCCCCAATTACTCCCGGATTTTTGCCAGCTATACAGGTGAGGCTTTTCCTCTTCCAACACATAGCTCGTCTCCCCCTTGAAATGTTGATTCACCCCCCCGCCCCCGGACAAGTGCCCTTTTTTGGTCTCCCACCAGAACAACCCCCACCCTACAAACATTTTTTAAAGGCATGGAGTAATCTCTCTGTCACACATTTTTAAAGTTCAGAGAGAAAGCCACCGCTATGCACCGCAGAGCAAGCCGAGATTTAGATTGCAATCTCCGCAAGGCAGACGCCCGTCTCTGATTATGTGACAATGTAAAGCGCCAGGTACATTGATGGTGTCATATAGTCACAAATTAATTGGCTGTGCCAGTCCCTGACACCCTGGAAATATTTTAAGGGGCGGAGGAAATTAACTCCAAGGCACATTGTGGAGTGAGTCTTCCTGAAGCTGTGATGGGCTGGACAAAAGCATCAGAATTGACACTGGACCAACTCTGTCTTGAGCCCAAAAAAGCTCATTTGGTAGAGCATGAGACTCTCAGTCTGAGGGTTGTGGGTTCGAGCCCTGCAATGGGTGAAAGATTCCTGAATTTCAGGGGGTTGGACTACATAAATCTTTGTTGTCCCTTCCAACTCTATGATTCCAAGTTATTTTGCTCCCACTGCTGTCCCAGGAAGATGCACCGTGGATTTTGCAAATTCTGAGCAGGGACCATTTTGCCAACAGATTCCTCTCTTTAACTTCCTCCCGCAGGAGCTGACTTGCTCAGGCTCTCACGCACGGACCTTGTGCAGATCTGTGGAACAGCAGATGGAATTAGACTCTCAAATGCGCTAAAGGCCAGGTATGGAATTATGTTAATTCCCCCCTCTGTTAAAATTGGGGAGGGGGGGCAAAGCTATAGGGAAGATTATTATTATTACATCTTGTAAAGAAGTCCTCAAAGTTGCTTAGTGTTGATAAAACATACACAAAGGGTCAGGCTGCAATCTTCTACACACTTACTTGGGAGAAATCCCACTGAACTTAGCCAGATGGGTGGGGTAGAAATAATAAATTATTATTATTATATCAGGATTATGTCTGAGTTAGCTGGTTAGCTCATGGTGCTGCTAATGCCAAGGTTGCAGGTTCAATCCCCGTATGGGACAGCTGCATATTCTTGCACTGCAGGGGGGTGGAAAGAACCCTGAGGGACCATCTGTGATTCTTGGTCTAGCCAATTATTCAACACAGCTTCATGTTTGTTGAATCAGAGAAGGCAGCTGTGGCTTCTTCTATCCCACAACCTTCTCTGGCCTGCTGAAGCAAGCAGGACTCAAAGAGCAAGTGGGGAAATGGGAATGGGAGCAAAAGGAGCAGGTGGAAGGCACCACAGCTGACTCACTACCTAGCTGCATTTCAAAGGTTAAAGGAAAATCTCTGGGCTGTAATCTGGTAGGCCCTTTTTATCATTAAATTTGCATCTCCAAGGAGCTCCAGGTGCATGAGGCATCATCCCATTTGTTAAGGTGCCTCCGGCATCCAAAATTATCTATGGGGCCAGGCACCAGCTAGAGAACCCTTAGGGCAGATGTCATCTAAGATGTGACCAGCAGCTGCCATCTAGACCAGTATAGAGGGTGATGTCACTGGGTTACACTAGATGGTGATCCCAAGGGCAGGATGCTGCTGGTGGCGTGGGAACCTGAAGCAGGGCCTTCTCGGTGGTGGTGCCCCACTTGTGGAACACCCCTTAGAGAGGCATGGGTGGCTACAACACTAATGGGTTTCCCTTACAGGGCAAAGCCCTGAGGATGGTGTTTAGTGCAGTGGGAAAGCTACTCTGCATTAACCCTGACGGCTGGGTTTGATGGGAGGACCTCACTTCTAGAGGGTCATAAATTCTCAGTCTTCGCACTACGCCATCTTACTAGGTATTGGTGGGCTACAAAACTTTGCCTCCCCTCAGGTGTGTGCGCCCTCGGCTCATCCTTTATGTGTCCAGGGAGGTGGAAACAAGCGGGAATGTCTCTCCAAATGAAGCGTCTGGTAAGTCAGTGTTACTTTCCCAAGTTTAGCATTAGAGACCTTTTATCTGGCTCCATATATTTGCACCTGCCAATGGGCAGGAAGAACCTCTCGGTGCTTTTAAATGACATTTTAAAACATCCCACAAGGGACTTGCACACCCTCCCTGGCAGCAATACTAATGTTTTGATGTTTGTGTTTGGCCTGGACATTTGTTTTTGGAGGCACAAATTTCAATCCCCTTTGTTTTAAAGTGTGGGGTTTTCCTTTCTCTTTCCCCAAAGCCCTGTACCAGGAATTGTATCTGGAAGAGCTGACCGCCAGCGAGCTGACCAATAAACTGGCAGAACTGCTCAGCCTCCCAGCCAACCAGATTCAGCAGGTTTCCAGGCAGGGGCCGACTGGAATTCACATCCTTGTCAACGATCAGGTATGAGCCTTATTTTCAAGCCTAATACCATGGCCTCCTTCGGAAAGGGGCCAGAAGCTGTAGAGCTGCCTTGGCCCAATGTTTTGCCACAGGAACCCCAAAGTGTATTCAGAAGCATGAACCAGGGAGCTACAACTGACCTTGCAGCAACCTGGAGCATGTTTAGAACTGGAACTTGCCCCCACATGAAACCATTTTACTGTATCCAAGACTGTTGCTACAACACAGGAGTGTTTTTGTTTTGTTTAAAGAGTGTGCTTCCATTAACATTACTAAAACCCTGTGTAGATCAGTATTATCCCCTTATTAGTTTGCAGGCAGGACAGAGGCTGGTGAGTTGATGATGGAGATATTTCAATCATGGAATGTCTGGTGCAGAAGACCTGAGTAGGTCACATTCTTATGATCAGCTGGATAACTTACCGTATTTTTCGCTCTATAGGACGCACTTTTTCCCCTCGAAAAATTAAGGGGAAATGTGTGTGCGTCCTATGGAGCGAATGCAGGCTCCTTGGCTTCAGCGATAGCAACGCGAAGCCTCCGAAGTGCAGAGGGAGCGCTCCTTCCGTGCTCCTTGGCTTCATGTTGCTTTCGCTGAAGCCTGGAGAGCGAGAGGGGTCGGTGTGCACCGACCCCTCTCGCTCTCCAGGCTTCAGGGATAGCCGCGTGAAGCCTCTGGAGCGCTGCGGGAGGTCCCACTGCGCTCTGGAGGCTTTGGGTTCCTTTTGCTGAAGCTGGGAGAGCAAGACTCTCCTGGCTTCAGCAGAGAGGGAGAGCTGCGCAGCGCCCCTTCAGCCAAGAGGGAGGAGACATGGAAGGGGCTCCGTTTCTCCTGCCACTTCGCTGAAGGGGCACTGAGCAGAGGGGGGAGAATTTTTTTCCCTTGTTCTCCCCCTCTAAAACAAGGTGCGTCCTATAGAGCGAAAAATACGGTAGTTGGTTAGAGCCAGGTGCAGATAATGCCAAGGTTATGAGTTCAATCCCCCGTAGGGGATAGACAAGATGATCCTCAGAGTCATCTCCAACTCTACAAGTTTGGAAGCAGTGCTAAACTTTACAAGCCCCATCTAAGAAACTCTTAAGCATTCAAACTAAACTCTCGAGTCAGATTAAATTTGCATAAATGTATTTTCAAAAACTAACACTGTCTGTGCACGTACACTTACATGCACATGTTATATTCAGAGTGCCATCGGGTCTTACGCTTGCCTGCTATCTCTTTTGACGCATCATGGCCATCTGCCACTCACGACGGCCTGAGGTCTCTGGGGTGCCTTTCTTACACAAACCCAGAATCTCCAAGTTGACTTTAAACCTGCTACTAGGGGTCTGGCCAGCTTCTAACCTTGCCTTGTTGTTCTCTCCTGGGTTGCCACAGATGGTCAGAAATCTTCCAGACGAATCATCCTTTGTAGCAGCTGTAACAAAAGGTAGGTGAGCTTCCCTGTAAAAATGAGCAGAATCTTGTGGCACCACCTTACAAGCCAACTCATTTGTTGTGAAATTGACTTAAATGGGCTAGAGTTCAGTCAGATGTACTCTCAGTTGGCAATCCCCCCCCCGCACATTGGAGGGGGGACCCCCCAAACCATGGAGACACAGGAATAAGGAGAAAATGGTGAAAATCTAACACATAGACAATTGTTCACAAATGCTTGTGCCATGATAATTTGTTAAGTCTTTAAAGGAAGCTACAAATCTCTTTACCATTTTTGTTTTTAGCAGTTTCTCTCCTGCCTTTCTTCCATCATGAAGGCAGATTTTCAGTCAGTCTTCCATGCAGGCACTGACCTGACTCACTCGTTCCAGTCCAACAAGGTTCTGTATCACACGCACTCAGTTTGCAAATCATCTTGTCTCTGTGCATAGACAGATGTGTTTTCCAGCTAAGGATAATTCTTTCTAACAAAGTGGGTTTTAGTGGACAAATCCTTTTGCCACAATAAATGCTAGTCTCTCAAAGGCTCTTCCCTATTCTTTCGGTGTAGTGGACTAACATGGCTTCCTCACCCTGAAAAATCAAAATGAGACGTTTTGGAAATACGGGGGCAGAAGAACCCTAAAGCGAGCAGCCCATTTGAAGGTGGTCCCCTGTAAGCCCAGGAAAAAATGCCATATATTCAGTTTGGTTTACAATATATGGCCTTATAGTCTAGTGATTATACGGACAGGGATCTGAGTTCAAATCATAGCTTTTAAACAAGGAGTAATTTGACAGCCTTGAAGAAGCTACTCCCCACCTCAATTTGCCATTCCACATGATAGAAACTTAAAAGGTGGTGGCAAATAGTTGGTACTAGCTGAATTACTTGGGCAAGGGCACAGAACACTCCTTTGCTGGATCTTGTGCAAGGGCTCACAAAATGCCAGAGTTGGCCCAAACCACCCACTCTGAAATGATCCCTACAAGCCCAGTCTAGCCTAGTCAAGAAGTGCAGGTAGCTTTCCTGGAGTGGCAGCTAGAACCCCCATGCTAATAATTCTTACCCCCTGGATCTGTATGTATGAAAATATATGAAAGCCACCCATTCACTGGATGAGTAAGAAACACTTGGAAAATGATTAATTTGTGTTGTGTGTCACTACAGCACAGAACACAGAAGGTTATCACTTAGTTCTAAAATAGACCCGGACCTCCTAGAAGATGACACGACGCTGGCCTCCAAGAAGATGAGGAGCAAAGGGATGCAGAAGCAAGCATAATAATAATATATATAGAGAGAGAGTTATTAAAAACCACAAGTTCACTGTATCTCATTGAACGCAAGATTTCGCAAGGCTGAACTCTTCAAGATCTGGAGCCGAAGGACCAAACTGGCATTTGTTTGTAAAAACAGAGATCTGCATCGCAACTGAACACAGAAACAGCTTTCCATCTTGCATCTGAAATTTGCAATAAGAGGGAGGGAAGCAAGTTGATGAGCAAGCAGGATGAGTGAGCAAACATGCTTTTTCTTGATAAAGGAGGCAGCAGAGATGTCAGTTATACGTGAGAAAGTATCCAATGGAGATATATTTGTGTATAGGCTGTATAGGATAAAATTTTAAGGTTTTTTTTAAATAATAAAAAAACAAAAAACAAACCTCACAGGCTTTTGCTACAGTATTGAAGTTCCAGCACGGTGTCAGTAAATGGTTAGCAGAACTGCTGCAAAAGACATATGGCTGTTTTTTGGAATATGTTGTCCCTACATAACCATTTTCAGAATGGCTGACCTGCATCTGACACGAGGCCTTGGGAGCAACAGCTTCCTGACAACGCCCACTGCACAGATGGGAACCAGGGATCTAGCTGGGAGTGCAAGAGGTCTCCTAGCTATCTAAATGCTTACACTGCTATCCTTTATGTGGTATAATTAATCAGTTCTCAGGCGCAAGCACATCTTTAATCTTCAAGCAGTACCACAAGGCAGAGATTACCAGTGTAGCTTGCTCAGAACTTCTCCAGCTCCTGCTCACAGCCCAACTTACCACAGGGCACAATCTACTGAATAGCTTGCCCCCTGCAAGCAGAGGCCAATTGTATGTGCGAAGGAGACACCACCACCCCTTCCCCAAAGTGCTTGACAACAGTTTTAGTGAGCATGCATGTTAAACTGGTTCGCTGAGTTTCTGTTGGGCAGGACAATCTGTAGTTAGAATGTCAAGCTGGAGAGACGTATCATCACCACAACTGGAGAAGAGGGCTGGGACAGCTGCACACTTGGCAGAATGAGAATCTGTTAATGGCGCATTTCTTAAAACACCAAATGCTTGACCTCCACTATGTATTCTAACTTTCAGGATATAGCGAGGTCGCTTTAATAGCCAGGCTTGTTTGTCTAGTGCTATCCAATTACAGGAGTCTGGATGTCAATTTCTGTGCGTCAGTTTTATTAAGAAGGAAAGTCAATCAAACATTGAAAGGAGGTGGTTCATAAAAATCTAACGGAAGCTTTAAGCTGCAATTCTACATACTTACCTGGAAGAAAGCCCCACTGAATTCAATGGGGCTCACTTACAAAGTTGCATAGGATTGTGCCAATGGTTACGAACTCCAATGGTGCACTTGATCTGTAGAACAGAAACACAAACTATTCCAAACCACTAGCTTTCAAATGTCTTTTTACAAGAAAGGTATATGCCTTTATACTGCTTAAAGCATTTTTTTCATGTATTAGTATTAACTGCCATCTAAAAAAATAATAATCTATTTGTATTTTGATGTATTTGTCTATGCCTTTTTATATTAAAAAACAGCTGTGATTTACTGCCGTCTGTTACCAGCTGGGTGTTTTTTTATGGTTTTTAATCCTTCCACACTATAGGGGAACAGTAACAGAATTATAAAGTAATCAAGAGTGGCTATTTTTATGTCAGATACACATAATGTATTTGTGCAACCACACTTGTGACCTGGAATTTCTCCCCTTCCACATACGGGAAATCTTCTAATAACCTGGCAAGGCATTGCTGAGTGCACAAGCTTGACTAAACTGATTCATAGCCTCAGTTACAAGAACCATTACAATCTCCCAGTCTTGTATTTGAAGTGCACACTCCAGTTATTTTAAGCACACACCACAACATATAAAGCATGAATGGGACACACATATCATAAGGACACAAACTTGCCAAGGACCTGAGACTGAGAGCAGGTCCCAGGTGAAAATACGCTATAACACAATTTGGTGTGAAAGTGCTCCTCAGGATCACTCCGCTGAAACCCCTTCGAAAGAAGACTGAGTGAATTCATGAAGGATACAGTTATACATGGCTACTAGCCATGATGACTATGTTCTGCCTTCATGGATGGAGGCAGCAACGCTTCGGTTGCTGAAACCTGGGGTGAGGCAGGAGAGAAGAGGGAACTCTTGTTTATGCTCAGGTCGCTTGCAGCTTTCCTCCAGGCATCCGTGGGAACTGGATGCTGGACCAGATGGGCTCATTTTATGTTCTCATAGACACAAGTCTTTTAAACACAGTACTGTGGTTTTCAATCTTAGTGGGCTTTGAATGGCGGCATGGGCACATTTGATTATGCAAACCATCTCATATACAGGCAATGACCTAGTTAGGCACGTCCAAATGACACGTGATCACGCACACATGCATGGCGCTGAACCCGGTAGTAGCCCAAAAATGTCAAAGATCACAAAAACCGGTGGAGCGGACTTGCGGGGGTGGGGTGGGGGTCCGGAACGCAACCCCCAGTGCAAAAACGAGGATCACCTCTGCCAATAGCTCTAATCGCTACGGTACTTGGTGAATGGATACAATCCTTAAAAAACTTAATATTTCACCTAGAGTACTAGTATTACAGCTCCCATCAAATATATAATAACGGCTTATTCACAAAATGACTCTCAAAAGAAATCCCAAGATTATTATTCTGGGCCTACTTAAAGTTCACAAAAAATTCTGCCGCAGGAACAAAGACAAATCATAGAAACAAAGTTCTCACCACAGGACCCTTCACAGCCGCAATTTGGAAACTTTTTCTTTTCTTTTCGTGACCATTTCCCCACATTACAAACTTAGCCGAAATCACAATATTGTAACATGGACAGAAAAAGAAAAGATTGAGCTACATATATATTTATATTTGCTTTACTTTTTGTTAATTGACATTATTATATTCACAATCAAGTGTCCAGGAAAGGTGAAAACACAGTTTACAGGATCATAAAAGTAGTATTTTACAGATATCTCTGTATGATAGTTATGGGGTCTGAATGGCAAGGTTCGGTTCCAACCTGGGCATCCAATATAATTTTTTATGAAGAAATGGAGGGCCTTGTTAATAAAAACAACGTTTGAAGATATGCTGGCTTTTAAAACTGCTCAACATCACATGGAATGTGAGAAGAACTGCACTGCAGCAATCAGAAATTGTGTTTCTTTTAAATTTTTGAGTAAGAAATTAGGAGGAGTCACATGTGAGGGCAATCCTAAAAATAATTTGAAAAGCACAACATTCCTTTAAACACACCAAGAATGATGGGGTTTGTTTAATAAAAAGTGTTCACATTATAGTTACTGTGCCAGAGGTTTCCTGATAGTGGGTGGTACAATCAATTCTACTGTAGGGTTCTCAGTGCGAATGAAATTTAGTATTTAACTATCAAACATCCAGCCTGTGGAATACCAGCCGCATCCTTAATATGTCTAACACAATTATTTCTGAACGCTAATCATCCCAAACTTAACCAAAAGATTAGATCACAAATTAAGGGTAGCCCAGGGCTCTTACTACGCTCCTTCTCTCTTAAAACAGAACATTACTGTGTAAGCAACCATGTCATACAATTCCCTCCCCAACACCTGTCGAATCACATAATACCATGGGCCAGCCATGCTTACCATATTCAGATTAAAAGAGGGGAAACAAATACCCCCCTGGAGTTCATAGTAATAGCCACTGTGGGAATGGTTTCAGAATTGTGACCAGTGGCTGCATTATTGTACCTTGAAATCTAACGAATTCTGTTGATCCAGCGTTCCTCCAAAGCTTGAGGTTCTTCAGAGAACCTGGTTGCAGATGTTAACTTCATTCCCGTTGCCTTCACGCTGGTCTCAAGCTTGTCATAATATGCAACAGGATATAGCAGAAGGCTTACAACAAACGTAGCTTTCACCGTGTACAACTTAATACGGTTCAGGTACAGGAGAAGCCAATGGCGAGGCTGTTAAGTTTTGACATCTGGAGTTTTCATGATTTCCAAAAGGCGAGGAAGGTAAAGAGTAAAAATTAAGAGTGATCGCAATGGCCTTCCGACAACAGCACTCTTCATATACTCGGTAATCAGGGCGAGCTGCTGTAGCTGGAATTTGTGGGAGCACAGGAAATGGCATTTTCCATGTAATTATGGATTTGGCACATCTGGTTAGAACAGACTTTGGCCACAAGGCTATTAAATTCTCGCTGTGTTTCTTCAACACTCAGCCTTCCCATTGATCCTAGAAATTTGACTATCAAATGCAGCTCTCCGCCCCTTGTCTCTCCCCACCCAAACTGATCACCAGCAACCAGGCAGTGGAGGACAGACAATTATTTCATCACAAAAATAGAGTCCCTTACAAAATGGGGCATTTTCATGACACAGTGCACTTCCAGAACTCACTGTATGTATCAAACAGTCAGTTAATACACAGGGAGTTAATACACATTACTACTTCCAAAATTATGTATAATAAAAATATGATCTGATTAATCTGTCCCAAAAAGCAGCAGCCAGATGCTCCCACTGAGGCGATAGCCCTTCTGTTTATTCCCAACATCTGTTATATTTGCCTCTGAAAAGGCATTCTTGACAATCACAGCTAATTCTTGCATCAAGCCATCCTTGCTAACAGATGGGTATGGTTGCTTCTGGGGGGCCTTGGCTCAATAAGAAGTTATTGTGCTTTTTGTACTCGCTAAGCTCAGAAGGCTTGAAAAATTACATCTGCTATTGTTTACTTGCAGGTTTCGTGCAAGTAAAGTGGGGATTCTGCACATGTCATGGGGAACTGCTTTACATTGTAAGCCTTCAGGGTCAATCTAACAAACAAAGGGAACCCCTTCTGAGCATTTATGCAGCTAATCTGGCATGTGGCTGACACCTCGCTGGGTGCACACAATTCAAAATGGGAACCCAGGTCTCTCTCGTTGCAGCTCTATGGACCAGCATGCACTGCTGGTTGCAGTGAAGGGGAACTCTGCCTTCTTCGAAGGTGGCGATGTTTATTTACCCTTCCCCAAGAGACACAGCTGTCTCAATGCGTAATAAAATATAAAGTGACAGGAAGGAAGTACCTAGGATTGAATACCAGAAGACAAGAACACAGGGAGCTCTCATCCTATGCAAAAGCCATTCTTCTAACAAGACAAGCTTAGAAAAATGTGGTTTATTGATGTTATTAATAAATACACTGACAAGGGTGGAGGGGAAGAGAAGGATTTGATTATTGGCTTTAAAAATTCTCAATCAAGTGATATGAATCAAGTTATCTTTCTGTTCTGCCCTTCCCCTGAAAATAACACGGCACCGTCACTTTGGTCTCAACTTCTCTATGTTGGGAAACGAACTGCTGGCAAATTAAGGTCCATTTCACACATTTAGAGTGGCATGCAGACAGTTGCCCTGGGGTGCTATTCTACCTAGTTGGGGAGGCTGAATGCTTCGATCTGGAGTTGGATTTGGTGAAAACAATCCTGCAACTAGCCTTGTCCATATGAATGAAATATTCCCCCCCACACGGACACCCCTCAGTGGTGCGCGACTGTGAGTAAGCGGTTTCCACAACATGACGTGCATGAGATTAAAGGCAGCCCTTAGGGAGAACCACTACTTACGATCGAACAAATGCAAATACACTGCATGCAATGCAGCAAGCACTGCTGCTCTACAATTCCCATTCGTTTCAAGCAGTTTGCACTGGAATAAAGTTGGATGGTCTGCACTCAAGCTTTTACTCCCCTCCTTCCATTCCTAGAGGAAGGTTCTACTTTCAAGAGCAGTGCTGAACACTGACAAGCTGGCAGCACACGCATACGCACAAACACACACTCCTGGCTTGTTCAGGAGGTTCAGTAACATCGCAACAGTGTGTTGTTTCCACAATGTCAGCAATTGCCACAATGATGTTTGGAATTCGAAAGATGGAATTATGCTGCCAAGTTTTAGAAACGAGATGCACGAATCATAGATGGGAGGGGAAGACTATCGACCATATTTCTATGCTGGAGTTCGTAAAATGTTGTGTGTTTTTTTAAAGACACAAAACTCACAAGAATCATCAGTAGATATCTGGGTGGAAGAAAGAAGATCAAAAGTTTTAAAAAAGATTTTGGGGGAAGGAAGGAAGAGGAAAATGCATTATTTTAAAAACAGCTTTCACCTTTTCAGATCTTTGGTAGCAGTCTGAACTGCGTGAAGGCCTTGTGAAAAGCCACATTGGTGGGTTTGGGGAATTTAACACAGGTGTGTTTGAGAGAGAAATCAAGGACTGCTGTGTAAATATGTTTCTCTGGGAGTACTGAGAAAACACAAATCCTCTGGAATCAAAAGAAACCGTGATTACTGCTTTGGGAAAATGCAGAGAACATTTCACAGGACAATTTCCATAAAACAGAGCTGTTCTCCAGGCCCTTCCCCAATTATAGCTACAATTGTCTGAGGTCTGAGATCTTGGCGGGACAACAGAAAATTAGTGAATACCTAATCTCATCATCCAGCACCTAGGATGCTGTCTGGGCCAGACACCTGTCCCATTATATCTTTGAGACCAGCTCATACTATTTGTGCAATTTGTGCTGGGTTCCTGCTTTGGATGGGGACCCTGACACTTAAAAACATTTAGGCCAAGAGTGAAACAGAGCATGCGTTTCCTACAAAGCCTCACAATCTGCCTTAAGAATCCTCATGAGCACTGCTGTTACCGTGGTGGTCTTTTTTAAAAAAAAGAAACCATCTTCTACTCTACGGGCTTAGACAATCGAGCTTTTGAATCCAACCAAAGTGCAGTCAGAAGCCAGCACAGTTGAAAACAAAGCAGCAGATCAGAAGTGGACTGGCAACAGGCTAATTAAAAAAACAAAACAAACCACTCATTAGCAAATGTGGATGTGCTCACAAGCAGAGCAAAGGATTGTACATCAGCAAGGAAGCCAGATTTCTTGGGACAGAATTCTCATTATGAAGGGTTCCCCTGTGCTTTCTGTACAACAGCCAAATCGGCAGGTGCTATTAAGAAAAACTGTGTTTGGGAACTGTTAAGGCGGGAAGGGCAACTTGTGATGGGAAGGGCAACAGGCGACCAAAACGCTGGAATCATTCAAACTGGAGGAAACTGATCTGGTGCTGTGCCTCTGCCCACAAGACCTTTAAAAACCCATCCAGAAATAAAAATAGCTACCCAACCTGGCCCCGCAAGGCATAAAAAAATGGCTCCGGTGCTTCTGAAGAAACAAAATGTACAGTTATTTAATGCTGAAGTGGAAGAATCTGGCCAACTTCCCTATCAGGGTGGTAACTGATTTGTAGGGGAAAACACACAGGTCTAGCGATGGTGCCAAGAACCCCACATCAAATAAAGAAAGATTTTCAAAGGTGGCTCTAATGATACCATTGCATTACTATGGCAAATAAATAGAACAGAACAGCTGTGTGCCATTTCCCATTTGTGCTACACATCGTTCTTCGACGGGGTTACCTTTGAACACACAGGATGCTATGAGCCCCACTTGGACTGTGTTATGGGTTAAAAGAACCTAGAGAAGACTCTCTATAGAAGCAATTTTGCTTTCAGAACTTCATCCCATTTCACAGCTGTGATTTCAAAGCTCGCCCTAGCCTCCTGGTGGTAAAATACACCTTTTAAAAAGGAAAATAGCTTAACATATATTTTATGTTCAGTCATTTCATACAATCTCAGAATGGTTTTCTTAAATAAATAACCCCCCCCCCCCGAAAACCTGGAGATACTGAAGAAGGAAGAGAGAGAAAAACAAAACAAAAGAAAATAAATCAGACCTGACGTTACAGATTTCTAGCTTTATCGTCACAACAATCTAGGAAGCCTCTGAGCCAAATGCTATGGAAACATGGAAGAGAAACCGCTGAACCTTCAACATGAGCATGCTCCGTGGATGTACCGGCACAGAAAACGAGGAAGCACAGAAGCGCAGGAATCAATGTCTCACAATGGCTGCTGTTTCAACATTCCCTAACACAAGGATGATGATTTTTAAAAAGTAAAAAATATAACCATGGGCTTTTAAAGGTTTTAACGTTTTTCTCCTCTCTGGACAGTGGTGGTGAAGATTCAACGTCTTATTTTGTTCCCTTCCTTGGTTATCACCGCTGCTTCCACATTTGCATCGAAGGGTTTGTCCAGTTTGCTGTTTCCAATGTCAAAAGAACGACCCTCTCCCCTCCCGCCCCCCAGCAACAGCAGTTCTTCAGATGTGCGTGATGATCCCCTACCTCCCCACTTTCTCTCCCACCCACCTCCCCATGATTTCTTCTGAGCATGCCCAGTAGGAATGGTTCATAATAATACCAATCCACCTACAAGAGAAAAAAAGGGGGAGAGAGAGAGAGAAGGAGCCCACTGATCCAGCTCCTAAACTCTAAGGTCCTTCAGTTTGCTGGAAGAAGCAGGTGAGAGTGGGTGTATATACTGCAGTGTGTGTGTTTTTGTGTGTGGCTTATGGGGCAAAATCGGGAAGAAACTTCTGCGACCAGCTCCCCCTGCTTTGCTTTCTTTTCGAAAGGCCCTCGCGAGAGACCACCGGCATCACTTTTGTCGTGTGGAGATACTGGTGTCCACTGTTACTTCTAGAAGGGTAATTTAAATACTCAGTTTTTGTTTTGCACAAGGTAGATTGGCTCCCGCGTCATAGGATGATGCAGCATCTGCAGAAGCGCTGTCTGCTGCCCCCCACAGATGGTGGTGGGGTCACGGGTGCGAAGTAGGCGTGGACTTTAATATTGGGTAAGTGGGTCTGAAAAGACAAACACATATATTTCCCCATTCAGAAAAAAAATCAGAAAGATGGGGGAGAGCATGGGTTGCACACAGGAGGACGCTGGGCTCATGAGTTGCAAAGCAGATCTCCGCAAGGAACAGGGAGACATTTCAGGGAAGGTGTTGGTTTTCCCCTCATTCTTCCCACCCTTTTCCCCACCCTGTAACTGGCATATCAACATTTGCCAGTTTTCTTCCTAGCCTGCCACTGTTCTGCTGGCCAGTGAAGGGAACCCCTTAATTCTATATAGGCTTCTAACATATTGTAGATTTGTAGGCCTCGCTTAGGAATACACAGGTGGCTGCCAAGAACTGAAAAACTCCCTGAACTCTGCATCCCGTTTTAAGTAGGCTCTTCGTTGATCTGCCTCTTCCTATTCCAGTCCAACAAGGGGCTGAGTATATTGTGTGCCCCCCCCCCCCACTACACCAGAAAGAAATATATCATTTCTACATCTAGGAAAAACCAAATTTCTTAGCTTAAATATTAGGAAAGTCTGAATATATTTGTGGGTTTAGGCAAGGAGTTATAAAGGGCCACAGAAGCTGCAACTCTTGACCTGCTCAGTCTGGCCACTGGAAAGAGTGAATACTAAAGTTCTCTCATAATAGTTGAGGGTGCCCAGGAACTGAGCAAAGTGGCTCGGAAAAGAGGCTACGTATTGTGAATGAGAGACAGACTCTGCCTTCTCTAACGTGGGGAATTTCCTGGTTGAAAGTTCCCAGTTGTCAATGCCCGAACCCTGCAGGTAATTCCCACATTGACACCACAGAGGGCTATGTGTGAAGTTCTTTCTCACTCCCCTCAAAATAAACTTAAGACTTTGATGTACTAGGCAGCATGTCCTTAGTCTTAGCAGGGGGTAGGGAGGTGGTGTAGATTTAACATAAAACCCCACTGGGCTTCCCCCGGCATCATCTTCTGAAAGGAGTCAAACGGGCCCAGGAACTAGCAAAGCGTGCACTTGTGCCTACTTAATAAATGCCGTTTTTTTACCCTGAGTCTCTTGATTCCAGCCCGTGAAATCTGTTGACAGTCGTACAACTCTATCCTCTCCAGGCTGTGGCAGCTCTTGAGGTGCTCCAAGGAGGCGTCTGTAATCAAAGGGCAGTTGTCCAGCTCAATCACCTCCAGGCGGTCGTGGGCGCAGGCACCGTTGCCCAGGTGGCGAATCCCATCGTCAGTGATCAGCTCACAGTGCGATAAGCTCTGCCGCCACAAAGGGAACAAAGCGAAAGCAAAGGAGAAAGAAGCAGGCAGCATTTGCAAAGGTGTTATTATGAGGTCATTTCAAGATGGTGGAGCTACCCCAGCCTGGCAGCGAGAACTTGATATATGCCTAAGTTATCTTCAGCTGAAGAAATTCTCCAGCAACATCTGTGACTGTTGGACCACAGTGCAGTGGTACCTCGGGTTAAGTACTTAATTCGTTCCGGAGGTCCGTTCTTAACCTGAAACTGTTCTTAACCTGAAGCACCACTTTAGCTAATGGGGCCTCCTGCTGCTGCCGCGCCACCGGAGCCCGATTTCTGTTCTTATCCTGAAGCAAAGTTCTTAACCTGAAGCACTATTTCTGGGTTAGCGGAGTGTGTAACCTGAAGCGTATGTAACCCGAGGTACTGCTGTATTCCAAACCTCGGCTTACAGATTTGTTGGATTCATGGATGCTCTCCTCATCAGACGAGCCCCCAACCCCAGCGACCTATGATGTGCCATGCTGCTGGGAAGAGCTTCCCCTTCTCTCCGAATCCCTGCTTCCTCAGCCCTCTCCATTGCCTACTGCAGAGGTGGGGAACTTTCCCCACTCTCTCCTGAGGAACCTTCTGAGGGCCACATGGCAGTGGAGGGTGGGGCTAGAGGCAAAAGTGGGAGGAGCAGTGGATGTAAATGTTACCTTTGTACAGTAGGCTAGTTTCTACACAAACTCACACACTCCTCTTTATCCTCCATCTAGACAAGCAAGAGGCAGCATTATTAAGACTTCAGGGACACATTTTAGTCAATCAAAAACACTTGGGGTTCAAAAGCAACGCCAGTGAGGTATGTAGCCTAGGGAGAGTCCCAAGGGCCAGACAGATAGGTCTGGAAGGCCACATGTGGCCCCCAGCCCAAGGTTCCCCCTCCCCGGCCTACTGATTCTCCAAGTCACTCCAAGCTCACTTGCTTTGTGCTGTGTGTGTATAGTTAGTTCTCTTCTAAACCTCTGACATACTTGCTATGCCTTCATTTAGCATTCACTTTTCCCTTCACACACACACACACACACACACACACACACACATATCTAATCTGTGTTATCTGTATTGTAATAATGAAAAGTGTTTAATTAGTGGTCAAGGCACCTCAAATTATCTCACGAAACCTTCAACAATCCTATTATTATGCATCTATATTGCAGATAGAGAGGGGCAGAAGCCAAGAGATGGTGGTTTAGCTCAGGGTCACCTAGCAAATCCATAGCTGAGGGAGTGTTTTTTATTATTATTGATTAACTAAAATTTAATACAGTGTCCACAAGAAAAAGAATAATAAACATAGCATTGAATTCATAGCATCATTTTACATAATCTTAAAACATTAATGTAGGCTCTCTGCATACATGGCTGCAAAATTAGTGGGGAAAGTTTGCTATCTATTTCCCTTGCATATGAAAAGAAGGGGGGCCGGGTTTCATTAAAGGTGTCTCTCTTTACAACACTTTTTGTGACCCTCTTAAGCCCTGTTAGTCTCTCTGAAATAGCCACATCCCAGATATTTTTGAACCATGTTTCAAGGGGTTAGCCGAGGCAGTATTTGAGATCAAGAAACTTTCTGGCTCGTATATCTTAGCTACCATGCTAGACCAGCTCTAAAAGCTGGGCCGTCTTGTTGACAAAGCTGCTGTCCTGTTCACAGATCCATTATGTCAATGACAGACTAGAAGGTAGCACATTCAGGAGTTGCTTCTTAAACAACCTGTTGCCTTCTTAATCACACTCACAACTTTGAGCTTTTTTAATGACCCAAAATTCTGCAGCTGAGAGAAAAGCACTAAATTTGAAACTCTGGCTCTACCACATTGTTTTGGGTAAGTCATTCTCAGTTATTTTTCCTGTAAAGCTTAAACAACAGATGACCTATCTCACAGAGCTTTGCATACGAGCACATTATTTAGGGGTTCATGCATTTCAATACACTGAATTCCACATCTTAGGGGACTACCTAATTTTCTTTTCCGACTTGGCAAATAATTTAGGAATGCAGTTAACAACGTGGTTAAAATCCATGATTGGGGGGGGGGGGACGGACTCTTGAAGACTCACCAAAACCTGAAGCCGTGGACAATGTATGGAGAGCTGGATTAATGTGCTGTCTGTTATCTGGAAGAGATCAAAAGATACACACGTTTCAGAAGGCATCGCCTAGCCTATCTTGTAGTAGTCCTTGGTCAGGACCAACACCAGAATAATGTCAAAGCTTGAGGTAGGCCTTCCAGATAAAGGCAAATGGCTGCTGGCAGAGTTAACTGTTTTCAGAAGGCTCCCGGAGTTTTAGAATCTCTAATATAGACATTCCCTCTCTCATCAAGTACATACAGAAGTTCTCAAACTACGGCCTGCAAGCTCCATTCAGGAGGCCTGCAGAAAAATTGTATCTGTGTCTGGCCCTGCACTTCACTGATTTTTTTTCTTCTGATGGAGAGCAAAGCTGTTTTGACCAGGGATGGATTTTCAAATTGGCAAACAAGAACCTGGGGCCCCTGTAGGTCTCTGATTTTCATGATACTGTGCCAGTTCACATTGGGATGATGGCACTGAAGAAATTTTTTTTTTCTACTTTGCTTCATATTTAATTCAGAAGCACATCTATCACATTAGAAATGAAAGCCTACAGTTATTCAAACATGAGTTGTGCACGTGCTTTGGTTCACAGAACCAAACAAGTTCATCAAGTGATCCACTGAGACCTTCAGCAATTTTCAAGTAGTCTGAGGAAACAGAAGTTTGAGAATCGCTAGGCTGGATGTTATGGGAGCCATATGGCTACTGCCAAAAGCAGCACCTCTGCACTACCTCTTCCTCTCTCCTGTGACGATATGCAGTAAGTGAGGTCATTGCACTCCAGGTCCCCCTCTTCTTGCATGCAACAGGCAATAAAATAGAGCAGGGAAACTTAGAGTACAATGATGCCCTATGATACTTAATTTCAATACGTCTACTATGAGTGAGATTAGAATTCAATACCACTCTAAGTGGATAGGATTAGTGAGACTATATACTACGATGTCTCAATATTATGGTGACAGGAAGTTCAAGAATATCTTTTCCTTTTTTTGGGGGGGAGGGGGAGATGAGTGACCAAGACCCTCACCAAAGAATTCTTGTGAAAATGCTTCCATGCAGGGATGGATCAACAAACTTCTTTTCTGAGCATTATAGGAAGAGCACAGAAAGAGGAAAAGCACAACTCACAAAACACTTCCTGCTTGTTGGAATGTGGATAAACAATCTCAAGCAAAGGCTTATCTTAACAAATTACGGCATTCTCTGAGTCATGGTCTATGTCCATGACATTCTGCACATGCATGCACACCCACAACCACCCCTAAGAAATGGGATGAAGATATTTCATATACCTGAACACACTCTTCCAGGTCCATTTTTTCAAGCTCATGACAATTCTGGGGAGAATCAAAAACAAAGCAAAACACACACAAAATTAAGCATTCGTTTTTTCAGAAAAGCAGGTATTGATTCTTCCTTCTGAACGCAAGGTAAGATGGCTATAGACTAGTCCCAATTACTTCAATGGGATTACTCCAATGGAAGCTGCTGGAGAAATGAGGCCAACAGGTGTCTTAAAAAGAAACATTCCTTCCACGATCCGAGCCATGATCGGAAGAGGATCCAACTACATTATGGTGCTCTCCTTAGTGCTGGCTACTCTAGAGCAAGTTCTGCTTGGTAGAGAAAGTGCACTGTCTCCCTGATTTGGCTCCAAAGCAATCCCAACTCTGTAGTTCAGAACAGATTATGCAGCTATGGAAATTATCTTATTTAAATGGCTTACTCTGCTCCCATCAACCAGATTTCTCAACGTAGTTTAACTCCAGACCAATCCCATTTCCACCAATGGGATTACTCTGGGGAGTGTCACAATAATCTCTGCATTTAAGGTCTAGAACAGGGATGGGGATGCTTCAGCCCTACAGATGTTGTTGGACCACAACTCACACCATTCCTGACCTATGGTCCTGCTGGCTGAAGCTGATGCGATTCCCCACCCATAAACTCAATGACGGAAGAGATAATGGAGATCAGAGGACAAGATGGTTTTGCAAGGGATGGAAGTAGGGAATGGCTGCCATGAGTTGGGAGAAGGGCATGGAAGCATGACTCCTTAAACAACAGAAAATACGGTGTTGCTTTGTCTTCCATTCAGCCCCAGCCAAGCTTTTAAGATGCTACCATATTGCAAAAGTCTAAAGAGGTGCGTGCTTTCAGACATCAGTCCTGCCAGGTTCTGGTGCTTGTTGAACCTCCATTTCCACGGCTGTTCAATCCAGAACTTGGCTTCTATCCTCGCCCTTAGGTTCTCTCAGGGACAAACTGGCTATGACAGTGGCAGTTACATATTTCTTTTCACATGCCCATCCCCATTCACTTATAAAGCCTTATATAGGGTGTGCAGAAAACATCACCTCCTCTTAGTTCACTGCTCAAACCACTCTTCTCTTTTCCCAGCTTGCTTATGGTATTGAGCCAGGTATGGCATAGGGCATGAGGTGTTTAGCATCTGTCTTCTACAAGGAAGACACCACTCACTGCTTTAAGTCTATGAACAAGCAAACAAAAAGGATCAGATGCTTACCCGAGCCAGCGTGGTAAACCCCACGTCAGTGAGCTGAGAACACCGAGCCACTTCCAATATTCTGCGCAGAAAATAAAATAGAGCAAATTAAGCCTTTGTGCTTTTCAGAAATCCATTTCTGAAATCTCACAAACTTAGTGCCTGTGGAGAAGAAACCCCAAGACCACCAGTTTCAAAGTAGTTGAGGACCTTTCACTTGATGGGCTCATGCTATATATCAGCAATCCTAACAACACACGTCGAAGGGATAAATACAGCTTAAATCCCCCAAGCTACACATTCCCCCCCCCCCATTTTTGTGATTCTTACACTTCCCATAATCGCTCCTGAATACCTTAAATAGACAATTTTTCCCTCTTCTCTATTTCTGCTTGCCCGCCTGTCATATTTGACAAAACTCCTTCAGCTCATCCGTATTTACTCCAAACCCTGAACCCATCAAACCTTTGCAATCTCACTTTCTGATGATCAATGTTGCACAACTTTGTGGGAGTTAAATTGCTCGAAGCCCATCCCTATTGTCCTCTTGACCTAGCTCTGGGAAGGGAAGCTAGGGTTATTAACAGTATTTTAGGCAACCTACGACCATTAGTCTAATTTCAAAAGCTTTCTGTAAGCAATCAGTTCAGACCTCTGGGGAGAGTGATCTGTCCTTTCCCTAGCAGCCTGCTGGGCAGGGAGGAAGAAAGAAAGTGGGGGTTTCCTCCTCTACTTTTTGCTCTGACTTCACACACTATTTCAGCTTGGTCCATAGTGAGCATGTGGCCCCATGAGGGATTTTGGCCCTTAACAGAAAAAAAGTTTGCTTGCCCCTGTTTTACTAGTGGCAGGTTTCATTCTGGACAATGACATTTTTCACAACCTTGAAACTATGAGGCAGATTGTAAGTATAAACAAATGAATTTCTTTTTCTATGACCCATCCCCTTCCACATAATATGCCAACCCTTTTCTGTGAGCCTTTGATTCCTCTCATGTTACCCATTTTTACCCAGCATACATCCCATGTTCACATGCTAACCTTGTATCCTCTCATGCAGCCCTCTAACCCAAAGCCTACTTACCTAAGCCTTGGACAGTTTTGCCCTAAAGCGTTCAAGATGGCGTCGGTGATGTTGGAACAGCCAGAGGCGCACAGAGACTGTAACTTGTGGCACCCTCTACATATTGTAATGAGGCCATCGTCTGTTATTTGCTACAGAAGGAGAGAAGGGAATCAAAGTGAATCCACAGGTCAGAGCAAACCATTGTTTAATGTGAATGAGCAGCATGCTGGTGCCCACTGCTCATAAATTCCCACAGCATGCTGTGGACAAAACAATCTGCATGTTTGTCATGTTGTCCAAACCCAGGCTAAAGGTTGGCTTCCACCAAACAAACCACAAGCAGTCAGTCAAGAACAAATTTTGGTACTGCTTATTACTTTGCTGGGTGGAAATCAACCATGAACCAGGGTTCAGAAGACAGGATAAGCCAGACTCTGGCACGTTTTGTCCACAAAGGGCAGCAAAGGTTGTGGGGGAGGAGCGCAATAGGAACCAGAATGCTGCTTGTTCCCATTAAACCACAGTTTGTTTTAAACTTTGGTTTGATATGACATTTGAACTGGGCTCCAGGGTGGGAGAACCCTTCTGAGTCCTAAAATTACATGTTAAGCATTATTTGGTAAACTCGTTTTAGCAACTATCACATGAAAAAGCAGGATGCCAACTGCACACAGGCTATCAAAATCTGTTCCTTTTTTGGGCTCAACATTCCATTTTTGGCACCACCACAAAATGGTACAGGATATTTTCTCGCAGGACAAAAATGTACTTCCTCTTCCAACTTTTTAAAAATACACACACACAAAAAGTTAAATACGGAGACAAGAAAGCATTCCAACCTGACCAAAAGAATCTTTTCCAGCTTGTCCTGCAAACAAAATTTGAAATGCCTCCCGGGCAAGGGTGAACTCGGACCAGATAGATTTGTCACATTAAATGCTAACACTAGGAGAGTTCTTTACTATATCCAGAAAGTATCCATTGTATGGTCTAGGGTGGTGATATGGTTGCCAACTTGAGATTTTAAAAATATCCAGTCAGTGAGTGGAGTTGGCAAGCTCCTAGTGATCTGAGGGTGGAGCCCATTGGATTTTGTAAGGCCAGAGCAGAGTCAACAAGGTGCCCTCAATATGTTATTGGACTATAACTTCCAGCGTGCTGGTCGAGCATGAGACTCTTAAATGGAAAGAGCTCTCTTCCAATATCCTTTATTCCCCCCACAGGAACTAAACAGGGGAATATCACGGTTTTAGGAAGCCTTCAGTGGCTTTGGGGCACCATGGTAATTCTAACAACGTCTGTATGCCTAGCATACTAGGGGCATTGAATGTCTCAACATGTTTGGAAGCAAAGGGTCAAGAATGGCTATAGGCACAGAGACGCAAGCAACTACAAACACTTGCCCATCCCCTCAGCTACTGACAATTTTTATAGCCAGATTTTCAGAAACATTCCCATCCACCACAGTTGGGATTTTGACCCTATGAAATAAGATGACCATCAAGCTACCAGGACTGCAACTACTCCAAGCCAACAGGGAGAAGCATTTCTTGGGGTGTGAGTGTCACGCTGCATAGTTCATGGCCTCTGCATGTTAAGGAAAACAGGAGCAAATTTGGATTTGTGTGAACCAATTACTTACCAAGCAGGTCTGCAAATTCAAAGTCACCAGTTCAGGACAGTGCGCCCCAATGTATTTGAGAGCTTCATCCTCCAGCTAGAACAAAAATGCAATAGGATGGAGGGAGGGAGGTAAGGAATTTGTTAAAGAGTCAGCGTGAAGTCATATTTTGGGTTTTCTTTTTCAGGAGTAAAATTACAGAAAATCTGGATTCCCAAAAGTTTTTATTTTAAAAAGAAAGGGCTAGTTTCTCATTCTCAATGACAGCTAAGAGCCCATATGGGTCTCTGGTATCTCATGTCACCATGGGACCCACAGCATCTAATAGGCTTTCAAAGCTGGCTACTGCAAAAACTCCCAGCATCAAGGCTGCCATGAAGGAGGGAAGAACAAGAGAAATATTCCATTTCCGCAAGGCCTCCCCCTACCCCATTCTATACCCCCATGAGAACTACACCTTTGTGGCATTGTCGCCCGAGAATTTCTTTGGCTGGGTTCTCAAAATACTTGGCTTCATTATGGATGTGTTTGAAAATCTCATAGTGTAACCACATGGTTCTAGAATCAGAGTTTCTGAATTTTATGGACTGAAGTGCCTTAAATAATAATAAGAATTTTATTATTTAAACCTTGCCCATCTGGCTGGCTTTCCCCAGCAACTCTGGGCCGCTTACAGTACATATAAAAACATAGTAAAACGTCAAACATAACTACTTGTTGGTTTCACATAAACATGCTTTGTTTAAAAGAGAAAAAGAGGCTCTTTTGTTAAGGCAAAAAGAAAAAAAAGGCAACACCCAAGTTATTTCTGCTACTAAAGATGCCACGGATGTCCTTGAATCACGGAGAACAGATGGCAAAACAACTGATAACAAGTGCCTTGCTTCCATCAATATTTTTTCCTTAGCACTCCATAAAAAAGGGGAAAGGCTCAAGCTATTTTAAAAAAAGAAATATGCATTATAAAATTATGGCTGCATTTGCTAAACCTCTCCACTAGAACTTCTTTCTTTGACTCATATAGGTGCAACTATAAACTGAACATCCTTTATCCATGTGGATGCAGATACAGATGTGGATGTTATCTCCGGATGTGCCCTGAAGCTCCCGGATGCATATTTGATGCAGGTGAACATCCTCAATCAGAGGCCACAAGTTGTGTAACATGTGGTTAGCTGCCCACAACTAAACCTGGATTGGGGGCCTAGAAACATGTCTTATGCTACTATATTACAATTTCAAGCTGCTCTAAGAGATCCACAAAAATGTTTGCAAAAATCCAGTACAAGGAAAACTGAAACCATGACAGTGGAAAGCTCCTGTCCTACAAGTGCCTTGTGTCACAGCTATTTTATTATTTTGCCTGGGATTGCTAACGAGGTTGGGATTTTTCCTTTCCCTGTATGAGGTGCCACAACTAAGTCATGTGGCCCATCTCAAAGAACTGAAATTCTTTGAGATGGGCAAAGCACAAAGAACAATGGCCCTCAACTAGTTGAACCAGGTCCCGCCCAAAGCTGAGATCAGGGGCCATCCTGCCCAGAATAGGATTCAACACACAACCTGATTTGCAATTCAGTTATCCAACTTGCTATTTTTACTTTTTAGGCAATTTCTAATTTCAAGACAAAACTTGGAGCATATTTGGATAAAAGGTAGGATTGCAGAGTGTGTTTCAGAATTTCAAATACAGTGGACGTGAGAAATGCTCAGCTTTTCAGTAGAGATGCCCAGGTTTTTTTAAAAAAGGTTGGCTTGGATGCCTCAGTCCTCTTCTAGTCCAACACCTTTAAAAATGACAAATATCCCAGAAGAGAAGTAACCAAAAGTTCCTATACTTAAAAGCCACATGATATCGCCAGACAGCCAAGAACTGCACGAAGCACAGTGCTTCTGCTCTACTTTTCCTTTGTTCAAAAGTAATCTCACAGATTTCCTCCCTTCTTCCCTATCCTCAGAGAAACTCGTGTAGTGCAAATTGCCATTATAACTCTTTTGGATAGGGTAAAATATACAAAGGAATAAATAAAATGTATTCTCTCCTACTTTTCTCCCTCTTGCTTCCAATGTCACAATGTATGACCCACACTCAACTTGATTCTGCTCCAAGTTAAAACAAATGCACTTCAACTCAAGCTTTCTTGAAGCTGCTGTGTCCTCACTGGAGACATACCTGCGTGCAGCCTTTAAGAAACAGAGCTTTGAGTCCACCGCAGCCTCTCACCAAAGCCTGGATGCCATCTTTTGTCACTTGGTCACACCATGATATATTGAGCTGCTCCAGTAGAGGACATCCCTCGCTTGAGAGGTGAGAAGGGGGCAGAGGGGAAAGGCAGACAGAGATGTTAACTCTTAAGGATAAAAAATTCTTGCTTTGGAAACAAGTGAAATTCACCGCCTTGTTTTCCAGTAATAACACACTGAACTCTGCTCTCTGCCACAGCTTCAAGGATGACCACCAACTGAAAACTATAGCAGGAATTTGGTTACAGCATGGTGCTGGTTCAATCGCCGTATGGGACAGTTGCATATTTCTCCACTGCAGGGGGCTGGACTAGATGATCCTCAGGTCCTTTCCAGCTCTAAAATTCTATGAATAATGGGTGTGTGTGGCGACAAAAGCCATGTGGCAATACTGCAGGGAGAAAGGGAATGGGCATGTTTGTATACCATGCATAAGGGCTACTATATCAAAAGGACCTAAACAGGGCAGGGGCTGAGAAGGAACAGACAGCAATGCTACAGCGTGTCTCACATCTGAATCAACAGCAAGGAAAGACCATTCCATTTCTTGGATGTCAGTCTTCTGTGGCATCTCCACTACTAGCATTATTGATCTCGCCTGGTCCACGACTAATTGGGAAGCTCATTCTTTCCCTCTGACTCTGACCCCATGGGACCAGAAAACAGCCCAAGCTTGTACTGATTGTCATCTTATGCCCAGCCTTCCTGGAGTGCCCCAAGTCAGACTAACTAAGAAAGAACAAGGTGTGCCTCTACCGCACCCGCCCACCCCTGTTCCAATTCTGGTCAGCTGCTATACCACTGACACCATGAGCTGGCCCAGAGCATGGTAAAATGAAGCAGGGGTTTCCATCGCAAAGAAATGTGGTATTTTAAAATCAGGGTGAATAAGCTTTATAAAAAGCTACACTCACCTCAGTGCTTTGAGGGACAGGTTGGTTATTGAAGTGCAGGAAGCTAGATCAAGATGTCGGAGTTTGGAGCAGAATTTACTAAGGCTAGTACATGTCCTGGAAGAGAATAGGACACACATAGGTTCATTGCTCTGTCATTATTATTTTTTAAGTAGAAGACATTTAGTGATCATGTGCCTATATCAGAATGGGTCCCTCATTTTCATTGTAGTTGACTGAAATCTATTTCTTTAAAAGCACACTAAGATTCTCAATATTCTTCTTAATTTGGATTTTTCTTTTTAACTATATCATTGCTAAGACGACACAATGTTCTACAGTTTATATTAAAAATTGAGATATATAAAAATTTGGGTGTATTAAATGAGAGAGATTAGATGCTCAGCACATCTGGCCCAGCCTAATCATGTGCCCTCCAAGCTTAGCCTCTGATCCCTTGCCTGTCCGATATACACACAGGGGACCACTGCAGATTTGGTGAAGGTGATGCAACGGTAAGGAAGGGCTTGCTGTGCACCAAGTTTAAGATGGTGTCACCCCCTACAGTGGGACAGGGGTCCCTTGGCAATTTGCCCTTTCTAGCTACCCATTCACAATAAGAACAGATATACTCTGACAGCATTTGAGCAACGAAACATACGACCAAGAAAATGGGGGAAAGTGATTAAAAAGAGCTAAAGAAATACCGCGGAGAGCTGAAATAAATGCCACTTACGCATCTGTAATCTTGGTGCAGCCATTCAAGTTCAACACTTCAATATTTCTGCAGTTCTGTGCAAATGTCCTTTGTGACAGAAAAAAGTACAGTGCTTTTCAGGCTTTTAATGACATACATTTAAAATCAGTGGCACCTGACATTTAAAAGGTCTTACACACCGAGGGGAAATTAAAGCAAATAATGCACATTTGGGGTTGGTTTGGTTTTTTTAGTGATACTTTGAGAATATTTAGGGATGATACCCAGCTTAAAAAGAAAAGAGAAAACACCATCAACAATCTATTTCATGTGTTGGCTGTGATCAAGATGGTAATGTACATGTGGATCTCCCGCTGCCAACTACATACATACTAGGGTGCTTTCATCAGTGTACAGTAGCTGTAGCCTATAGGGGTGCAAGTGCCAGGCAGGTAACTACATGCATCAGCTCCCCTTGCTGGATCTCCAAACTGCTTTCTAACACTGCCTGGAAAAAGGTCCAGCATAAAGAGAAACCCCAGTGCACAGATGTTAAATGTTGGACTGGGACTGGGAGACCAGGGTTCCAATCCCTGTTCAGCCATGATGCTCATCAGGTGACCGTGGGCCAGTCACTGTCCAGCCTACCTCACAGGGTTCTTGCGATAATAAATTGGGGAAAGCCATGAACACTGGCCTGAGGAGGGAGATGAAAACCTAACTGTTAACAACAACAACAACAACAACAACAACAACAACAACAACACCTCCTCCTTTCTGAGCATCAGGAGGAGAGAAAGATTAAGTGTTTTATAGCTGCTCTGCCAACATTCTGCTCTCTTTCCTTGAAGGAGAATCTTTGCATGCAATGTACCAGAAAAAGTGCAATGCACATAGCCCGCATTTCAAGTAACAAAAATACCAGAATGCTATATCCTATTTTAATTCTTCACAGTCTTTTTCTCATCATCCTTACAATGATCCTTCCTGTGAAGGCACTTATGAAGTGAAGGCACTGTGAAGGCACAGATTATGGTAAACCATAATCAATGGTTTACTGGGAACACAGAGGTGCCTCTTGCTTCATTCTTCCTCTTGTGCAGGGCTGGTGCAACAAACCACAATCCCAGGCTTAGAGCCCTGTCCAAACAAGCCACAATCCTTGGCCAGAGATCATGGGGTTTGTTGCTCGAGCTCACACTAGGGAAGTAGGAGCAATCCCTGCACATTCACAGGCAAACCATTAACTATGCCTCAGTTTAAAGACTATGGAACTTAACTTCCAAGTTAGATTCAGACAGCTGCCCAGTTCAGATGTCAGAGTCAAGTCACATTTTGATCATCAGAGATGTGCTGTGGGCTTGAGGAGTCTCTCCAGTTTTCTGATACCATGGGGAGAGAAATGAGCAGAGGAGCTGTAGCATGTTCCTGACAGCCAAGTCATGATTAGGCTGTGGTGTCCGAACTACACCAGTGTGTATGGGGGATGTGTTTGGGTCTCCTGCATCTCACTTTTGACAGGTATAATTCCCTCCAAATTTGTTATGGGAGGACCGGTGGTGCAGGCCTATTTCGAGCAGGTACCAAAAGCCATGTCAAGAAACCAAGCAACCATTAGACAGAAATTTGCCCTATTGTGGTGCTGCAAGAGAACATTTACTTCTAAATAATAACCACCACCACCACCTCAGAAAGAAGGGGAGACACATCTACACATAACCAAGTGGCTGTGGAAGCACAGTGATCTCAATGCTGAAAACCAGGAAGAGCTCAACACCTTGAGAAACAGACAGACACTCTCTGAGCAAACCGAACTAGCAAGAGCAAACATATACACTCTCACGACTGGCTGGCAGGGAGGGCAAAATGAACAGGCCACTTCACCTAAGTGCCTGTAGTAGGTTATTAGCAACAGATCATTAGCAATATATAAAAATAATTAGCAGTTCACCTGTCAGGTAAGGGCCCTGAGCGGTCAAGCTGATAAAGCATGCACTCCTCTTGCCTCTGGTAGCAGAGCCCTGCAAAGCCCTGGGACAAGCTCTAGTTCTGCCCCATGATACTCAGCAAGTCCATGTCTTTCCGGAAGGTTTTGGAAGTGGTCTGGGCAGCATGCATCTTGGATTGTTCTATACTACATTTCCATAGGACTTTAGAAGCAACGTGATCAGAAAAAGAAATAGAGGAAGTTATAGGGAAACTAAAAGGGGGTGAAAGCCCCAGGAGCAGATGGATTGGGAACGGAATATTATAAAGTATTAAAAAATATATGTTGATTTCTAAATTAAAAGTATTATATAATTCAGTAATAGAGGGTGAGAGGATCCCTCCGTGGGAACAATCAATAATTATCTTAATTCCAAAACCAGGAAAAGATTTGAAGGACCCAGGATCGTATAAGCCAATTTCCCTAATAAATCAAGATGCTAAAATATTGACCACAATAATGGCAAAAAGGATGAATAATTTTATTTATAATTTTATAAATAAAAACCTATGTGGCTTTGTGGCAGGAAGACAAGATGTCTAGTTTAATAGGAAGAGTGTTGAATAAAATAGATATAATAAGAAGAAATAAACTGAAAGCTGGTATAGTAGCATTGGATATTTTAAAGGCTTTTGACTGTGTAGAATGGCTGGAGTTAAAAATGTTTATAGAAAGCTTAGGATTTGGAAAATGATTTAAGGGATTAATCAATGAGGAACAAGGCATATGTTGTAGTGAACGATAGTATAACAGAACAAATAACACTAGCCCAAGGTACAAGGCAAGGATGCCCCCTTTCCCCAATTTTACTTGTATTGGTCATTGAAACTCTGGCCAATGTAATTAGAGAAGATGGAAATATAAAAGGAATATGCAATAATGGAAACGAAAAAATAAACTTATTTGCAGATGACACCTTGCTAATAATCGAAAATCTGTTGGAAAATATGCAGGAATAGAGGAACATTTGAAAAAAAATGCAGAAATAATAGGGTCATGAATTAATTGGTTCAAATAAGAGATGTTAATATTTAACTATGATGAAGAGAAAAAATGAAAATTCTTGAAGGAAATAAAAATAGATATAAAATTAAGAAATGTAATAAAGTACTTGAGAATAACAAGAAATTTAAAAAATTTAGAACAAGAGAATCTTAACAAATTAAAGAGGGAAATTAAGGGAAAGCTGGAAGAATACAAAAAAATTAAAGCTTTCATGGTTTGGAAGAATAGTGATAATTAAAATGAAAATTTTGTCTAGAATAATTTTTTTTATTTAGAATGTTACCAATTAAGATATTGGAGACAGAGATAAAGGGTTGACAAAGTATGATTAATAAATTTTGTAATGGGATAAGAAACCTAGAATTAATAAAAGAAGATGGTATAACCCTCAGAAAACAGGTAAAGTTATATAGCAAATCAGTTAAGATATATCATAGATGTGATAACAGAACAAGGTGAGTTAGAATGGTTAGAGTGGTACACAGGGAATGAGGGAGAAGTTCGTGTATATATTTTTTAGCTAACCAAATAGGCAATTGTGGCAGAATACTGAAAATCCCTTATTAAGAAACATCATTGAGAGATGGGCAAAATATAAAGGAAAATTGATACCAGTAAATTCCCCACTAACTCCGGTAGTGATGATAGAAGACTTCCCAGTAAATTAAAAAAAGGAAATTGAAAAAGAAGCAAGAGAGAAGCAAATACTTAAAATAAAAAAAATGGGTGGAGAAAATGAGAAGAACAAATAAGAGAAGCTCTAACAGGAAGTAAAATAAGTTGGTTTAACTGTATACATGTATATATATGTTGTCTACAAGGATAAAAGAAAATTATTATAAGTTAGTTTGGAGATGGTATTTAGCACCAGTCAGATTAAATCAAATAAAAGAGAAATGTTCAGTGTTATGTTGGAGGGTATGCCAGGAAACCGGGACTTATGTTCACATATGGTGGTGTAAATATGTACAATTATTTGGGCAAAGAGTGTTTAAGGAGATAATAGAAATCACTGGGTCCAGAGGTAGCATGATTATCCATTTGCAATGGAGTGGAAGGTTCACAGGCTATGAAGGAATTGCTCACAAATTTACTGAAAGCAGCACACGCTATTATAGCTAGGAAGTGGAAGGGGCAAGGAGAATATAAAATAGAAGAATGGTTTAAAGAGTGTGGGATATAGCTATTGATGATAAATTAACATGTGCTATTAAGGTAAGATGGGGAATATGCAGGAGAAACGATTTTGAGGTGATATGTAGGGTTTTTGTAGAATTTGTATTGTTAAAACAAAAAGGGGTCAAACTATCACAAGAGGTGCTGAAATTCTGGGAGGGTGGATAGTTACAATAGAATGGTCTTAGGGGTGGGGTGCACATTTTTATTCTTATTTACTTATTATTACTTTGTCAAAATAAAATAAATAAAAAAGAAGCAAAGTGAGACCAAATTTGCACAGGCACTCAGAACACGGTGACTTGCTAGAGGCCTTTCACAGAGCAATGACTAGCCTATAGAATAAGTGGCTATTCCTAGCAACTTAAAGACAAGCTACAGTAAAACTGAGTGAAGTTCCAGTATATTCAAAGGTAAGGCCCTGATTATATGATACCTACAGTTGTGTGGATGCTGGCACCTGGTGGTTATTTACCATGCCTTCTAAGAGGTCAAGCTGTATGCCTTACAAGGAGTTGTTTGGAAGAAGCTATGGGACAGCAGCAGTAGTGCCACTCCAGACGGTGAAGAGGCCAGAGACCATCTTGGCTGTGAGTCCTGGAAGACCTGCTCCCTGCTTTGTAGGCCCTTTCCCACCTGGCCTGGGAGGGCAGGGCCCTGACTGACTCCAGCTACAAAAGCTGAGGCTGCGGAACAGAATCTTGTTTAGGTGGGGTTGTAGGGGGATTGTTGTTGTTGTTGATGATGACGTTATTTTTTTGTATCTTTATTTTGGATCTGATGTGGAAATTATTCAATTTGGCTGTGTACTTTTTGATGTTTCATTTATTGTTCATGGCTATTTTTGTTACGTCTGTAGTTACGTAATCTTTTGTATGTTGTAAGCTGCCTTGAGCATGGTTTTAACTTTGGAAAGGCGGTATGCAAATAAAATGTTTGATTGACGGATTGAAGACCTAAATTAGAATGTGAACACAGGTTTCCTCAATCCAGACTCAGGGACTGAGTGTACGCTGCAACATTTCACTGCAGACGCCCACTTCTGTTCTGTAATTCTGTTCAATGGACTGTGATCCAGCAACTGCAGAATCTACCAGGGGTGCCAACATGAAAGTTGGTGGCTTTCAGGAGAAAATGAAAAGGAAGTATTTCTTGTCCTTACTCATATATTTTCCCAAGGCACTACACAGTGCTAAACAGCTCAGGTTTGGGGTTAGCTGCCAGCCATTAACCTGAATGCTTTAAGTAGGATAGGTCAGAAGGGTGGAAAACAGAAAAGAGGACATGTTTTCTTTTCTCTCTTGAAACTTCTCCATATAAGAGAGGGATTTTTCTCTTTTAACCTCATGGCACACATTCTTTCAATGGTAATCCCCAGTTCTAGGACACTATAAATTGTTATGGACTCAAGCAGGCAAATAATATGTTTCCCATACATTTCCTCATTATTTTCTTTCAATTGATGCTCTCAATGCTCTGCAGGACCTGAAAGTCACTCTTAATAGGTTCTTGTCAATTCATTTCAATTTTTAAAAATTCTTTTAATTTGCGAATTATGCAAGTATGCACAACCCCCACTATTTTTGGTAGGCTCATTTTCTAAACCGATAGAAATGGGACCGCCTAAGTGCGATATCAATACAGGAGCCAATTATTTTGGAAATGCTATAACCTCATTTGAAAGTGGCTCACTGCCCCACCCTACGTGTTCAGGTTCTCCGCTGGATAGAAAAATAAAATTATTTGTGCTTTTTCAGTGGCAAAGCACTTGACCTCTCTACCTTAATGCGTTGTCTCCCACACCTAGGCATCCACGAAGGCTCAGCTTTCGTAAGAAACCCCCACATCTTTTAGAAATATTCTCCACTACACGCCCCTGTAAAAAGACCAGGAAGAGAATTCGATTGATGTGACCTTCCAGAGTAATTAGCTTTGCTTAACTTTCCATGTGGTAAATAACTTTCTCATTTCTTTAGTAAAAGCATCAACTCCCCCCGCCCTTAACCCACTCCTCCCCTGGTTGATACCCTTTTTTTATCCTACCCTCAAATCCTCCTCAAATTTGTGCATTTAAATTCTGTACTCCAGAAACCTGCATTCTGTAGAATGATTTATATGTACTTGGCCCATAATAAGCTGAATCTAGGGCAAGGTCACACAATCCCTGTGTGCTGCTCAGATTCTTCTTTGCTAGTGGCAAATTGGTCATCTGAACCTATAGGCACAAATCATGATTTGACATGCCGCCATTCAACCCACATTCACGGTTGTTTGCTGCAATATACTCTTTTCCCAGTTTGCGCCTGCAAAAGACAGCCCACAGACAACTATTTTACTTAACAAAATATGAGCTGACAGGAGCCATCAGCATGACAGAAAACCATTAGCCAGCCGTGCATAGGGTCCTGTCACCGAGCCACAATAATATTATACTTGGAGAAGTTCAAAGAGCTGGTTTTCTGCACAAAAATCTGACTCGGATTGGCTCCCCATTACACAATTTGAGAACCCCTGGTATGAACAGTATAGCTTTAAAGCTCATGCCAGAAGTTCCTAAGTCATATCAAATGGCACAGATCTGACTGCTGCAATGGGAAATTCGACTACATGAGAAAATAGGGAGCTGCCTTATCCCAAATCAGACCATTGGTCCATCTAGGTCAGTACTGTCTACTCTACATGGACTGGCTGCGGCTCTCCAGGATTTCAGACAACCCTACTTGGGGTATTTCCCAGCCCTGCTTTGAGGTGCCGGGGTCTGAACCTGGGTCCTTCTGCATGCAGGGCAGATGTTCCACCACTGAGCTAGGCTTCTTCCACTTGGAAGCCACTAATGTGGCTAAGAGCCCCAAGGAACCAGAACAGGTTCTTTCCACGGCAACGGTTATCACATAAAGAATAGATTTTGTGCAACTAGGAATGGACCAAAATATTTTGGTGCCTGAGGAAGGAAATCCAAATGGCATCCTTACCAAATGGTTGGTTGTTTGTTTTTTAACCCAAATGTTTTACAATCTGCTGCCCTTAGCAGTACTCCAAAAAGCCCACCACTCAAAATACACTCTCTCACCTATCCTAATGGTGCATTATTCTTGCAAGCGGCCAATGAAGTAATTGCCCAGATCTGCTAAATGGGAAGTTACCACCCCTAGATCTTTCCCCAGTAAAAATATTAACAAGTTAGGGATCCAGGTCTTTGCACACAAGTGAGAGTTCACACACCCACAAACCTATGGGCATAAAATAAGTTAGCGCGGTTTCAGTATCTGAAACCCTGGAGCTAGAAACTAGAAATTAACAATCCTATCTCTGGGGAAAGATGCAAAAGATTACACAGTTTATTACTGATCTTACACAGTGCTGTAATTACAGTTTAACTAGAGACATTGTTTCTGCACACCACTTAATTATACCTCTATGTCCCTCTGGAAATCAAACAGGTCAATGCGCTGCCAGTTGCTGCCATCCAGGGCCAGGACATTCCACGCCTGCAGTGAAAAGGGAGAAGACAGTGAAAAGAATGTAAAATGTGGGGAAATGTGGCAGAAATAAAAGCAACACTTGGGTCTAATTTAAACCGACACCAAAGCCACTGGCCCTTAATGAGGTGCAGCTTCCAGTGGGATGCTTCTAGCAAACCCATGCGTGAAAGGCCCCAATGATTTTCAGTGTAGCAACAGAATTGCTGAGAGAATGCTTAAATCATTGTTTGTTCTGGTTGCCATTTCTTTCTGTTTAAAGAACCACAGACAGTTGGGTCTTCCACAATTCTGAAACATGCACACCTGGTGATTACACTCAAATGGTCAGGCTATGGTGCCATACTTTGCAGTGAATGACATGATTGTCTGGGTCTGCCTTAGTACAGGAGCTAGCACCCTCTAAAAAAACACAAACTGTCTAAGTGGTACACAGGCCTACAGAGGCATGAGTAGTTGCAAAGGAGTAACTTACTCTCCAGTGTCTTAACACTATTGGTAAAGCAGAGCAGGCACCTGCCCTCCCTTCCCCATCCTTAAAAGAGGTGACTGTATTGGCTGATGGTGCCTTGGAATTTTCTATAGTTTCACACTAAAAAATAAAAAAGCTTTAAAGCACGCATTTTAATGTCTCACATGGCACTTCGCCATGTCATATATATTATTTTGCATTACCCACTGAGGAAGGTTAGAACTGAACAGGCAATGGAAGGGGCCATGGGAAAAGAAGGGAAGAACTACAGAATGTGGGAGTCTTGCTGGATCAGATGGAAGGCCCACCTAATCCACATAGCTGCTATATAGCTATAGCAGCTAATAAGAACCATGAATTGGTTCATTTTATTTTTTAAAAACCCAATGGCAACCATAATATCAAGATGCATTTTGTTAATTTTGACTGTCCAGCCCACTAATTTCATTAGTGTTATGAGAGAGGAAGCAAAACATCTATCTACTCCACATCATACATACCGGTAATTAAAAAAACTCAATTCGCCTCCCCAGCTGTCTTTTTTTACCCAAATAAAAAAATCCCAAGGGCATTAGTTGTTTCTTTGTAAGGAAGATGCTTCAAGTCCCTGAATATTTTGGGTTTTCCTTCTCCAGTGCTACAATATCCCTTTTGAGATGGGACAATCAGAATGAAATACAGAAGCTTTGTAAATAGCGGCCATTTTATTTTTGGTCCCTTTGTTAAAGATTCCCAGTATGGAATTTGCTCACTCCACTGATGTTGCACATTGAGTTAACATTTCCATTGAGCTATCCACCACAACCTGAAGATCTATTTCCTGGATAGTCACAGACAGGTCGGAAGTTGAACCCACCAGGATTTTTTTGCCCAATGTGTAAGAATGTGCCAGTGCTGGAGAAACAAGCAACAAATGTGAATTTGCATGATCCAACTTCCTCATCACAGTGATCTCAGTGGTTTAGCTACAGCTTCGGCACTCCCTCCTTCAGAGTTTGAGCCTGAGCATCAGTTCCAGTCAGGCATTTAGTGACTGGGGCAAACTATGAGTTCATAATGTTCTTTTAAAAAATATTTTTAAAATATATATGCAGGTTGATACTTAATTATTTTGTTTCCATAATAGCAGTCACATCTCCACCCAGAATTTTTATGATAAGCAGATGCACACATATCCTACAGGAGAGAGGGGAGCATTAATCCCTGTATGCCCAACATTTTCCACAATCAAGAGACATGCCTGTGTTTGCGTCTGAGAGAGGTAACAGAAAAATAATTATATTTGACATAGGTTAGGGACCTTCCCTTTTGCTATAGTGATAACTTTTTACCCCATTATTCAGTATAGGGCAGTTGGCAGAAACATATAACATGTCTTTGTGAATCTCTATCCTAGGCTATTTGAAAATCTCAAAATAGTAAAACTCCACCCAGTTAGATCTGGCTGGTCGAAACTAAGACAGACCTCAGCAGGTAATATTACAAGAAAAGAAAAGTTAAAAAAAAAAAAAAGGTGAGTGGGGAATACAACCTGTGGGGAGGATGTGCATTCTATGTCTCTGCACTTGTACAATTAAAGGAGTATCATACCACTTTTTACAGTTATGGCTTCTCCCAAAGAACCCTGGGTAGTTTGTAAATGGTGTTGAGAGTTGATAGGATGAAAAACTCCTATTCCTTTCATGGAGCTACAATTCCCAGAGTTCTTTGGGAAGAGGAATTGAATGTGAAACCACTATGACACCTGTAGCTCTGCGAGGGAAGAATAACAGTTTTCAGCACCCTTAACAAACAAAAGTTGCCATGAATCTTTGAAGGAAGCAATGATTGTTTAAAGTGGTATGCTTTAAATATATAGCGCAAATGGGGCCTTTGTTGAAATATTCCTTCAAGCTGACACTTTCTTGGCTCTGGGATATGATGACAAACTGGAGGTGCCCAAGAGACAAGCAATTAAAACCTTACCAGTACTAGTTTGCAAACATTCTTACCCTGGAGACCTGAGCGCAACGGCATAGCGTGACCACATCCAGGAAGGAGAATATTCTGTTAACAAACACATATATACAAATAACTAAACATTGGAACATGCACATGGGATTCTCCTCACAAATTGTTTAGCAACAATTGGTATATTTGGTCTTGCAGCCTGTTTCCAGTGCCTGGGCTCAGCCCTGAAAAATTAAAAGTGGAATAGGATTTAACATTTGACCAGTCAAAAAATATGTAACAATTTGACCGGTCAAATACCTAAAGCACTCCTCTAATAGAACTGTAACAAAGATTGATTCTTGGAATAACAAACAGCAAATAATCAAATATGTGTTGTTTCTCTATTAGGGTTAATTCCTTATTATATGACAACTGGAATTAAGAAATACACTTACTACAAACAGCAAAATCAGTTTACTGTTTAAAATAATGGCAATGAATTCTTTCACACTATTTCACACATTATAAATGTCTAACAGCAATATTTATGAGCTCAAACAATCCTTGTCAATACCGACACGTTTTGTTAAAAATGCCGTTAAATAAAAAAAGCAAAGTAAAACTAATAAAAAAGCTAGTAGCATGAATACCACATAGCAAGAATAAAACACAGATTTTAAATGTGGTTGGGGATGAAAAGAGAGGCAGACAGAGATATGATGTACTCAGACCCTTGCAGGACTCTTGCCTTTATTACTGAATGGCACTAGGATGCAATTAAAATGTAGGCCGTCTTTGTGGAACACTTGACTGTATTGAGTTTTCAGAAGGCACTGCCCATCCATTTTCAAATGCACCTTCTCTGTTTAAGGGCTAGCCACTCTTAGAATTGAAAGTGGAAAAATCTCAGGAAACTGAACCCATTTTGCACCTTTTCTGTGCTCCTGAAGAGTTATGGCACACAAACGGCCCTTCCTTTAATCTCTTAATATGCTATGCAGCATTTACGATACAGACCACAACTGCAACACGTTGGTAACACTACTTCCTTTTGAATGCATACCTTTTTTTCTGGGATTTATATCCCCTTCTTCTCTCCCTAAATGTACCTGAATACTAGAAATCTATCCTACACCCAATCCCTCAGAAAAGCTTCAACAAGTATGAAAATCGAGAAACAACAAGGATGCTCTAGTCATTAATTTAAATGCATCCGTGTGCTCTCAGGTGGTTTATGATAGGGTTCATTTGCATTGTATCTCCAGGGATGGGCAGATCTCTTTGGGTTAAGAAACCTATGCAAACTTTCCAAGGATATTTCAAGGACTAAAAACAGCACTGAAAGCTGCCTAAAAGCTCAGTAGGAATGCTCTTTTAGCCAAGCCAGAGCAGCTTAGAGACTCTGCAGGCATTGTTTAGTTACACACCCCAGAGCTGCAATGAACTGATGATGATGCAGCTTCTTCTTGCCAACAGTGAGGTTGGAATTCCTCAGAGCGTTCCTCAGTCTGGGCTAGAACAGGATCCCACAACTCCATACTCCATGAACCTGGCAAAACCATTGTGCACTTGCATGATTCTTTTTGTGCTCTCCCTCCAAATTATTCCTGCTCACTCTTTCTGCAAAGTAGAAAACACTTCACATCACTAGGAAGTTAGTCAAAGGGAGGGGCAGCGATGAGAATCACAAAGATACAAAAAAGAAGATAATCATGTATTTTACTGGATCACCACCTTGATGTGAAATACATGCAAGTTTTTGATTTACACAAACTACATCAGGATGAATGAAGTGGTTAAGAAAGGGTGGGAAGCTGGCTTAACTCTGGGCATGAATATTATCTAGAAGAAATGAAAGATCTTTTTACTGAGGTACAGTCATGTTCGTTTTAAATATTTATACACCAAACAACTTGGAATCTACACACTGGGGGGGACCGGACATATCCACTCCCATTATCATCATCTAGACTGGGAGTACTCTACTGCATATATAAACTGTGTGTTTCCAAACCAGAGCACGATAGGCAAACAGAAAGTAACTCTCAGGCCCTATCCGACAGCTTTCCCCTTTCCCAGTATGCAGAAACCTCCCCACTGCCATATATAGCAATCTTGGAGGAGGGTTAGACTTGGCAGGATGCGTGTCACGAGGTTTTAAAACTCAGCTCTCTATGAACCTTTCTTTACTTCTCATTCTTCAGAAATTTCCTCTCCATGCATTTATATGCAACAAAGCATGCAGTATTATAACACAACATGGGAATGTTTTAGGATTGTGAGAAAGAAAGCAAAGAAGACGCATTTTTGTACTGTGGATAAGTCCTCCACTGCAGTTTCTCAAATGTGAAAGTGGTTTACTGGGTGCCCACCAGAGCTCAAGAATGAGTGCCTCTACAAATGTTGCTAGACATTTTAATGTGAGATAAACTGTGGTTGCTAGGGAGCAGATTTTTAACAGGTGGCCAGTCAATTTATATAATAATAGTAATAATAATAATAATAATAATAATAATAATAATAATAAATATTTATACCCCGCCCATCTGGCTGGGTTTCCCCAGCCACTTTGGGCGGCTTCCAACAAAATATTAAAATACAATAGTCTGTCAAACATTAAAAGCTTCCCTAAACAGGGCTGCATTCAGATGTCTTCTAAAGTCTGGTAGTTGTTTTTCTCTTTGACATCTGACAAGAGAGCGTTCCACAGAGCCGGGTGCCACTACCGAGAAGGCCCTCTGCCTGGTTCCCTGTAACTTGACTTCTCGCAGCGAGGGAACCGCCAGAAGGCCCTTGGCACTGGACTTTTAACATATTATTGCAAGCAAATATTGGGCCAGAGCAGGTTGTAAAGCCCCCAAACACAATGGTATATGTTGTTTAATAAAACCTTCAGGGAGAAATTTAGTTTAAAAGTCAAATGCTAAAAATGTACCACTACCACCCCAATTACTGCCAAAACCCCCTAGATTTCTATTTGGGTAGTGGCTTCTTCTAAACCATGTTGATCTATAAAAACCAACAATGAGAGCTAATTTTGAAAGGTGCAAGCATTTAATCATACCTACATTTCACTGAGATATACAGTGGTACCTTGGTTTAAGAACAGCTTAGTTTATGAACAACTTGGATTAAGAACGCTGCAAACCCGTAAGTAGCTGTTTTGGTTTGTGAACTTTGCCTTGGAAGCAGAACATGTTGAGCACACCTTGGTTTAAGAACGGACTTCCAGAATGGATTAAGTTTGTAAATCAAGGTACCACTGTATAGGCAATCTGTTCTAAGAGAAAGTCCACCTCTATGTTGGCTTTGTGTGCTTGTGTGATCTCCCATCAGCAACACAAAGGCCACCTTGCCATTAGCCATTTGCTCAGCTCCGCTTTTTAAGAGTAATACGATTTCAGTCCCTTGCATGTTTAATTAACCTCCTGACCTCTGTTGCTTAATGCCTCTACTTAAATAGCTCACTTTAGGGGAGGGTGGAATATACTACAGTAAGTAGGAGAGAGAGAGGGACTGATCAGCTCAGCTCCAAAGTGGCCCCAAGCCACAGTAGCGAGAGAGGAATTTGCTTACTGATTTTTAATTTCTTTTTTATACCACTTAATTAAAATTTCTATGCAGTTTACAAGAAAAACACACTAACACAAAAAATGCAAACGTTATTCTATAAAATTACCCCCAAAACTTTCAAGAAAGCACTAAATGGAAAGTGCCAGCATAACATCATACTAGACATCTGACAGTTTCAAGTGGTTTTTCCATTAGTTTACACTGGGGCTTTTATTGTATTGGGTAATTGTTTTATGATAATTACATAGTATTTAAACTTTTAGCATATTATTTAGCCTTATTCACTGTGTATGTATTGGAGTTTTATATTGGAGTCTTATTTCTTAAGTTTTCAAGACCAACGATTAGTACAATTGAATTTGTGGTTGTTGTTGATTATCTGAGGATAATTTAATGTTGCATTTCTGGGTTTACATGCTATCCAACAACATGTCCTCACTACAATTACTTCTACAGCTACTATGGGTAACATATATCATCCACCAGTATCATTAAGGTGAAATTCTGTACTGATTATGATTATTGCACGAGCATACAGGTCACCAGAGAGGTTTATATAGAAAATTTACATGTTGCATGAGGGACCTGGGTGTAATTGTTAGGATGACACCAGCCATGCTTCTGAAGTAGCTGGGAAGGGAGAAGAGTTCAGGGATTGTTATTTTTTAAAATGTTGTTATAAGTTGTGTGTCTTTGTTTCTCAATTTGATCCTTTGAACGTACTGTGGTATTTTATGCACTGTGAGATGGTTATTTTTATTGATTATACTTTAGTAATTATTCAATGGAATTGCTAAGGGTGAATTTTTGTTTAATTATTATTTCCTGGTATTTTGAGAGTTAATGTTACTGTGTACTATTATATTCTAATGTATTATTGAACATTACTTTATTTGATATTTTTATTGTAAAGTCAAGTTTTTATCATGACATTTTTGTATTGGATCAGACTATTATAAGGTGTGTGATCTTTGCCGTATACTTGGTTGTTGCAAATCCATCTTGTGCATAGTAATATAGAAATTAAAAGTGAAATGGAACGGAATGAAATGAAATGAAATGAAATGAAGGCAATGTGGAAACCAGGCCTTACTGTTAGCTAAATACTACAGTTAAATGGGGAGGCCTTTTTAAAAAGGCTTCTGAGTCTAATGTTTGGGACATTGTAGCAGTTGTAGGAATTGTTGCTGAGCAACTAGATGTGTCTCAACCTGCTGTGTTCCAAACCACAGCTTCAAGAGACGTATATGAAGGTCAAAGTTGAGGTAAGAGCTCACACTTTCTCTCCAATGGCTCTAGATGTCAGAGTAATCTTTTTGTCCTCACCCACGGGTAGAATCCAAAGGGGGAGAATAGCAAATGTTGCATCCCAACTATCACTGGCTGATGAAGGGACTTATTTTACTGGACAAGCATTTTCTAGTCCTAATTTTGTATATTTAAAGGAGGGGGAAAATAATTTCTGGGACTGCTAGCCAAACCACAAAGAGCTGCAGAAAGGTTCTATAAACCTTTGATGGGTGCAAATACTTACCCCTTCAAAATGAGCAATTTTACAAGCTGTCATAACTACAGCAACCCAGTAAAGGGAAGCTACAAACCCCTCAAAAATAAAGAACATATTAACTGAAACTAAAAATGAAAAAGCAAAAACACCCTTGTCTGGAATTCAAAGAAATCAAGGGGCTTTCCCAGTTTCCTGTTCTGATTATTACACCTCCTTATATCCTGCATTGGAGACTGAATGCTCTCCGAAGTTCCTGTCAGTTTTGAAAACTGCTTCTTGGGCACTGCAGGGAGCCACAATAGGAAAAAACAGAGCCCAAGGGACAACTATACAGGCAGAAGCTCTTCATAGGGTGCATTAGATCTTACCTTTGAAACCAAGAGCACTGAACTTTCTAGCAGTGACAACATAATGCTGTAGATCTTTGTGTGAGAATGGGAATCTTGGGGGGGGGGGCGAATTTTGAATGCTATTCTTTTGAAACAAACAGTCTTAGTGAGCGAATGGGGGGTAAAATGGTAAATGAAATTCAGTGTAAACAAGTGTAAAGTGATGCATGTAGGTGCAAAAAAATAATAACCTTAATGTGACATATACAGTGATGTGGGGGGTTGAACTGGTGGTGACTGGCAAGGAACGAGACCTTGGGGTAGTAGTGGATAGCTCAATGAACATGTTGTCCCACTGTGTAGCACGTCTTAAGTATCTGCCTAGCCTTCCCTTGGACTGACCTGTTTTAATATCACTGCTATATATTCACTTTTGCTCACCACACTCACAAATGGGAATGGCTCCCTCTTCTTTCTCCAATGCAAATATAGCTTCCCAGCCATCTCCAAAAACCAATCCCCCAGAGATACAATCAGGTTGAGATTAAACAACAAATACTTAAGCAACAACAGAAAAAAACAGCCTTTAAGGCCAAGGGCAAACAGACATAGGATTTCCCTGAAAACTGGAGCAGTCACCAACCCCTCTTATCCCTCTAACTGGGAACTCCAATTCCTCAGACCATATGCAAAAGTCAGCCAAACGATTAAACAAACACCCATAATTAAAATCTTCTGAAATGGCCATACACTAAATATAGAGATAGTCCTCCATATGAAGGAAAAAATGAATGATTTGCCCAAACAGAGAAACCATTATTTTCCAAGTGAGCAAATTACCAAACCCACCCAAGCTGCCCTGTTACTGATAGGTATGTGAAGGCAGGCAAAAATTAATTGCAATTTTCCACAAGGCTAGATTAAACAAAAAGCTTTCTCACAAGAATAAGAAGTGACAAAAATCATCATTACAGAAAAGTGCTGCATGGCTTGAAGAAGTGCCTACGGTAAGGGAGCAGGAACCATCGCAACATGATCTCTTATGCAGGGATGGATGCCACTGTTCAGGCCTAAGCTCTGGCCTACATTTAATGGACTGACAACACAGTTGTCCTCTAGTTCTCAGGTGTGCTGGAAAGCAAACAGGTTCCAGATCCGTTCGAATACTAGCACTGTAACTCATCAAATGTTATGATGTTGTGTTTCCTTCTTTACCACTGCACATTTATGTGGCTGCCATCTGTATTGAGTGTGTGTGTGTGTGTGTGCAAAAGAGTTAGAGCGAGAAAAAACAAACAGTGTTGGCATGGTACTCCTGTCCCCTATTTTCCTCCCTTGTGTTGCCAGAGCATGATGAAGTGGCAGCAGAAAGGGCAAACAAACCTCCAGTGTCAGACACAATGTAGGAATCCCAGTGCAAAGTCATCATGATTAGAAGCCAACCTGTTGTCCACACTACTGCAACTCAATGGGAGAAAAATAATGCTTTTCACTCAACACCCCCGTACATGAGACGTCAGGACATTCTTTGGAATGAAGGAATGAGGGAACAAGAACTTACACAGCAGGGCTGTATGAAAACACACCAGCCTTTGTCTGACAGAAACTGATGCCCATTTATAAGCCTGTCCCCTTGATAAGACTCCCTTTCAAAGGCTGCCCTGCCAATGTGCATTAATGAATTTTCGCAGTATGCACAACAGAAAGTTTCCAGTTCTCAAAACTCTTGCTTATGGTTTAACTTTTTATAAACTCAATCCTCCTCGTTTGTTCCCAAGAGCAAAGTTTGGCAGAACCCTGAATGCAGAACTCAGCTTCTCAGGAGGAATTCCAGAAAGACTGCCGTATTAATCTGCTGCTAAATAAATAAATAAGAAGCGGCTTGCAATACCTCCAAAATTAATCATTTTATTGTGGCAAAGCTTTCATAAGCAACAGCTTGCTTCTATATGCATTCCTTAGATGTAAAGAGGTCTCTGGACTTATCTACATTTTGCCTTTAAGGGAAGCATCATTCCGTGGCAACTCTATGTAATCTCGAGTATGCAGCTTTCCATAGTAACTCTGCCAACTGCATGAAGGATTTATATGAGAGCTAGACTACAGCAGAGTAGTGGACATTGATTTGGGTTCAAGTCTCTGCTCTCAGTGTATGCAGCCTTATAGAGTTGTGAGGCTAAAACAGGATAACTCATGTGCTGATTATTTCTAAGGAGTCAGTTATACCCCTGAATCTCTGATTGTAAAGAAATTCAATGAACATTTTTCAGGAGGATTCTAAAATGCATTAAGTTAACAACTAAAATTTAACCACACAATTAGGCTACGAAGGATACAGTCAGGTTAGTCTCAATTGTCCCTACCTTCCCCAACTGCAAGCAAATGGCTTGCTAGTGTGAAAACTCAGGTAACTGTTGACCCTATGGCCATACCAAAGTGTTTGGTAAAACTGCACATCAATAACCTCATAACACAAAGCTGGGCAAGCAATATACAAATACATGAGCAAACGGGGGTGTTTTCATGGGGCCTGCAAGACCAAAACCCCTACGATCAGTACGCAGATTAACAAACATCCAGCAATGGAAATATATGAAAATGCAGTTTTATTATTTATATCTGTAGAGCTTCAGGCAAGTTACAATACTTAGCAAATCCTCAAAGCAACTATGTGAAGATTCAGCTCAGAGTGTGTGATTTGCTGAAGGCTAGTCTGATATGCTTCACTGCTAAGTTGATCTTCCATATCCAAAATAAACAAACCTTCTATCCCCCTGATCCACAATGTGGGCTAAAGTTCAAGAAACCAAAGATAACTTTAATCACCTAAAGTTTTTGTACACTGTACTAGCAGAGATGTTGGAAAAATGTTTGAAATTCCCAGAAACCAGCTCCAAAAGTTTGGGAGACAGAATCCAATATTTAAGAACGAAATAATCAGTAAGTAAGCTTTAGGTATTGACTATTCTGCTAGCTGGAGAGAAAGGCCAAGTGATGCTATCTAACAGCCAGTATATGATGTCACAACCTTTAAAACTAGCTGTAACAACGTAAAGCAGCCTATCGCTGATCTACCATGTCTGTAACCTGAGCTAACTGGATTGGCAAGTTTGTTTTACCGGTTCTTTTATCTCACATTTAACATTAGAGTCCACCACTTTACACTTAAACAGGTACTTGCTACTGCTCACTGGTATGCACACATACAAGCCACCTTAAAAAAACTGCTGACATTTAGTCGGCAAAGAGGCAGGTAAAACTGGTACAATCTGCAAGCCCGATGAAAGATTAGACAGGTTGGAGTCACAAGATGGTAGGTTGAACATAGTAAGTATATAGGTGTCCCTTTACTATTTTCACACTTTCATAAGGAATATAGTATCTGTCACTAACTTGATAGAATCAAATTTTAGGCAGTAGAATAGAGCATACAATCCATAAATCAAGATTTGAGAGACTGACTCAACTCTTCCTATCAGTTCACACGTAGTTCATGATTTTTGAAAAGGAGAATTATAGGATGAGTGAATAACAGCTCTGCATCTTTACATTGGATTTCCAGTGTCAACTTTAATAGCAAATGTTTCCCACCCCTCCTCTATTTGCATTACATTTCCCATCCCTCCTCTATTTGCATTACCAAAAGCTAACAAAATATTACATACCACTAATAAACATTTTTCTTTGTTTGCTCTTTAGGCTATGTGTATTCTTAATTCCTGAGTTTATTTGTGTGACATCTTCAGGTACCTTGTATGTGCGGCAGAAGAGACACATTTAACAATAGTTCCAACTAGGGATGCTTGAGGAATGCCATATTTATGAATTCTGATATGAACTGACACCTCCCAGACTAATGTGCAGTTCAGAATTTAGTTTCAACAATTTTTACGCTCACTTTCCTAATGTTCCAATGCTGTCCTTAGCTCTAAAAATGTACCAATATTTGTTAGAATGTGCATTGTGCAAGAAAATGCATTTAGATATGAGTGTTTTGAGAGATGCAAATTTTCATGCAGATCTTAAAAAAAAAAAATGCAAATCAATGTGGAAACTGGAGAGAGGCAACTGACAAGTGAACACATGTGAAGTGTCACAGACTGCAAACAGGTTGACTAGTCCATTTGTAGTTCCAACAGTAAACCAGTGGTCAAGTTCTAGCTTCAACACAAGTTTATTATTAACAACTGTATCTAACTGCTAGCAATCAAATCTAATAAAACTTCAGAAGATAAAGCCAGGGTGTAAATCTTTAAAATTACATTCATGTCAAACTCTCAGTCAACCAGTTATTACTGGCTACAAACCACTAAAGGATGGTCAGGAACTTAAAAACAACAACACTGTAATATTAACCATCCTGAATGGCTGGAAAACGATCCTCCTTGCATTTGGAAGCCGATGGCAGTGGCATAAAAATCTATAAAGTTAGTTTTAATTTCCTCATTCAAAGATTTGAAAATTTTGAGCTGCGAGTTGGCTCAAACTGAAGCACCTTGACCACAGTTGCTCTCTTTGGGAATCTAAAGCAGATTAGCAGTCATGCTGCCTTTCTTTTTAGGAGTCTACTTGTTTCTAATACACTGTTGCATATTGGTAAATAGATTAATTACAAAGACCCCATAGTCTCATGTGCTTTTTTCAGCCAAAGAAAACCAAACCACATAGTACTGTCCCTGAACTTCTCATTGCTTAAGGAAGAGGTAGTGGCAGGGCACATACCAATATACCTTATTTAGGTTCCTAATGCCTGTTGATTCTGCATGGCATAACCACACTCAGTAAAACTAGCCTGACTGACAGATTAAAGAGTTTTGGGAGATGTTTGCATAATTCTGCGCCACCTTCAGAATTTGTTGAATTTACGGATTTTATTGACTTACAGTCAACTATGGTCTCTGCTCACTCAGCTATTACCAAAACTCCTAGACTTGCACAAGCCAAAAGGCGACTTACCGAAGCAGCAGTTCTTTGGGAAGTTTTTTGTTGATTGCAGCCTCATCACTGTTTGAGAACATCTGCAATAGAGAAAGCAACAACATGCATTTACCCTGTTGTGTGGATCATTATCTCTTACAAACTTGGGGGAGCATGGCAACTTCATAAGGGAAAGCTAATTTTGAGGCAATCTGAAAAGGTGGCATTTGAAGAAGACATAGTGCCTTGCATGCTTATTTTAAAAGGCTGGTATTAAAATATAGTGCAACTCACACTGAACATTTGGGGTTGTGCTGAATTCTAAATGAACTAGCCTGAATAATATGGCTGTTTATTTTGGTTTCTCAGTAACAAGCCCCACCCCCCAAACCCTCAAGTGTGTCCCTTTTTCCTGCTGGATTATGTGGATGTGCAACAGCTAGATACAGACTGAAAAGAATGGATCAGAATTCCAAATACAATTTCCCTTTTATTAATTAGGTGAACAGGTTCTAGCCCCCTAAAATAATTTCCCTGTTTCAGATTGAACCTTGATCCTGGGGCGTATTTGCTTTCTCAAAAGTGTACACCTTGGATCGCTTGCTCGAGTCGTTTCCTCTGAAAACACCTTGGTGTGCTGCTTGTTTGTTTGCCCCCTATCTATTAATGGAGCACTCTCTTATAACAGAGTTATAACAGACCTTGAGATAGAGAGATGTACTTCTAGATACAAGAAGTCATTTATCTCCAAGTCACATCACTTGCTCATCTAGTAGGTAAGGGTAACCCTAACACATCAACTGTTTATTATTGTTATAATTTATTTAATGTCTGTGTCACCTAACAAGTGTGACTCACAATAAAAGCAAAAACCTACAATGCCACAAATACAATTTGTTGGGGTTTGGTTTTTTTAAAATAAAAAATACACCAACACAATAAAGGAGACATCAACAACAAAGTACCATTTTAAACAGAAAAACTAAATAGACACAGACCCCTCAATCGGCAAATAATAACCCCAATGAACAGTAGTAATCCACCAACATTTGTCAAACTGAGCTCTTCAGGATTTCATATCATAAACCATTTCTCAGAGCATATGGTGTAGTAAATCATGCTGAAGATAAACAGGTCTGGGTTTGGTCAGTGCCTGGATGGAAAAATGTCTGGGAACCCTATGTACACTTCTTTGTATTCCAATATGTAAGAATGGCGATATATACCGTATTTTTTGCACCATAACACTCACTTTTTTCCTCCTAGAAAGTAAGGGGAAATGTCTGTGCGTGTTATGGAGCGAATGCCTGCGGGTGGCGGGGGGATCTGCTGCATTCGTGAGCAGAGGATCCATGGTTCCCCTTCCTTTCCTCCTCCGTGGTTACAAAGCATGGATCCACATGGATCCTCAGGATTTTTGCATTGGGCTACTCCAAACTAACCGTCAGATCACATGTCTGTGGCCACAGCATGAACCACAAAAATCATATATCCACTATTTCGTTTAGAATTTTTTTTTCTTGTTTTCCTCCTCTAAAAACTACGTGCGTGTTATGGTCCGGTGAGTGTTATAGAGCGAAAAATACGTAAATAGGAATGCAGGAAATTGTGTAGTCACTATAGTGGAGGAGAGCTGGCTGATGGTAAACTCAGTAGTGTGGGCTATTTCTTTGGCATTTGGACTTTGCACTCCAAAGATGGAAAGTTGGCATAACCGGTGGAAGTTTGCTGGGCATACATCAGCTAACAGGCATGTGTTTCTCTCAGCATCTGTATCCCCATCAGTACCAAATTCACGTACACTCTTCACTTGAAGAAGCCACAGCAGGCATACAATTCAACAGTTCAGATTTCTACACAAAGAGGAAGGAGTATGCAAACAGGGCCAAGAAGTGAAGTAGTGGGTCAGCTCATATGACTTCACCAGTCATAGAAATCAGGATTTTTAAAAATCCATGTGTAGTATGTATTAAGATTTCAGCTGGCATGTAAAAGACACAACCTGGCTTGAGAGAGCAGGGGAACAAGACAAGAATTATTTGCTTCGGGTTTAAAATAGCCCAGCACGCCAAGCATTTTCTGTGTGTGAATATGCAGGTAATCTCTGTGCATTGTGGTTATGGCTTTGCAGAAATAGACAAATAGGGACACTGTTTCCATAGAGTTACACTGCAGGTAGGTAGCATTTGTGAAATGCTGAAAAAAAAAGTTATCAACATGTAACCACATCAGTTACCTAGAATTTTGATGCCAGTTCCTAAAAATTGCCCCACCAACCCAAGAAAATCCCAGAAAATGGTTTGCTCACCTGACAGAATTGGAGGCCCAGTTCAGAAAGCACATACCATGGGCTCATTCCTGACACACGGTTCCCTCATCCACTTCCTGGTTCTTTTATATTTGCTGTTAATAGCCAAATGAGAAAACTTGGGTTAGCACCTTGCCTCCAAACCGTGATTTGAAACCACACTTTGAAAGGGCTTTGTAAATCATGGTTTGGAGTCAAGACACCAGCCACATTTTGCCAATTCAGACCTCTTGCTATCATCATCCTTGGCCATTGTCCATGTCAGCTGGGGTACATGTGCGTTGGGAGTTCAATAATAGCCAAAGTGTAACAACAGATACCCCACACCCAGTTTACTATGATGTTTGAGTACGTAAAAAGTTAAATGAAGAATTTGCTTGTGGTGTAATTAAGGATAGAGTCTTGTCCTTGGGGTGCAAGACTTTGGTTCAAATACCCACCAAATTCACTGGGTGACCTCGGGCCATTCAGTCTTTCTTATAGGAAAACTTCTTAAAAGAGGGGATCAATTGCCAGAAGGAAGGAGTGCATCAGAATTCTCTCTCTTTAAAGTGCTTAAAGATCTTGCACCAACAAACCCTAGCGAATGCATCTGAGGAAAGAATACAGGTGCAATGCAGACTGCACCCCATCCAGTAAAAAAATCAGCACCCAAGTTTTGTTCTGCTCTCTTCCTCATGTTAATAGCTCAGGTTAGGTCTTGCTGTATCTTATTTTACCCTTCATAAATCTTTGAAACTGATCTGACTAGGAGCTGTCAGAACTGAACACTGCTTGATGCTAGGTCTGCTAGGCTCAAAGACCACTGCTCTATTTATTACCCCATTTATTACCAAGCCGCAGAACAGGTTGCTACTTTCCTCACAAAAGCTGTAATTTTAAAAAAAAATAATCGAGAAGAATCTCTACAAGCAGAAGCCTCACCTCATACTCTGTCTTGGTGCACCAGATGTAACACAGCTATATCTACTTCAGTGGCACCCAGGTAAGCAAGTTTGCTTACAGCTAATCAATCATCTTTATAAGGTATGAGCTTCCAACCATTTATTACATGTCACTTCTGCAGAAACCAGGTCATGCAATTTAGTCAAAAGGAATCCTTCTCCCTGGACTTGAGGCCAATTTGTAGGGTAAAACACATGTGCCAAAATTATGAAGAGGAAGACACCATATACAAGTGTTATATGCTAAATGCTGGAAGCTTCTAAGTGAGCGGTTCTCAACCTGAGGGTCCCCAGATGTTGTTGGACTACAACTCCCATCATCCCTGAGCTCTGGCCTTGGTAGCTAGGGGTGATGAGAGTTGTAGTTCAACAACATCTGGGGACCCACAGGTTGAGAAAGGCTGTCTAAGTCAAGATGAGAGTGCTTGGTTTTAAGAGAAGAACATAGCTATAGAAGACATAAAGTAAAACTAGTAGAATGGAGAGAACCAGTGGGGCACAGTTATATCTGGATACAAAATACAGCAGGGGTGTGAAACTTTTTTCAGCTCAAGGGCATGTTCCTTTCTGGCAACTTTCTGAGGGCCACATGCCAGAGCTGGCTGGGGCCAGACACACAAAAAAGGCAGAGAAATGAATGTATATGTTACCTTTGTACAGTCAGGTAGTTTCTACACTTACTCACACACCCATCTCTATGTTTCATCTAGGTAAGAAAGAGGCATTAACAGAGTCCAAGGGCAAACACAAACACTCAAGGGGTGTGTGTGTGTGCAAGATCTGGGGAAAGTCCCAAGGGCCAACTAAAGGGGTTTGGAGGATTGCATTCAACCCTAGGACCTCAGGGAAGGGTGCACTGGAGGTGGTATCAAAGAGAACACAAGAGTTCAACCATCTAGAAGTCCCCCAAAAGGCAAACTCTTCTACAAAGATCACTGATTAATTTAGTTCAGGGGATGTATGATCACCCCCTCCCAACTAAAATGCCCAGGGTGACCTTGAGATGGAGACTGAAATAAAGGGGGCACCTAAAGGAGGAAGTGTCATAATAATAGCCAACCTCCAACTACTCTCACAGATTGGAGCATGCATACACCCAATCACAACCAAGAGGTAAAATTTCCAGATACCCTAAATGACTCTGCCTTAGAACAGTTTGGGTCATGGAACTGACCAGAGATGGCAACCCTCAACTCAAGTGGTGCCCAAGACCTTGTGTGAGATGTAAGTGTTGCTGAACCAATTTGAAACAGTGATCACAGTGCCATGTAAGTGGACAATTGCTAAGAAAGTCCAACACGGTCACATTTGACTTCAAAAGTGGAAACTTCCCCAAAAATGAGGGGTTGCTTATAAGACAGTGGAACGACAAAGTCAATAGGGTCAAATCTCTCCAGAATGGTTTGGGGCTGTTTAAAACCACAATAACAGATTGGCTAGAATGTACAGTGCAGATCAGTAAAGGTACCACCATGGCAAAGAGGATGGCAGCATAGTTAATGAGCAGAGCCATGGAAGCTATTAGAGGTAAGAGGACCTCCTTCAGGAAATGGAGTTCTGTCCAAATGAGAACAACAAAAAGGAACATAAACTTTAGCAAAAGAGTTGTGAGCAGACCACGAGGGATTTTAAAAAAAAGAATTTGATGAATACTTCGTTAAAAACATAAAGAGGCCAACAAGTAAACGTTTTTTAAATAAATGGCTGTTGGATAAAAAGTGAGTCAAAGGTGTGCTGAAGGAGGAAATGTAACTGCAGAGAAGCTGGATGAATTCTTTGCATCTGTCTTCACAATGGAAGATGTAGTTCTCCAGAGTTTCAGACAGGAATCTTTCCCAGTCATAACTGGAGATACCAAGGATTAAACATGGGACCTTCTGTCTGCAAACACATGCCCTGCCACTGGCTATGGTCTCTTTCTTCGCTGTGTGAGGCAGAGAAGCATGGAATATTCATTGCCTGGCTCAAGCAAGGTCAGAACAGATATTGATTTGCTGGCAAACTCAGCTGCTTCTCAGCTGAGGCAGAATCAGGACTTTATTTCCTAAAAAAAGAAAAAGAAAAAGAGAAGAAAGCTCACACAAGCCCTTATGATTAAAAGAATCAATGCCAAAATCAGCAACCAGCAGAAACTGCTAGTCTGGAAAGAAGACCTTGACATTGTAAAGGAATTATTCCAAAGGACAAGGTTGCAAAGGAGATCTGGTCTGAGAGCTTTCTATGGGCTGGAGCTGAAAAAAAGCATTGCAGCTTTGTGCTGGCACATACAGATCTGGGGGTATTCTTCTAAGGTTTTTGTTGTTTTTAATGGGGGGCATTGTGGATGAACCGTTACAGCTTATAGCATTCTGGAAGATCTTTAAGAGCCTAGTTAAGTAATAGAAACAGAATTTAAATATAGGGCAGGATCTAGTATATCTAAAACCCTTAAATATTGTGCAAGTCAGTGTCCAGGGAAGAAAAATGGTGAGAGTGGGCCATGAAATCAGAAGCAAAGAGGCTTCTGAGTTTTCAAAACGCATGTGGGATCATAAGGGAAATTAAAGGCATATTTTAGTACCTGTCCCAATAACCTTTCAAGTAGCCTACTACAGGTACCACAGGCAGGGAGATTTAATAGCACTCTTGGATTCAAGGAAAATACGAGAATCCACAGGCTGGCCTTGACATGGCCTGTACTACTCTTGCTTCTCTCTCATCTCATGATACTGCTTGCTTTTCAGTTCTGTGAACCAGGCGCCAAGTCACCTTTCCCAAGAGACAGACAGGGTGCAGAAACTTGTATTATAGCTGGGATTACTAATTGTTGGCCCTTCAGATGTTACTAGACTACAACTCTCAACTATTGACCATGCTTGGAGGTGCTGATGGGAGTCAAACAACATCTGGAGGGTCTAAGGTTCCCCATCCTTGCATTATAGCATTAACTAAGGTGGCCCATACAAGAAGATTAAAGCATAATAAAAATCAGAATTGAATGCTTATGTTCTTTTCTTTACACTCTCTTAAACTAACTTTTATATATTTTGTTGTTTAGTCGTGTCCGACTCTTCGTGATCCCATGGACCAGAACTTTTATATATATTTCTAGTCAATTATAAGTAAATACTTTTCCACTGTAACACTCTCTTGCTGCAAAAGTTTTCCTGAGATGCTGGGTCAAGTGCATTGCAGATGCAGAACAGCTCAAACACTTTTGTGATCCATTTTTTATTCCAGTTCCAGTACTGTATCTATATCTTTTACTTCAAAGAGAACTTCCAAACACTCCAAAGTATTTATAGACTGAAAGGATACAAGTGAAATACAAGGTATCCTGGGCATATACAGAAATACATTGAGTTGAAGAGGCCTTTCACCAAGAATGTGCATGGTAGACATCAGACCATAAAATAGCTTGCATATTTTTTTGCCAAACTTAAATCCTACCATGGAGTACCAGTTCCAAAAGAGCAACCATGATTATTCTTGCTGCCATAAAGTCAAGCTAATGAACTCTGTCGCCTTTGAGTACAAAAAGAGACTGCCTCTTCCACCATGTACAAATGGCAACATCTGAGATCAATGAAGTTATTGCTTGGTTTCCACTACTTGGTTTCCAGAAGGGCACAGCCTTGGGGACACATGCTTCCATCTAATCAGGGTTCTCTTGCTAACTAGGATTTGAAACGAGAGGTCGAAGTAGTTTTACACATCCTAACTGCATCAGTGAGATATAAGCCACAGCTAAGTCAACAAGGGAAATGATGGAATATGCACTCCCATGGCTGGTTCCTGATTTACAAATCATGCTTTGCAGGGAACCAGTGTTGTGCCTGCATCAGAACTTAATTTGTATGTGACACTTAAATTACTAACTATAACCCATCCTGAGCCTTAGGAATTGGCTTGGACTAGAAGTCTAAAAAGAAAAATACATTTTGCCTGCTATTAGCCACCCAACATGCACACAGGGAGTAACACGATTCCATATTTCTGTTTATGATGCTGAAATAGTTCTTCCACAAATTGTATTTAAAAAACCACCATTCCTCTGGGAGGAGCTGTATGGAGTATATTGTCCACAGCAATTTATAAATAATACAAACAGTTCAGACTGGGTGAGCTTTCTTTAGAAGCTTCCCTGCTGTCCAAGGACTTCTATTTTCTTTTCTTCACTTTCCTTTTTACAGCTCACTTTATAAACTGTGTTCTCTCTGGGAAATGTGTATCTGTAGACTGCCACAGTCACCACACTCATGAATACCATCATTAAAAGTCTGATATCTGCTCCAAGCACAGGCGTTATTAGGCCCGAGGAACAGGAACTGATGGATGGCCGATTACATATACCAAACAGTGCTTGAAACTCCCATTGTTCTGGGCACATTTTGCAATAGAGAATTTCATTAGCATGAGCAGTTTCTGAGCTCTGGACGCAGTACTGCGCCTAAGATTTCAGAGTAAAACTGCAGAGTGGAAGGAAATGCCTCCCCACTTCCAGCTACTCTCTGAAGACTTAATATTCTTAAGAATATTAGAGGGGTGGGCAGGAGAAGGACTAGACCATTTGAAAAATGAACATAATATTTTAGCGGCAGTTCATTGGTTTTCAGCTTTGTATTCTTGTTATAAAAAAAAAGCGTACCTAGGCATTCCGTTGTTGCGCCTATAACCTAGGTTTAAGGTGCCATTTAGCTCCTAGCTTTCATATCTCAGTTTCTAACACTGATACCAAACCCCTTCTCTACAACTTCTGTAGGCTTCCTGAAATTATGGTGTGTGTGTTGGGAAGCAACAACAAGAAGGTCAGAAAAAGATGAGGGAAGAATCCATGAAGCACCTTGCCTCACTCCTGAGCCATTGCCCTGCTTGTACCATGTTGTTAATTCTTTGGGAACAATAAGCAATTCAGGCCCAGTGTTGTAGAGCAGATTGAATACTGGCATTTCAATGGGGTCAACATAGGGCAACTACCCGGGAAGGAAAAAGAGGGCAAGCGAGTCAGGCAAAAACTGTGGCATTGATACCCAGGCCTAGACAGCACATAGTTAAATTATGGAACTCACTCCCATAAGAGCAAGTGGTGGCCACCAACTTAATTTTTTTAAAAATAGCTTTTGGCAAATTTATGAAGGAGAGGGTTATTGATGGCTTTTAGCCATGATGGCAATGCTCTGCCTCCACAATTGGAGCAATGCTTCTGAATACCTGTTGCTGGAAACCACAGGAGAGGAGATTGCTATTGTGCTCAAATCCTGCTTGCTGGTTTCCCACAGGCTTTTGTTCAGACATTGTGAGAACAGGATACTGTACTAGATGGGCCATCGGCCTGATCCCTCTTATGCTCTTATGATCCATCAGCCTGCAGTCTATGCCAAAAACTGCCAACACCAGAGGGGACAAATAAGAGTATGTCTTCTTATGTTAGTTTTGCAAAGTTTAGGCCTGGGCAATATTATTGATATATTGCCCAGGACCAGTGTGAGGAGCAGGCCGCAATGTCAGGTTCGCTCAGCGGTATATCGCAGGTGAAACTGCCACTGCTCCAAAGTTCCTCTGCTAGCAGTGTCTGCTGGGGGAAGTCAGGCGCTGCTAGCAGAGGGACTCAGGAGCAATGGTGGTTTCACCAGTGATATATCACTGAGTGAAACCGCCATCCCACACTGCCCTCATACAACAGAGAGGGATAAACAAGCTGTAGCGGCGAGGCACCGATACAGCTTGTTCCTCCATCTACATTTTTTAACTGCTTCAATGTAGAGCTGCCCTTGCCTCAGTAGAGCAGTTAAAGGAGCCTCCAGGCCGTCGCTGGCTCCCACAAGCCAGCAGTGGGGTGGGGGCTCCGTGAAACTGCTCAGCTGAGGGGAATGCGGTGGCTGCTCCCCACAGTGAGCAGTTAAAGGAGCCCCAATGCTCTGCCCGCTTGCATGTAGGCAGCAAGAACACCTGGGCTGTCTCAGCTGGTGGGGGGAGAACCTTCCTTCTCCCCAGCTGAGCTGCACAAACAAGCAGCATTGTGCCAGCCCGTGAGCCTGGGTGAAACCGCCTCAGCTTTTGAGGTGAGAACTGAGAAGGTTTCACCTGGTGTCTCGCAGGCAGAGGTCAATGCACCTAGTTTTTTCAACACTGCAGTATACTGTCAAACCTCAGTGTTTGGCTGACGATGCACCACAATGTTGAAAAGCTGATGTTGTCCAGCCCTAGACCAGTTAGACCAATATTCTGGTATTTTCATTTTGATTGCACATACTCAATTTTTCTCCACCACCCTCCGTTGCTGATACGCCTTTTGAATAAACTGCTTAACTGGATTTCTGAGCTGTGCTGGTTTGTTAACACACTCAAGAGGATGGTTGTCCCAACCGCTGCTCCACTGTTGGCTGTTAAAATGCTTGGTAAAACATGAGGGAGATAGGATGAAGTTGCCAAGCAAGACACTTGGAATTCAGCTGGCTGTTTGCCTGCTCCTGAGTAGACAACCACAAGACAGTGGGAATCCTGCACATCTTGTCCTAGGTAACATATAACCATGTAGTAACAAGCAGAGAGAGAGAGAAAGCTGTTGCAATTTATCTCTTTTTAACCTGGAAGTCCTTGTGAGAAACTAACATCACCATGCAAGATAGATCTCAGGTTCTTATGGGTGGAAATGTAATTCACAAGAAGAGCAAAACAAAGGCCAATGGTTTTTGCTCACCCTAAAACACCCACCCACATCCACAAAAAAGGCTGACTTAAAGGGTTGTAATCTCCCCTGTTTTGTTTCAAACCCTCCACAAAATTTGCCCAAGAGTTCTCCTTTAACATTCACCCCAGATCACAGTTAAACATTAAGGAAGAATATTTCCACTCCTGTGACAAAAAGAAAATGAGTATAGTTATTGGGGTGGTGAAAAGTATGTATCAAAATTGTGAATCATTCCCGCTTCAAGTACTTTGAGATTATCCTATTTTATCCTCACAGCCGTACTGAGAGTTAGGTCAGGCCAAGTAATAATGCCTTGTCTAAAGCTGCTCACTAAGCCTCATGACTGCAAAGGGATGTGAACAAAGGCCCCATAGACCAAGCCCAACAGTCTATCCATTACAGCATACTGCCAATTTTTATAGGGGTAACACTCATGCATTCTCTTCCCTACCCCCATTGCTATTGTGGGACTAGTCATTCTGAATGCAACAACTGTCCACACAAACACTGGCTCCTCTGGGATACCCAGAAGATCTGAAGGAGTGCTATTAACAATTCAGAATACCAGAACACCAGCACAGATATGCAAACTATATTGGTGTCAGAGCATTGCTGCTTCTAGTAGGTGTTCTAACAATGGTGTGAACTCTCCTGCTATTTAAGAACCAAGATGACTAAAAGTATTGTACAAAGCATTAAGCAATCGCTGTGTATAAGGAATGCAACCTGTATTTCACAAACAAGACAGGAATGTTGTCCGACTGAGAGATGGGCACATGGTAGCAATTAGAAAAGGGAAAAGGTTGGGCAACAGGTCTAAGGAGTAATCTTAGTACTTTATTGATCTACTGTATGAGATTAATTAGATTTATGACTGGCTACACACAAAAAGAATCCTGAAGCAATTTACAGGGGTAACATACCACATACGATAAAAATCTATTACAACAAAATATAGTGAAAGTGTTCATCCAAATCACCCACCAGTGGGTTCTGATACTGTTTTCTCTGCACTTTTTGGTTCCACCATTGGGGGGGGTGTATTCTTTTCTCTACAACTTTACACTACCCGAAAGCCCAGAATAAGAAATGTATTTGGTTGGAGACGGAAGACCGACCAAGTCCCTGCAGATAGCATTCCACAAATGCAGAGTTGGGGGCACAGAGAACACCCTCTTTACAACAATTAGAAAGGGATATATCTAATGCTAGTCAAACACAGAGTAGATCCACTGAAAATACTTGGGTCCATTAATTTCAATGGGTATACTCATAATCTAGCTGGATACAAACCAAAGCCCTTTCGCCATTCTCCCTAAATTTGTAAGTGTGAGGAATATAAAAGGACTGAAAGTGCTGATCAGTTGACAAGCATGACCAACCAAGTGAGGTACACCTACCCTCTTTCAGAAAAAAAACTCCAGTGCCAAAATGTTGTCAATGTTCAGTTCAAAGTCTGATGAAATTTAGGGGGAAAAATTGCACTTGGATTTGAGAAACTGTTACCTTTATTAATACCTGAAAATTATTTATAATGAAATAAAGCAACATTAATTCTAACCCATCAAAGATATGTAATGTCACATCACAATTCCCATGATGAACTGATAATGTTTTTTCTATTGTATAGTGATCTGATCCAATGCAGCAGCATGAAAAGGGCACAAAAGGAAAGAGATCTTCACAACTGCCCTCTTCCTGGAGAACTGCCAAAGTAAGAGCTTGAACATCTTCCAGAAGCATTTTAAGACTTTCCTTTTCAGGCTGACTTTTTGCGGCTAAGGTTAAGCCGGCATGGTGAATGAGGATGTACATACTTAAATGGGGTTTTGAAATCCTGGTTCCATTGTGTGTGTGTATCATTAAAAATGATAAATACACTCCACAGGTTAAAATGTTCCTTTAAAAACATAATTACTAGGGTTGTGTGCATGCCATCATTCAATGTAAGCATGGGTTTGTTAAAAGGATATGTAGTCTGCTTTTCAATTAAAAAAGAAGAAGAGTTAACTAATACAGAACAATAAAAACAATACAAAGGATTGGCCCTTAAGAGAGTGCTACCCAAAGGCAGAAACAACAATCCCCAATATCACCCATCAAGGTAGGAGAAAAGGTTTAAGGAAAACCACTGCAGTGCAGTGCCCCCACTTCCAACCTATACGTCCAATTCAAAGGGATACAATCATCAATGGCAACAGTTCACAAACATGCTCATTATTCACACTGGCATATGCATCTTCCAATCAGTATCAGGGTGAGTCCCCATCCTTCTCCAAACCTAAAGGACAGAACTCTTGCCGATGGCATGCAAAGTTTTGGAGTCCTCTGTGAAGCAGCAAGGTGTCTTGCTGCTTTCTGAACATCTCATAGACTCATTATGTTAGGGGAGGCAGAGGACAGGGTTTCACCAACTGCAGCCAGAGTGCACCTCTAGGTCCGCATGTTGCCAGTTAGGACCCCACCCACCTTAAGAGAAGACAGTTAGTGGTGAACACAAATCTTGGCTGGTTAATGACAAGCAAAATTCATGGACTTCTGATAGATGGTACCAAAAATTGCTGAGAAATTAAGGGAAATCAACTTATCTTTCTCCCAGCAAATATCATCAGCTACGGTAATAAAATTAGTAGGGGTCCCAAACTCCAGCAACAAAACTGACTGAAGAGGGTCATGAGTCTGGAATTGCTTGGCCTTTTTGATTATTCTTGGTCATAAAAGCAAGCTGAACATTGGTTTCCCCAGGCTCTTTATCACTAGCCATGATGGATAGGGGTCAGATAGGCACGTCAAATGTACTGATCCAAAAGCCCCCTTCACATCCTTGGCTGCCAGCACTTGGAACTCGTCCAATAAAACCTACCCAGACACCCATGTGGTTGACTCAGAAAAATGGGTGGAATCAATTTGGAATGGATGCAAATGATTTCATCCACAGAACCTGTCATAGAAGGCCATGAGTTAAGCCTTCCAGCGAAGGAGACACAGAATGGTAAAGCCCCAGCTGTACAAAACCTTGCACTCAGAGGTGGTGAAATCCACAGATTTCTACTCCACTGTCACTATGAGGAAATAAACCTTTCACCGGGCTGTTTGATTGGCATTGCTACAACTTTTCATCCAAGTGAGTTCAAGTACATTCCTGCCACCTCATTATTACCAGCTTGGCCTGCTTGCCAGCTATGACCATTCCTGATGGAGCAAATGACCAACAACATGTGGCATCATTGTTAAAACATCTCCCCTGGCTACCCATCTACTACTGAGCCAAGTTCAAGGTCCTTGTATTAATTTTCAAAGCCCTGCACAACTTAGGTCCAGGGTACTTAGGGATTGTCTGAACCCTTAATATCTCAACTCGATTACTAAGATCATCTGCAGGAGTGTCACTGGTCATCCCCTGAGTTGGTGAGGCTCATCTGACAGTGACATGACACTGAGCCTTTAGCATCATCTTCCAAAAAGAGATTCAGCAGGTGCCTTCCGCTTTAACCTTTAAGTATCTGCTGAAAACATTTCTATGCCACCAAGCTTATGGATACAATTAAGAAAACAGATTCCTGTAATAGTTAACTGATTATTTCTGGCATTTTTAAACGTGTTTTTGCATATGTGTGTGTGCGCGCGTTATAAACCACTTTAGATTTCTTAAAAAATGAACAGTGGCATACAAGTATTTTTATAAATATATAGCCCACAGTTTTCCCTTAACCACCACAAGTTCACACTTCTAATGCCACTGAATCTGTTCAGGGATAGCACACAGCAGCTGGTCAAAGGTCAGACTGGCCTTTGTCCCATGATCAGATACTGGACAATACTTTTTAACACAGCTTTTGAATAGCAAATCATTGCTACAGTGTGGCACATAGCCAGACACTCATGGGGCTGTAGCCAATTAAACAGATCTGCTAGTGAAAGGATTTCTGATTGTGCAACAGAACCTCCCGCAGGGTGCAGGGAGAGAAATTGGGAAGTTCATTTGTGCAAGGGCAAATCCTTGTGCTGGTGGATCTATTTAGAGTAATACAGTCCAAAATAGAGAGATCTAGGCACCAGGGCCACGGAGACCCTTGAACATAGACATGAAATTATGCACCCCTGTAATTCAAGTACTACTGGGTTTAGAAAAATGTCATCATTTAATCAATTGATGATTTGGGGTGGTATAATTACCTTTCTAGTCAAAATAGAAATGTTCAATTAAACACTGCAATGCACGTACACAAGGGTATAATTTCATTTAATCCAAAATGATTTCTTGGTATTACTCTTTGTGCTAAACTTCGTACTTATATCACAAAATGGACAGCTGTCATTAAAGGTTGGACCATGCTACACACTAGGGAGGTGGCATCTGGAAATTAACTGGGATCAAATTGTAATATTTTATACAATGCTAGTTTCTAACTAGCTGTGAATGTGTGTAATCTGAAAGGAAGAGGGCATATCAGGCAATAAGTCATGTTAAGGAGGACTCACAACATTCACATGTGACTAAAAGCCTAAATGAAAGCTAAATGCTGAATAGGTATAATTAGAAAAAAGTCCTTAATTTACAAACTAGGGCTTTACATTCACCTCAGAAACAAAACTTAAAGCCTGGGCAATGTTCTTAAACCAAGAATGCTGACTGTGCCACTGGTGCCAGACCACTGCCGCTTCTGCTGCTGTCTCCCACCGCTGTGGTGAGGCCTTGCAGCCTGCTACTGATTTTGCCGCCAGGCCACTGCTTTAATTGCCGCTGCCGCTATTGCCACTGCTGCAGCGAAGTCTCATAGGCTGCTACTGCTGTTGCCTCCCACCATCACGACAAGGCCTTGCAGGCCATCCGCACTTCTGCCACCGCTTGCCATGAGGCTTCACAAACCACAGCTGCGACTGCTGCCACCAGGTCAAATATTATGAAACAGTTATCACAATGTAAACTTCAAAGTGGTTTTAGACAATATATCCCTCTGTCACCCAGTCCTAGTGAGCATCAAAATCATCTGCAAAAACAGAGTCTTATTTACTGTCATTTTAGCAGGTGACACCATGCAAATTTGCACAGCACCCCCTGTAAATGGATGCAGAACCACTCCCTTTCAGCAGCACTTTGCAAGGTGTTTTGAAGTCCCCTCTTCAGGACTTCAAAGTATCTTGAAAAGGTGGGTGACCCTGCACACCTGTCAAATTTGGTCTGCGAAGCTGATCCTGAAAAGGATTTGGCCCACGGAGCCAAAATGTTTCCCCACACCTGTTGTAGAGTCTGTGTACTCCTTGCATAGAATTACCACCACAGGTTAAAGTGGGAGTTTGCTTAATCCCCAAATATATGCCCCTGTGAGAAAGACACCGTGTTTGCAGAAAAGGAGCCTTTACATATGAGTTGTGGCGAATCACTACAAAAAGGGAGTTACTGAAACAGAAGAGGTACGTGATGAGATGGGCTCCATACATACAAAATACCGTGCACTTATTCGGATTAAATCGTTTTGAATAACCAGTTTTTCCAAGGAAATGGCAGTGCAGTTTAGAATCCTAGTCTACCCATAAGTGTATGCATTACAACACTTTCATCACTGCAAGTACATGCAGCCCAAACACTGAATCATAGTATCGCGCAACAAACTAACTATTTAAAAAAGAATCTTGTCAGAGATCTAGCATTCCAATTGTCTCTACAATTTGGGCTCTTTAAAGGAGGCATAAATAATTGATTAATAATAATAATCAATTATTATTACTCACTACCATCCAAATACCCTCCAAAATTTCCTGGATAAAGTGTTCAAGTTAACAGTCAAAATCTAAATCACTTGCAGGATAGCATCCTTTAGAAATTAACCAGTCTGGATCCTGAAGGGCATTTGTGACTTTTGAGTTATATCAATATAAAACTCACACACAACATTCCCAAGTACAGCAGTTGTGAGGACATCTATGTTGACCAGAAACAGATTTCACATCCGGGGGGCGGGGTCAGACTTGTTACAACAAAGAGTGTTCTGTGGTACCTTCATGATTTAACAAATTTATTATAAATTTTGTGGACTGCAGTCCATTCATTTGATGCATGAAGCGTAATTGTGAATTAGTAAGCACTGGCAAACACATGGCTGAGGGGAGCAAAGTCAAATGGAAATGAAATTCATAACGAACAGTGCCTCAAAGCAAGATAATTACAGTGACCAATTAACAAGGCAGTGTTGATGACAGCACCAACATCTTGGCATTGGTATCCAATTAACATATGTATTGAATTGTAATTCATCTGTTTCATGCTGGACTTTCCCTTTAGAGATCTTTGGGTTTTATATTCATGCGTGATTTACATCTAATGCTACTTCAGCAATGTCAGATCAGCCACAGAGCTTTCCTTAAGTGACCAGGGAGAGCTGCCACCCCATTGATTTTAAAGAGTGTTCCTACTCCTGTTCCTATCTCACCAATTCCCGTCTCAGTTCTGACAGTATACGAGTTACAGGTGCATATGCTCAACTATATCAACATGGCTTCTTCACTACTAGAGTGGAATAGAAACGATTAAGTATTGGTTTTTCTCTTGCTGTAAACCGAGGCCATTGTCAAAAAATAAGGAGGCAGCCTACTGAGCAGTACTCTATTGTTTGCTTTGCTGCAGAGCTAAGTGATTATTTTCTCCATAGGAGCCACACCTTCAGAACAGACATTCTTAACAAATGTTCTCATTCTGGTGCAGAGACCAACTAGCTTTCTTCCACAAAAGAGGTGAGGAAGGGGAGGGTGTTCATTATTACTGTAATGACCTGATTGAGACAAGCAGACATGAGGAGTAAGAAAACAATGCTTAATGGACAGCCCATATGGTATCAATTCATGATGTAAAAATAGGTGATTGCCCAACAGGCTTTCAAGCATAACATTATTTTTAAAATGTCTTGAAAACCACATGCAGTTTGAAATATTTCACTTAACCTCTTAAGTGATTGGGAACATAAATTTCAGGAGAGATTTGTGTATATAACACCATAGCTCTCAAAATATATAGATAGCCTCATAAGGAACTAGGTCACAGAAGTTAAGAGTTCAGAAAGTGAGAGTTTAAATGGGTGGTCTATGACTAGACAATACATCCTGCAGACCAACTTGTGGAGAGTGCCTTGCTTTAAGCAGAGGCAGGGCACACATACAATCAAGACAGTCATACCCAGCTTGAGGACTACTTCTGCAAAGATGATGTTCTTGGTTTGAGGAAAAACTACTTTTAGGTGAGGCAGGGAAGGAAATAGTTTAAATTTGTATGAAAGCAGGATGTTTGGCTCTGACCATTTTCTACCCCTGCAATTGCATTTCAAATGGATGGCTTACACAATTACTACTTTCTGGAGGAAGGTTCACACAGTGGTGCAGCTATGTACTTCTAGACCAGGGGTCAGCAACCTTTTTCAGCCGTAGGCCGGTCCACCATCCCTCAGACCATGTGGTGGGCTGGACAATATTTTGAAAATAAAAATAAAAATGAACGAATTCCTATGCCCCACAAATAACCCAGAGATGCATTTTAAATAAAAGCACACATTCTACTCATCTAAAAACACCTGGCAGGCCCCACAAATAACCCAAAGATGCATCTTAAATAAAAGCACACATTCTACTCATGTAAAAACACACTGATTGCTGGACTGTCTGCGGACCGGATTGAGAAGGCGATTGGGCCGCATCCTGCCCATGGGCCTTAGGTTGCCTACCCCTGTTCTAGACCTTGCACTAAATGGTCTTACGGGAAGTGGGGACACCTTATATGACCATGAGTATCATCTCTCCACCTTGCGTCACTTCATTCATTGCAATTGGTTAAATATTCCAGCATTGTTAGAGCAAAAGCACAAACAAAGCAGCTTGACAACCTTGATAAAATAAAAAAAATAGAGAACATGCAGTTGTGATATTTAAACTCGCTTAAATCACTGCACTATCCTGACTACAGGAAGAAAATGCAATTTGATTCTGCTGCCTTGATGGGAATGCACAAACTTTGTTCTAGAAAAACAGTATTGTATATTTTAAAGTTGAAAAAAGAATCAAATTAGCATCTGCAATCATGTACTTGTCTGGTCAGTCACCTCAAGCATATAAAAAGCTTAAAATAAGTGGAGGGATGGAAAGATGCTACCAATATAGTATCAGGCCTGGTGGGCTTTGGCATGCCCATGCCAGCCCAGGTGTTGATACCTGGCTTCTTTGCCACTGAGGGATCAAAGGCTTCTATTCATATAGAAGCCTTTGAACAGTCCAGGAGCAGAGTCACACCTTCCATTTAAAGCACATTCCACATCCATTTAAGGCACATGGCTTCCCCCCAAAGAATCATGGAAAGTGTAGTTTGTTAAGGTTGTTGGGAATTGTAGCTCTCTGAGGGTGGAACTACAGTTCCCAGAATTCTTTGGGGGAAGTCATGAATATTAAATGTGCACTGAATATGCTTTAAATGTATGATATGGATGTACCCCAGGTGACCTTTCTTTTAATTCTGAAGATGTTTGACTTGGTTACTGTTTGATATTATTTTATTGTCCAAGCATTAACAGATTTTTATCTGCTCTTCAATTCACAGGTAAGGTGCTATGTGACTGAAGTCAGTCATTGATTTCAATGGTTCTTCTCTGAGTATGATTCTGTTGGATACCACCCATCATTATGTATTTTTAGTGTGCTTTTATTTTGGTTATTAGCTTCCTTGAGTCTGTGGACAGAAATGAAGGATACTGAAAAAACAAACAATTTCTGTCAGATCATCCAACATACGGAGAGATGTACTACCAGATGGCAGCTTCCCCTGGAGACTCAAAGTCTGACCATCTTTCTGAAGAACTATTTACTCAAGTTATCTTTGGTGGCAACAGGCAAGGGTTCATTTGATTAAAGGGTGGGGCTTAAATGTACATTGTATCTAGTCTGAGTACCTCTGTGTTTTTGTGTTAAGGGCTGGTACAGTGCAGTGGCGAAAACAGTGAACCTCTTAGTTTAGACAACAATGCTCTGTTCCCTCAGGCAAGCCATTAGTCAAAGCACAGTATCTGCAAAATGGGAATAATACTACAGGCTTGTTGTAAGGATCACCAAAATGTTTGTAAACACTGAAAAGCTCAAATGCACACAAATGTATTGTATCTGAGGAGGACACTGTACCCAACTATTGCCTCTCAGAAGTATTGCCTCTATACTGTCATCTTCATGCCAATTGACTTTGGATGTTCAGAGGTGCCACTGGCTTTTCCCACAATATCTACCAGTGGGAGGCACTCATAGGGTACGCTTCCAAGAATACATAAGTGATCAAATGACAAATATGAATGCTGCTATGTGTACTTCAGAACATCTTTCTATCAGATGGGCAGACACACCCTGCAATTCCCTTGTTATTCAAAAAGTGGAAAGGGGAAATTATACCTGATTAATTTTACTCAGTTTTTAACACTGTTATCTGAAGAAATCATCCCTCCTGCCATGGGACCTACTCAAACACTCCTGAGGCAGAAACTATCTACAGTAAAAAAGAATTTTACAACCACTGTGAAAAATAACTTCAGTGTATGTACTGACAGATACTATATAAAATCCTTAAAGTTCTACTCGAAACCCTTTTTGAAAAGCAGTGGCTCACAGCCTCAACTATTCACACCACTACTGTAAAGATAAACTGCAAAGAACATGTATCAAGCACACAGATTCAGAAATTATATATAATCTCTCCTATCACACTGCTCATTTTGCACCATTCCACCTACAGCCAATTTATAGAAATCATTGTATGTCTCTAGATCTAATATAAGGATGACTCATATATAATGGCTAGTCTTTTATGCACTATTCCCTACTTTCAAGGGTTATGTAGAGACTAAATTGTAAAGCAGATTGCAAATCATCTTTCTTTGAAAGGCTTTAAAGAAGATTCTATGAGAGATACTTTAGAAATTCCCTCCCCTCCCCTGACATCAGATGTTTTCTACGAACACAGTATTTTGAAAGAGCCTGTGAAAGTAACCTACTCCCTCCAGTAGGGTTAGTTTGTTAGAATTACTGTTTACAAGGTTCTCTGCAATGCTACTCAATATACTAGATATGTGACCATATTTTCTGCCACAATTTTCTTCTTTCAACACCTATGCCTGAATATGTCTTGTATAACTCAAAAGCTCAAATAAAAAATCTTGAACATTATCTGGTACTTAATTCTTTTTTCACCACGCTACTGTCATTGATAGCTATTTCAGCTAACTATTGTTTAGCAATAAGGGAGGGACATGATCACAAATCACCCTCCCCCAAAACTCCACCCTCAACCATGGCTTGGTGTCACAGCTGATAATCAAGAACACCCCCTGAACACCAGTTAACCATGGTTACTATTTTGGGAACATTATGCCTGCACCCCTTATGACTCTGATCTGGCAGAGGAACTTATTACCTGGTCTATTTTTACTGGAATAGAGGTCTTTAGTTATTACAAGTGCGGGCAAAACATTCCCTAGTTTGAGATGTTTGTACAGATTTGGTGATAAATGTTTTGAGATCAAGTCAGCATCTCTGGGGTTCCCTGCTGCCATAAAACAATGGGAGATCTGATTTAGTGTGTTGGTTTCACTTACATTGATTGAACAAGACTTTAAAAAGTATGTCATGCTCATTTTATGTACTAAGTATCTGAATAGTTTCTCCAAAAGTCAGTTAAATGAAGTATTTGCCTGGAGAGGAAAATTCAAGCTGCTCCGTTCAATGTGCTTTAAGTGTTAGAGTCAAACAAATTTGAATCTTTATTTGGAAATTATCTTTATTAAACTACTTTTAAATAAGTTCTTAAAACAACTCAGTAACATATAGTCGACTCTCAGCTTATGTGGGGGTTAAATTCCACAGACAGTGCATAAAGCCAAAATCATGTATAGGCAAGACACACTCTCCCTGCACCTCCAAGCACTCTCCCAAGGTGAGTGTAGTGGCAGGTGGGGTTGCCAATGTTTGTTTGTTTTAATGGATGCCTGCCCCTATTTGTTTAAGTTTAAATGCATGTCGGTTGCAAGTCAATTGTATAAAATTATAAAGGAAAAAAAATTAAGGTACTGAAAACTATTTTACCATACTAAATTTAGTATCCCTCAAGAGCTGTGTGCATAAGCATGTGCTTTCTAGGGCTAGTCACTTCATAAATAGCCAATTACAACCATGATTTTATATTTCATTAGTATTATATTCATTTCAGTTGCCAAATTTGCACAGTACTCATTTCTAAAAGTGGAACATTTTCCATGGAAAAAATATCACTTGAAAAATTTCCAGAAATGTTTTCACCCCACAGCACTGTAACAATATATTTGGTCTACAAATATTTGCATTAGTAAGTAGTCTCTCTCTGTATACAAGCTGGAAATTAGCTATCGTTCCATTGTATCTAATTACATGTTCTACATAACTCAAAGACTAAAATATTCATTTACTAACAGAAATTGGTCCAACAAAACTCTCTCATATTATTTCCGGTTTCCATTTTTAAATATATCATTGTATGCACATTTTCCCAATTGGGTTATGCCTCCTTTCCTCTCCCTCACAAGAATACCATGTAGATATCTATAATTAGAATAAGCAACCATAACATACACATTTGAATGTTAACGTTCCCAACTGTACATCTCCCTTGGACACTGCTTTTGGGAAAAAAACATTCCCAGTGCTACCCAAAACACTGTTCATCTGTGCCAATACATACTTTTCACAGGGGAAAGGCCTGGGAATAGATTCCCCTTCTCATACAATTAATCTCAATGGGGAAAAAATACTAGTGTCATATCACAAGAACCCCTCCATGTATCTAAACTCTCCCCTTAATTTTCAGATTACAAGATGGTGTAAAAAATAATGAAATTGTTATGTGCTGTTGCTTCTTACTTCTGTTCCCTGCATGCCACAAAACTTCAGTTAGTGACCTTTTTTTATTTGGACTCGGTTACCAATCAACATTTTCCTGGGCTATTTAGTCAATGGAAATTAATTCAGTGAACATGCACTCTTTTTCTTTAGTTTGCACCCAGCTTCCAATAGTACCCATTAAAAGTAAGAGAATGAAACCAAAACATTGTTTTTACCTGTCTCAGTTTCTGGATGAAGACGCTGCTCTTTTTCATTCTGCAGAACTTATCACCTTGTGCCATATGCTGCCTAAGTCATCCAGTACTTTGACTCAGTTACTTTTATTTTTCCTTTCTGGACCAGAAAGTAAAGAAGTAGCTGTGCCCAAAGCAGAAGTTCCTTCTGAGCTGAGCTAGTCTCCTCCCTGTATTCAAGTTATTCCTTGGTCACACTGTTGAAAGATTACACTTGGGCACTTTATTTTCCTCCCTCATGAAATCCCCACAAAGAGAGACTTGAACCATCTTATTGCTCTTATTTGTGTCAACGATGCTGCCTCCTCCGCACTGTGGCTATCAATTCAGGAAGGGGGGGGGAGGGACAGCTGTTACACAAAGAACTGGATGAATCTCTGGCTAGATAGGGTGCTTTTGTGTGATGCCAGATCATGTCAATTATGTGCCATGTTTTCCTGAATAGTTCATTGTTTACCCTTTGCTTGCCCTGTTTGCACTTTCTACAGCATCTTCATCCTTCAGGATTCTCCTTTTCAATTTCAGAATAGTAAAGCAACAGTAGTCCTGGGCTGTACCACATTTATCTATTCTGATATTAAACACATGCACCAACCACCAGTCATGTTTCCTTTAAAGCTATTTAGCAATCTGTTTTGCATAATGTCCACAAACACACAGGGTCAGCACCACACATTGCAAACCAGTCATCCATCCTGTCAAAGAGCTACAGGCTCCACAATGCCCTTTAACCACATTCACATTTGTTACTTCAAAATACACCAAAGCATCAACGCTACAGGATCTCCCTTACTCTAAACCCACTGTATTTGCCATATGTCAAAGTACATGTGTGTGCTCATGTGCATACCTCCCTGACCACTGGTCAGCGTCTGAAAACAGTTGTGATTAATATACAGCTGTCATTTGCTAAGCTGATATGACCAATACTCATTTTGTCAGCATACAATTCGATGAACTTTAGCCGCACATGGACAGATATACCTATTTACATTTTACTTTAAACCCTCAAATTTTGCTCTTTTACAAACACACAGAAATAGACTACCGTATTTTTTGCTCTATAAGACTCACTTTTTCCCTCCTAAAAAGTAAGGAGAAATATGTGTGCGTCTTATGGAGTGAATGCAGGCTGCGTAGCTATCCCAGAAGCCAGAATAGCAAGAGGGATTGCTGCTTTCACTGTGTAGCGATCCCTCTTGCTGTTCTGACTTCTGAGATTCAGAATTTTTTCTCTCTTGTTTTCCTCCTCCAAAAACTAGGTGCGTCTTGTGGTCTGGTGCGTCTTATAGAGCGAAAAATACGGTATGTATTCCACATCCTGGAACACTATGCTCCTCCTTTCTTGCATGTCCTTCCTCCCCCCCCCCAGCTGCCCACCTTCCTTTTCCAGACCAGGATCCCCTTTGTCTATATATTAATTAGGCCCTTAGTAGCCATAAACAAACAGCACAAAACTGGTCATGCCAGCAGCATTAAGACTGGTTCCCTGGCCCTACCCTCTCCATTTCATGCTTCTGTCCTTGCATGATTCCCTCCCCACCCCACCACCCAGTGACATGAAGTCCACAAATACTCCAGAGAATCTCCCACTATTCTGAAGTATCACCCTCCTCTAATCCCTACACCTTTCTCCTGTTTTATCTCCCCCACTTAAGTGGGACATAAACTGGGAGAAGATGACTTTTCTCCCTAGCCAGGTTAGCTAGCCTCCTGATGAGACCCTTTCCTGCCACTACCTAGGAACTGCAGCTTTTATTTTCTTTACATATACCAAGTAAAGGTTATCTAGACAGAACATTAAAGCTGTTGAATTTTCCACTGCTATGCTTCCTGTGGATTGCCTATATCTTCAGCAACAGCAGCCTGTGTATAAGAGTGCACTTAGGATGCACTTGAGGATAAACTGAAAATTAGTTGGACAAGTAATTGAAAAGTGCCATCCCCTTCTAGCAGTTTCTGAACAAAGCTAGAATCCTAACAGTACCTTCCAACCCTCAAGAACCTTCACAGGAGACTGAGGATATCTGTAATATGCCATCTTTTAAACAGCCCTGGGAATCTGTTTACACACACACACACACACACACAACCCTTCCCTTCATTGGTAGGGCATAAATTATGTGGGTAAAGTGTGCCTGCCTTAACACTGTTCAGGAGCCTCCACATGCCTACAACTTGTTTCTCTCCCAATTCTAATCTAGTCCCAGCACACTTCTACAGCAGCTCTGCAACCTTCTTCCATTATCTCTACCACTGCTCCAAACACATACTTTCTCATAACTAAATTTCTTCTGGCTACAACCTGCCAATTCATCCCCATCCCTAAACACCTGAAGAATAGCATTTTCAGGTCAGACCCTGCCCCACCTCACAGTCTGCTCTTCAAGTTCTGGTTAATTTCACCCCACACCCAAAATAATAATAATGCATTAATGTCCATGTTCCTCAACTGTGTATATAATCAAGGCAGCCCCAATCCTGGGACTTTCACTGCCGCTCCCACAGTGTGCTTAGGCTCCTCCCCTTCCTCTTCAAGCTCATTCTCCACCCATCCTGCCCCACTCCCAGTGGAAGTGGGTGGGATCCCAAACTCTGTTAACGAACCTCCTCGCCCAACTTCCCTACATGTACCGTGGTGCCACTAAGCACACACCCCAGACTTCCTAACGTAATATTTCCTTTCCTCTCTAGTGCACATCCTTCCCACAAGCGATATCCCACAGAATGGCACGGGCGGGGCGAGGGAACCCTTCCATCTGCGTAACCTATCACGACTGACTCCACCCCACCCAATATACACAGTGTTTCCCTCTTATTTGCCTCTCTACAGGCTTACCTATTCAAAGGCGACTATATACACCTTTCCCAGTTTTGTTCGAGGGAAAGGATCTCCTCCAGAGAAATGCCCTCACGTCGACGGGAGAAGAAACCACCTTACACTTGGACATGTAATCTCCCTCATTGTAATCACGACAGGCAGCCCTCCCACCCCCACCCCCACCCCACTTAGGGGAACTTGTCTCCTTCCGCGGCCAGTTTTCCTCTCTAGTGTCTGGCAGGCGAGGAAAGGGAATTTCCTTCAGCCTCATCTAGTCGCCTCCCTTCCCCCATTTAAAACCCTCCCAGGGGACACACAAACACCGCCCCATCTCTTCGGCCACCGCTTTATCGCCCCTCCAGATCTGGGGTCCCCCCTTTCTTTTGAGGGGAGGAGGGAGAAACGAGAATAGGGGAAGGGAAATCTCCTTCGACGAAATCTAGCGCCCCCCTCCCCACTGCCCCATTCATAACCGAACAAACCAGCCCTGCACCACCACCTTCCCCCTCCCCACCCCGGAAAACTTTGGGAAGGCCCAGCCGATGCTCCCTCCGCTCACCTCAAACCGGCTCTTGGTGACTCCGTTCATTTCCCTCCTCATGGTGAAGGCCCTGCGGGGGTCGGCTCGGGTGAGAGCAGGCCAGGCCGAGCCAGGCCTGGCCCCCCCGGCTCCTGAACGGCGGCGTCAGCAGCGGCCGCCCGCTCAGCCCCGCGGCCTCCCTTCGCGCTGCGGGGCTGAAGGAGGCGCAGCAGCCGGGGAGGTAGGAGGCGGAAAGCCCGTCGTCGCCCGTCTGCCTCCCTAGACCAGCGGCGAGGGCCCGGGCGGCGTTAAGGCTCCTCAGCGGGTGCGGTTGAGGGAGGGGGGTTTCGGCCGGCCGGAGCCCCCTCCGCCGACTAGGCCCACTCCAGAAGGGAGGGGGGAGCAAAGAGAAAGCGAGCGAGAGAGAGAGAGTTCGGCCTTCGTCAACTACAACTACTACTTCTTCTCCTTCTACCCAAAACAAAAACACTCCGCACCTGCCAGCAACAGCGCCGCTCATTGGATGAGGGAGGCGCAGGCCGGGGAGGGGAAAGAGCACGGGCGGCGCGCGCCTCTGCGCGCGCGGGTGGTGGGAGGAGGAGCGTGTGCGCGCGCCCACCGCTTCTCCCGGGGACAAGGCGAAGAAGCCGGGAGGGTCCTGGTCAGCCTTTTCCCCCCGCCCCGCACCCTTCCTCAACTCTGGTCTGGGCAGGTGAAGCGACCGCCTCCCGTCGCCAACCCTGAACCTATGCACGTTTCAATGACGGTCGTCGCAGCGCGCAGGATTTCGGTTCCGATCCTACGCACGTGTGCGGCTCACGGGTGAAGCCGTTCGTCCCTACCGAGCTCGGTGAGGCTTGTAGATATATGTTTTCAGCGCGCGCGCACTGGCACATTTCGGTTGCGCTCAGCCGTGGGGACATGCTCCCAAGCAGCTCTAGTGACTGGCATCTTTATTGATCTTAACGTTGTGCTGAATGGATCAACAAAAGGAACTGCTTCTTCGTTGCCATCAGTTAAAAGGCTTCAAACGCAGCTAAACCTTTTTTCTCTTTTTAATTTTCTCTACCTTTCCTCTGGGTTGAAATTATTATTCCCTGGGGTGCCCCTTGCAGCAAGCTGTTTAGCTTCAGCATCCCATCAGGTGCCTTCAGATCATTCTCTTGAGCAACAAGATGAAAGCTTCCAGTTAAGAAGATTTGGCTCCTTTATTCTTGGGGGGAGGATTAATTCCTGTGGCATGGTGTCTCATCCAGCTATTGTATATATTGGGGGGGGGGGGGGGCACACGACATTCTGTAACCAGGATAAGTAGCTGCCTCACTCCCTTGAATCCAAATTCTGCCAAGATCTGATGGATTGGTAGATTGAGCGAGTCGTGGACCACCTGCACTCACTAGGTTGGCATTCAGCAAGCCGATTATCCTATCATCTTCACATACATTTTGGTAAGGGGGGGTGGGGAAATACATATATAGAAGATGGTTGCCATATAGTGGTAGTGATGATACAAGCAGTTTGACAGTGGAACGATCTGTTTTAAAAGGTGGTGGATTCTCCTTCACTAGGGGCTTTAAAGCAGAGAATGAAAGACTAGCTACTGGGGTGCAACAGCAGAGGATTTCTGCAAAAGCAAGGGGTTGGACTAAGGTTACCTTTGAGGTCCCTTCCATATAATCTTACTAATTTACTGTACAAGGGCTATTGTAAGGATTACTGAAAGGACTGCACGTGAAACTGCATGTACTGGAAAACCTGAAATACACTGTATAAATGTCAAGCATTCTTACTAGTGTTAATTATTAAACAAAACTATTAAGCTTTTACTCTGATACCATGAACTGAAAACGACCAAAACCAATTAAATGATACTTTTGCCAGTTGTTTACTCAAATGGGAACAAAAGTTGATTAACATTTAGAAATTTATCTTATTTGTATATGAACAATAACAGCTCTTTTACAAACCTGGAGGAGGAGACTCTTGAGAGTCCCATGGACTGCAAGAAGATCAAACCTATCCATTCTTAAGGAAATCAGCCCTGAGTGCTCACTGGAAGGACAGATCCTGAAGCTGAGGCTCCAATACTTTGGCCACCTCATGAGAAGAGAAGACTCCCTGGAAAAGACCCTGATGTTGGGAAAGATTGAGGGCACAAAGAGAAGGGGACGACAGAGGATGAGGTGGTTGGACAGTGTTCTCGAAGCTACCAGCATGAGTTTGACCAAATTGCGGGAGGCAGTGGAAGACAGGAGTGCCTGGCGTGCTCTGGTCCATGGGGTCACGAAGAGTCGGACACGACTAAACAACAACAAACTAGCATTTTGTTTCCAATCTATATTTCCCCCACCTTTGACTAATGCAAACATTTTTGTTAATAATAATAATAATAATAATAAATTTATTTATATCCTGCCCTCCCCAGCCGAAGCCGGGCTCAGGGCGGCTAACAACACTAAAATAGTGCAACATTATAAAAACATTATAAAAATTAATTAAAATCAAAATTGATGGCAACCATAAACTAAAGTTTTGTAAAGATTGCCAAAGGAGGGAGTCAGGCTGCGCCCTGAACAAAGGCCTGGTGGAACAGCTCTGTCTTGCAGGCCCTGCAGAAAGATGTCAAGTCCTGCAGGGCCCTTGTCTCTTGTGACAGAGCGTTCCACCAGGTTGGAGCCGCAGCCGAAAAAGCCCTGGCTCTAGTTGAGGCCAGCCTAAACTCTCCGTGGCCTGGGACCTTCAAGATGTTTTTATTTGAAGACCGTAAGTTCCTCTGTGGGGCATACCAGGAGAGGCGGTCCCGTAGGTACGAGGGTCCTAGGCCGTATAGGGCTTTGAAGGTTAAAACCAGCACCTTAAACCTGATCCTGTACTCCACCGGGAGCCAGTGCAGCTGGTATAGCACCGGATGAATGTGATCTCGCAGCGAAGATCCCATAAGGAGTCTCGCTGCGGTATTCTGCACCCGCTGGAGTTTCTGGGTCAGTCTCAAGGGCAGCCCCACATAGAGCGAGTTACAATAATCCAGTCTGGAGGTGACCGTCGCGTGGATCACAGTCAAATCGCTGGTCTGCCCTGGGTTCGTTCCTTTTGGAATGTAATGAAATAAAGTTTCCTCTAGGAATAAATTTTGGAAATAGGAGTACCTGAGGATACAGGTGAAGTCCTCCAAGCACATACAAAACACTACCTTTTCTCTACTATTACAAATTTGACCCCAATCTGTGATTAAGGCAATAGGGCTTCTAAGAGCACTTTAGAAACGAAGTCTGAATATTGCACCGTGTTAACTAACCCATCTGATTTGGGAGATGAAGAGAAGCAGACACACTTAACCTGGATACCTTCCACTGTCAACACTCAGCATTAGTCCCATATATGCCATCTTCCAATTAAGATCTCTGCTCCCAGGCAGTAACATCCTATGACCAACTATTCTCATATGACACAAACTCCCACATACACCCCAATATCTACCTACACAGTCCTTCTTAAGGTTCCCCAGAATAGTTATAATAAACCAATAGGCATCTGTACTGTATTTATCTTCATCATATTATGGCTTATATTCTATCCACGTCAACTTGCAATGTAAATCAAAGCCTTCAGGAACTAATAGGTGACTAGGAATTAAAAGAAAAAAGCACTGAGAACTTGGATCATGTACAAGGGGTAACCAACAAGATGTGGTCCTCATCTGTTCAGCATGAGCAGAAGTCCAAGAGTCTGGGGATTCAAACTATTAGACAACTGAGCTTCCTAGACAAAAATGCTGATGAATGTTCAGCACTTATCAGTTCCTGCTAATATAAAACAGCTATGGTCGTGATGGAAATGCACTACCAACTTTATAAGTTTTGAAATTGAAGTTTCAAAAAAGGCTTCCCTCTTTCCAAAAGAGCTCTTACTTGACAATCAGAACTTCATCCAGGTAGAAGCCAACTTGTAAAGTGCAGAAATTGATCTGAGGCAAACATTTCTATCAAACAAAATTTATTTGCATGTAAAACAAACAGGTTATTTGAAGTACCATCAAAAAACTAAAAATGCAGTCTAGTCCTTCCCCACCTCCTCAGTCACCAGAAGCAGTATTTACACAATTGTTCACAAGAGTAAAGGACCTACCATGTACATGAAAAGAACCAATCTTAATCTCAGGTGAAGTACCTACACCTGATATTAATGGGTTTGATTATTTCCTATTTTCTGTTTGTATTTACAATACTGAAAGATGTAGGGTATTGTGAACAAATAAATGCACTTTTAGAAGTAAACATGAGAGATTTTAGGATTGTGTGATACTGGTATGTGTACTCCCAATTTTAATTGGTGAAACTATTCTTTGAATGGTTTATCTTTCTTCATTCCCTATGGGAAAAAAAACATCACTGCTGGACAAAAAAAGGTATGTTGTATTAAAAGTAGAACTTTATTAACATCCTGCTTGCATAAGGTAAAAAAAACAACCACACAATTTTAGAACCTGTTAGCACGGTAGACTTTAGACTTCCATGGAACTAATATGACAATCCAGTTTATGCACAGAGGGCTCATAGGCCACAATAAACCTAATCTCTCCCCTCTTTCCCACATATAATTGGGTGTTCAGCACTTGTGGGAAATGGAAGGCTGATGCATCATCCTCATCCCTCATATGTGCCAGGGAAAGAGCCATTATGACTGATAAGGGAATCCATTCATGAGCAAATCCTGCACCTCTCATACACTGGATCAAGGCTCGTTTTTATTCTGAAGAACCTTTTTGTATAACTCAAAAACCTACTAATGGCCAAGGTGGATGTCCACTGAAAAACAGAAAGTCTCAATTGTTTAACTTTGGGACCCAAAGAATAACCCCTCTAAAAGATCTGGTAGAATTCATGGTTCAAGAGCCATTACCTCTTTTAATATTTTAGACACTGTCCATACCTAAGAATTGTATTACATTGCTCCTCACAGCCTTCATCCTCCAAATACTTTCAACAATTCCATTCCAATTACAGAGGATACCAGAACTATACTGTGCATCCCATCATGAAAACACCGCTCAAATGTTGCTGCTGGGATGCAGCAAGATGTCCAAAGCCTTAAACAAAAAAGCTTCTCATTTTGAGTTGCACACTGTGTTTCTCAGAACCCAGCTTCTTCCCTAAATGAAAAGAATACTGTAAAAACCATCATAATAAACACAACTGCTGTGGCCTGAACATACACAGAATTACATTCTGTGATGTGGCTATCACAAAAAAACCTCTCGATCTATCAGAGACCTTGTACACACCCAAGTCGTCTGCAGTAAAATGAATTGTGTCATTTGCTCTGAATTTATGATTTGCAGTATCTCGGAAACTCAGGAAGCAGGTACACAAGTCAGGCAAACTCTGCAACTTATGGTTGTGTGGGGGTACAGCTTCTCCATTAGAAGCCTCAATGCAACTTCTTCATTAGATAATCTTTGGTGGAGCAAACCTATGACATAAAAGCTTCTAAGAGTGCAAACAGTTTGGGGTGTACAGTTAGGTATCATAAAGTCCTGCAACCGTTGCAAACCCCGCATGGGTGGTTTTATGCCAGGGATGGGGAAGCTGTGACACTCCAGAAGTTGTTGGATTCTGACTCCTATTAGTTGCAGCCAGCAGGGCCAATGGTCATGCAAATGATGATGGGAGTTATAGGTCTGGCAACATTTGGATGGCCACAGGTTCCCCATTATTGCTGTATACTCTAGTATACCATGTGGAGTTCTGTGTGACCACGTGCTACCCTATTCTCTTGAGCATCATGGAATGTTCCATGTGAAGACGATACTGGAGAGAACAAGACATCAAGGTGAGGGTGATATGCATATAGTTCATGGCCTTCAATGGAACGCAGCAAGGCAAATTCTAATGGCAAATCTTAATCCACTACAATACCATCTCTATCTGGTACTATGTGGTTATGGAAAAATTCTAGAATGTTTCCCTTGTATCTAGGTGGGAGTTGGAAGTGTACATTCACTAAGCATATATTTTGACCACTCACACATTATAGGCTCTTTCTTAATAGGTCTGGAAGCCTATATTACCTCACTGGCCTGTGAGCTGCTCCAGTATGCTGTTCCAGTAACTGCTGAAGTCATGTGAGAGGAGTCAAAGATGCAGTCACTTCACTCTGCCTGGGATTTGAGACAACTGCCAAGGGAAGTAGCTGCACTGCTGATTCCTCCCACATGACCTCAAGGTTCCTACTTTTCTGGAGTGGTATGTAAAGGAGCCATGCTGCAGTGGATCTTATACCAAAGAGGAAACTGATTCCACACTCATGCCAACAAACCACACTCACCAAGGGGAAAAAGTGTCACTCCCACTTATTTTAACAGCATTCTCTCCCAGCTGGGTTTTCAACCCACTTCAAAATTAAAGGGGCTGAGAAGTCTACCAATCTACACTCACAGCACCAAACCCTCACTTTCTTCTTCCCCACTCAGTTGCCATCTTATACTACCCAGCGGTAACAGAGGAGACATGCATGGAAGCCAACAGTTTCCATGGAAGAAATCAATTTTATAATACAAAGATTAAGTGAAATGGCTGTAAAAGATGTAACACATCTATGTCAAATACTTCACCACCTGCATAAGGGCCCAACTGGTGCTATCCACTGAACAGTTCCATTTCAGATTTTATTTTTAATAGGAGATGGCAGTCAGCACCTTGTGAACTAGGGGAGATACCAGGCACAGAACCAATTCCGCTAATTAATTTTTGGTGTAAATATCAGAGTATGAATAACAAAACCCAAACAAGCTTAAATCCTGAACACTAAAAATACGCTCCAGAATGAAAATGTTCCTAAAAAAGTGAAGTAAAAGAAATGGAATATCTGCCCAAGTTTCAATTCTATCTTGCAAGTCCACAGGCATGTAACTCTGGGACAAGTGACAACTACACCGAATAGCGTGGTGCATTGATTCTTTGTGGTACAGACTCTGATTAGATGGAAGTATGCATGTGTAAGAGTCCATGTAAACTTCCAAGAATTGAAGAATATTTTTTCACTATGCTCCATTTGTCAAGAAGAACAGCCAAAGAAAAATGCTTGTTTTTATCTGAACCCACAAGGGTGTTGTTTGCACTCACAACTTTAAAAACATTTTTAAAACAACACTATATGAAACATTTAGCCCCAGCCCACTCCCCACCTGCCAACCTTGGCTAAATATTCTCAATTTCTTATCAGGGCAACATCCATGAGATCCTCATCTTCGTCCCCAATCAAAAAATCAGGGCTAGGCCTGGATGGCCTTTCTGATGTAAGAATGGCACTACTTGTCATAGACTGTTCTGAAGAGATAGGAGATTTAGACCAGTTCTCCGTCTTAATGCTGTGAGTTTTCTTTTTGTCTCTCTCTTTATCACGATCCCTATCCCTATCCCGGTCTTTATCTTTTACTTTCTTCTTTTCTTTTTTGTGTTTCTTATGCTTTTCCAAGCTGTATTCTGGAAGAGGCCGAATTCCATCATCAGAGCTGGGGCTGTTCTGATAGGATTTTTCTGCTATGGATGATCCTGATTCACTCTCGCTGTCAATGTTTTGCGGGGTATATGCTGGAGACTTACTGTGACTGGGAGAACAGCGCTCATGCTTTGGAGTAGACCCACTTATTAGTGGTGATCCATAGCTTTTGGAAGATGTCATCTGAGGCCTTAAGCCATCCCCACCTCCTTCTCCAGGCTTCTGCAAGGTAACTTTGGCTTTAATGCTAGGAGAGCCACCGTCATGTTTGCTGATGATAATCTTGGCCACTCCAGTGCTTCCAACATTCTTTGAATCAGATGCCTTTTTGGAAGAGTCAGAGGAGCCTCCTGAAACAGAGACTTTGGATTTCTCCTTGTCACTCCTTTCCCGCTTCCCCTGCAATTCACCTCCAGAGAGGTTGTGTTTGGAGGACATGGAGTGACTTGAGGAACTGGAACTCTGGACCATCTGTCCATCCATTGAGTCTTCCCCACCAGGGCCACTGGTGACTACACCATGCTTGAGTTTGTCTATCACAGCTGTCAAAGATGGCTTTTTGTTCCGGCTTGGGGACTTGCCTTTTGAACTCCCGTGCTGATTCTGAGATGAAGACATGGAAGAGCTGCCAGATGAGAAGGAAGATGAAGATCCCGCTGAAGAATTTGAAGAAGGGGGTGGCTTCTGGGACATGGAACTGGAGGATCCCATCCCTGAAGAGGACTTCATGCTTGAACTTGATCCAGTCCCAGACATGTGTGAGCTTCCAGAACCGGAACTAATAGGGGACTTTGCTTTAGACGACGGGGGAGTACCTGGAACGGGTTTCATCGGAGAGGCCAGCTTGTCAGAACCGCCCGAGGGTCTAGAATGAGAAGGAGAAATGTTTGGTTTACTCATGGAAGGGTTCATAAGTGATGAAGGCTTCCCTTGAGGTTTGATCTTGGTACCTCCAGAGCCGCTGCTGAGGCCGTGTTTTGTGATGGGGGAGGACCCGGGCTTTCCCACTGATTGGGTGGAGCTTTTGGACTGACCTGATCCAGAGCCGCCTTGGCCCGAGTAGAGGCTGCTGCTCATCTTGGACCCAGAAGACCCATCCGACTTGCTGCTCTTTATTTTGCCCGAGGTCGATGAGGAAGACGAAGAGGACGAGGATGACGATGAGGAGGAGGAAGAGGAGGAGGAGGAATGACTGTGATGACTTTTGCTGCTCAAAGAGGAGACTGAGCCGCTGCTTGTGTACTGCCCATGGGAAGGTTTGCCAACAGTCACTGTTCCCTTGGGAATCTGGATGGTGATTTTGGGTATGGGAGGAGTGGCTACCCCAGGGGGTGTTTGAGACCTGCCTGAACTTCCAGGAGATTTCGAGCCACCTGTGCTTGCTGGTGGGGTGAAAGGCCTGGTAGACAAACTATGAGAGGGAGATTTGCCTTCTGGCTCCACCTTCCTCCGCTTCTGGACCTTTTCTTTACTCTTCCCATCGCTGGATGGGGTGCGGCTGCGTTTTCCACCCTTGCCATCTAGCCCAGGGCCCGTTAAAGAACTCCCGGATCCATTACCCTCTTTGACCCGCTTCTGCGACTTTTCCTTCCCCAAATCTCCCGTGCTCAGTAAGGGGCTCTGGCTTCCACTATGATGCTCCATGACATCAGAGACCCCCAGAGCCTTGCTGGCAGCAGTGATAATACTAAAGTCGACTGTGTCCGCTTGGCTGCTTGCCTTGAACTTACTCTCCCCTCCATCTCCCCCCAGCACTTGCACGCCCAGAGTACTTATCGTTTGTGATGCAAAGCCCTTGAAGTCATCAGCGTCTCCACTCTGGCTGCTATCATCAAAGTACTCTTCTCCAAAACCGCTTTGGCTCTGGCTATTCAGGAGGTCAGGGTTGAAATCAACTCCATCAGGGAAAAACTGATTTGAAGAGTCACTGTTTGGGCTCACAGTGGCATCGGCAATCAGGTCAGCTGGATCAGTGTAAGGGTTTTCACTGTTGTTAGACTGAAAGACATCAGGATCAAACAGGGCACTTTGGGAATGCCCTGAACTAGAGGAGTCTCTTACTGGTGTTCCAATAGGAGGACAATCTTCACTGGTGCTTGGTAGCTTGGATGCTTCCTCTGCTATGTCAGAAAGGATATCTGTCACATCAGCACCAATGCTGTCTGAGCTGGAGAGCCGAACCATCCTCTGAATACTGGGCTGGGTATGAGGTATAGACTGTGGATACGTTGTTGGTGGAGTGCTGCACTGACTGGGAGCTGGAGTAATATGAGGGGTATCTAAAGCGTCAGTGGTCATATTGACATCAAAGATGGGATTCTGGGAGTCAACGTCCATGGAAAACAGCTCTCTCTGGAAGTCATCTTCAGTTTGATGCTTGGGTTTCTCCACCGTGACACGTGATTTTTTCTTCTTTTGCTTGTTGCCCCCTGGACCCATTTCCATCCTTGGGGAGCCAGAAGAGGAATTTTGCCTCTCAAGTGGGCTGTTTCCATAGAGCGTTGAGAAATCTTGAGCTGGATTGTCCTTCAACAGGTTCATGAGCATGGGGTGGTTCTTGGTGTTGCTTGCCGGAGATGACACAGGGGGAGGGGTATGGTGTGGAGGCGTGGGACTGGAGCCAATAGTGGAGCCCACGTTGCCTGTGATTTGTAGCAAGCTTGTAAGGATAGGGTTCTGGGACACTTTGCTGAAGTCTTCCCCGTGGCCTACTGAATCATGCCGTTCTTTTATACCCATGCTCATCGTGAACAAGGTGGAGATGGGTCCCCCGGGGAAAGTGTTGGTTGGGGTGGTGGTGCCACTCATTGGGTTGTTGCCGGTGGTCATGCCATAACCTGGGCTGCTGGCAGGGGGCAGGTTCTTTTTCACCATATCTTCAACTGTCTCAGCAATGAGGGACAAAGCTGGTGTGTCTGCTTGGATTGTTTCAGCCTTTCTCCGGATGGCTCTCATGGTCACAGGTATTGACATGCATCTATAAGGCAAGGTGGAGAAAAGCTGGTTTAGTGTCATCCTTGCCAGCAGTAAGTTCCCCCATGAAGCTAAAAGCTGTACTCATTATAAACAATTATGAGCAGTGTTGGGTACAGCTCTACAGAGTGAGCCTCACTTCTGTACTATTCAGGCACACTATATACAGGAATATAAACTTTTACTCTTTTTTCTAGAGGCGAATTCTCCACCACTGCAACTAAGTAGCAACTGAGGAGTAAGGAAGCCCTATTCAATTCACTAAAGTCCTCATAAATAAATAAATAAATAAATAAATAAATAGGTGAATGTATGCTTTTTAAAAGAGAGTTCCCACTTTATCTACTTATTTCATGAACATGACAAAATCAAAGCATGTTAAGGCTTTGCTGAACTGAAGAGCCTGTTCAAGTAAATATGGCCTAAGTAAATATGCCACATTTTGAAAATGCTAAACTGAAGAACTGGCGTCGTTACAGGAGGGATGGGGGACCTGCAGTCCTCCAGATGCTGTTGGACTACAACTCCCATCGGCTATGTGGGGTGGGTCTGATAGGAGTTGGGAAGTCCAACATCTGGTGGTCTATAGGTTATCCACCCCTGAATTACAGAGTAAAGTACAGGACAGACAGATCTAGGCACTCCTTTCATACATGGCTATGCACATTAATGAAACCCAAATTCTGAACTTCAAATAAATCATTTCTATTCACATCAAGATGAATTTCGTTATTTTATTCATTTTACTCCTTTCTCTAAAGACTATAGAGATGGCTTGAAGGCCCAGAAGAGATAGAAAACATCATTCTTCAGATTCAGTTAACAGAAGACATAAATTCTACATGTATCATTTCAGCATACATGAAAGTGTGCACAACATATAAAGACCATAATGGATAACCACAGCTAAGTGCAAGCTATAAAATATAAAGTGCATGCACTTTTCACAAATTGAGTACATGCTTCATATACTCTTCTTCCTACACAAAGTGTACAAAATTGCCTTATGTCACTGGTGCATGGACACCTGTCTCAAACTTCTGCTCCTGGAGGAAAGCTCCTTATCACCAGCAGTAAAAGCAACCCACAGAAGACAGGACTGAGCCTTTTCCTTTTGACAGACAGAAGGGAACCCAAATGCCTTTAATAATTAGAAATCAGCAGCTGACCTTAAATCCAACTCTAAGTTGCAGAGAGTTTTTAATACCAAAGCACACCATCTAAGACAGCATAGTCTGAGTTGATAGGTCTGTCAAAGTGTGGGCACGATAAATTTTGAGAAAACCACAGAAGGATGGACTTGCTGCAGTGCCATAAATCTCCATAAGGATTATTGGACATGAAAGGTAACAGGAGTTCTAATTACCTCTTTCTACTTTTATTTGCCATCTATTATATTTTGTTATAAATATATGTAGATAAATAGATAAAAGAAATAGAAATGTAGAGATGGAAAGCAGGAGCTCCAAGTTAATTCTGGCTGAAAGGGAAGCTAGAGATTGCAGTGTAATGGAAGGCATGTGTCCCAAACATTTAAAGCAACCCCCCCCCCAAAAAAAAATAGGAAAAGGAAAAGGTTCAGGATGCCATTGTTTTAAGTATTAGCCCAGAAACTTTCCTCCCTTGCCTGGGGTAGGCTCTCATTACTGAAATAAAACTGCTGTGTGTGTAGACCTTTACTGCTGTCACCATTAGAGCAGAATATAAAAAGAATAATAGGAAAATGTTACTGTAAAATTATTTTTCCCTTGGTAAAACTTTAATGTAAGTGGCCTCTGCGTTACCAGGTTTATATTTAACCACTGTCTTCAAAGATCAGTTTTTATTCTGGCTTAAGCAGTATGACATACCTTTGAACAACTTTAGCAATGAAGTCATCTGTGCAGATGAGTGCATCAGAAAGCCCTTTATACAATTTGCAGTTCACATGTGTAGAATCTTGCACATCCATTACCACTGAAAGACACAGAGGAATCACAGGGAGGTCATTAAATTGAAAATGTGTCCATCTTCATTCAATGACTGTTTATACATAATTTTTTTCTCTCTTAAAACCCTCCATCCAGCAACTTACCACATACTAGAGAGTCATTTACAGGATGCTGAAAGGACACACTGAAACAGGAATCTGACAGAGGGCAGACTTCAAACTGCAGGATGCCTGGGGAATCTGGAAAGACAAAAGAGCTTGCTAGCAAAGGCCATAAGTTTAAAAAGTCATGTTCACCCTATAGATAAAATAAGGGAAAGAGAGAAAGATGTTCATACTTTTACTTGCAGCTCAACTAAGACATGGAAAAATAGGTCAGGAAACATCTGATGGTGCATGAGTTGGGTAACAGCTACTCTAATCTTTTCAAAGTTTATGTTTATTATGTTAGCTGCTTCAAGTTTACTCTGGAAGGAAGAGTCTTCTATTAATTTTAATAAAATAAATATTAGTTTGGTGCATTGTGGGCTTTGCCTGCTAACTGCAGTGTGAGCAGTTTGCTTTAGGGCCTGCTTTCTTTAGTTTTTTTATACTCTTGCTTAGTTTCCTTACTAACTGAATGGAAATCCTGAACCTGAACTTACTGGCTATCTTGTTCATGCTTCCTTACACTATTCAGAATTTTGATATGGTCAATAAATGCAAGGGTTGAGAAGCAACCATAGTACTAAGAGTACAAGTATTAACATACATAAATGGATAGAAAAACTGATTTTCCTAGGCAAGTGAAATAAATTGGTGGAAAAGCCAAAGGAGTCAGCTGCTGTAGTGATTTAAACCTAACAACATCCGGAGAAGACTGACAGATCATAGAGACCAATATGTTTTTAAAAATACTTCAGGCAATGTACCATGGCTAGCACTCACCTTCTTTTAAGACTGTTCGCTTGACACAGCTGCCTATCAGAGTGTTGTAGGCCACCTGATGCCTGATCAAATTGAGGATGAGAGGAACCCGACTAGGATGGTGGAAAGCAATTTTGCTGAGCAGAGTTCCCTGAAGACTTCGTCCATCTGGCAAGGGGGCATCTTTGTTGAGGAAGTAGCAGTGTTGCTGTCCTGGCAAAGCCTGTTATGAAGGGGGCACACACAATCTCACATTTACTACTTGGTAAAGTATGGATGGGTGCTACAAAATCATGCATAGCCAGGAGATGAAAACCAAACTACTGTTTTTGAAGAACAAAACTGCATTATTCCTTTATACTTTATTCCACCCTTTCCCAAAAAGTCCTACTAGTGGCAAAGGAAGGTGAGTAATGGCTCTGACAAAAACAAATAGATACAACAAAAGCATTGTGTCCACATTAAAAGAGGTAGGAACCAGTGCTATGGTTTCCCAAATTTGGATGTTTTGGAACTGCAATTCCCAGCAACCCTGACCATTGGTACTGCTAGCTAGGGATGATGGGAGTTGTAGTCCAAAAACAACTAGAGACCCAAGTTTGGGAAACTCCGCTAGGTTGTATTTGCTCTCTTTGGGGCTCAATTATATGGCTTGCCTAGTTAATACTTAATCTTCTGGTACTGGGATTAAAATAAGATCTCATTATATACCATCTCATGCTATTTTTTTCTAGACATCAGTATAAATTTAGCAACAGCAGCATAATTACTTTGTCTTTTGAGGAGTCAGTTGAAAGTATTATCAATACATAATGCCAAAAATTCTCTTTTGCAGATCACTAATCATATCATGTGAGGTTCTTAGAACAGGAATTGCCTTCATTCCTTTCAGTCCAAGGTTCAGTTTCTCTACTGCACTCCTCTCAATAATAATCTCAATAATATTCTCTCTTGGGACGCAGGTGGCGCTGTGAGTGAAACCTCAGTGCCTAGGACTTGCCGATCGCATGGTCGGCGGTTCGAATCCCCGCGGCGGGGTGAGCTCCCGTCGTTCGGTCCCAGCTCCTGCCCACCTAGCAGTTCGAAAGCACCCTAAGTACAAGTAGAGCAGAGCAGCTTCGTCACGCTGGCCACGTGACCCGGAAGTGTCTTCGGACAGCGCTGGCTCCCAGCCTCTTAAGCGAGATGAGCACGCAACCCCAGAGTCGGTAACGACTGGCCTGTACGGGCAGGGGTACCTTTACCTTTACTAATATTCTCTCTTAAAAGCAAACGAGTAGTGGAACATCTATCAGTTAGGAAGCAAAATGGTGCCATCAAAATGGCTTTGTATAGATCTCACAAGTGATCATTGGTCCAGCACACAGAGCAGGGCATACCCTAGATTAAGTCTTTTGCTCCAAGTGGAAAGGGTGGTGGTCTGGAAATAGGAGGGGTAGATTTCCCTCCCATTGGCATGGTCAGACTACTTCCTGTTGAGGTTTGGACTTGCAGTGACAACTCTCCCCTACAAGGGTGGACTGCTATTTAGGATAGTCTATCCTCAGATGCTGATTGAATCCAATTCCTGACTGTTCTGGGTTTTCTCAATAGATAGGGCAGGAGATCCTGCTGAGGCCCTAGTCTATACAAGCAATTAAGAAAACAACTTTCCATAACGGTTAGTTATGGTTGTAAACAGCTTTGATTTTTTATGAGATAGCAGGATGTAAATATTTTTATAAATAGAATAACTGGGAAAATAAAAAGGTGTCCTGGAACCAGAGCCATGAGATTCCCTGTTCCAAGAAAGCTTGAGCCTTTAACAGAAGTGCTCCAAATAAGGGGTGGAAAAACACTGCACTATTTTGTAGCAAATCCCCAGTATAATGTGTACCAGGGGTCAGTAACCTTTTTCAGCCGTGGGCCGGTCCACCGTCCCAAAGACCATGTGGGGGCGGGCAGACTATATTTTTTTGGGGGGGGGGGGAATGAACGAATTCCTATGCCCCACAAATAACCCAGAGATGCATTTTAAATAAAAGCACACATTCTACTCATGCAAAAACACACTGATTCCTGAACCGTCCGCGGGCAATTGGGCAGCATCCGGCCCCTGGGCCTTAAGTTGCCTACCTTTGCTGTGCACTTTATGACCACTCTTCCCTGAAGCCTCAAGATAAAGAACAATGGTGGAACTTCACCATAATTTATACTGAAGGCATCATCTAAACCTACCACAAATTCTCTAACAATGTAAAGTATTTCACTGAGAGAACATAAGATCATATAACCTGTCTAATCATGAAAAGCTATATATAGGATCCTGTATTAAAATTACTGATATTTAGCTGATTGTGCACCTAGAATTTACCAACCTTCTCACATTCTGTGGGTGAAGGTAATTTATGAAATCCCCACATAACTTACCGCATAAAAGCGCATATTATGATTCAATGGTCCAGGGTCATCTTCCTTGGATAGCTCAAACTGTGTGATAAGCTCATATAAGGGGACATACGTTGGAGGGGTTTCAAACAATGGAATGCCTGAGAAAAGAAAAAAAACTATAACCGCCCACCCAGAGATTTGTCCTCTCATAAAATACAAGCATTAGCTGTTACCTACAACTTGTATTTGTACTAGAGGGGATCTCAAAAATTTTCACTACAACTTGACATGAGAGATGCTTGTTGCAGCGTCAAATTTCTATAATCAGTTATCCAGAAACCACTTGTGTTTAATATATTCCAATGTGGATATTGAATGCTAGGAACTGTGAAATTCTTGACATGGAGCTAACATGAAAATCAGCGTGATCTTATGGAGTGCTGCACCTGGGACAGATGGGTTCAAATACCTGAACACTAATAAATTACACTAGTAATCTTGAAGAAAAAGCAGCAGGATCTTAAACAAGTATATTAGTGAGATAGCCCTCCCATGATCTGTGTGAAGATGAATGAGAAAAGTAGTAGCATTAAAGGCAATCTAAAAGGCCTGAGAGTAACCCAACCTCTGTGCCATGGAAGGCCACATACTGGTCCCTCCCCAATTAGGCAAATTACATGTTTTTCTGTATCTGCTTGCTCTGCGCCATTTGTTTGACTGAAAAATTAACGTCTCTAAGGATTTGGCATGGATTTAAACAAACACAAAAAACTAGTAACAAAAACAGATTGAGAAGATTAGCTTTTAAGTGGTCAGTAGGGATATGGGAAAAAGGATGAAGACATCCATGTGCTCTCATTAATACAAGACTCTGCTTAGCATTACTCTGATTTCTTGCCTTTTCCCAATTGTATCATTTGGGTTAATCAGTTTCATGATTAACGTTAGACACTTTGGGTTTTTTTTAAAAAAGAGGAAGACAGCCTGAAGCTGCAGGTATATGGAAAACATGATCTAGGCTGCAGAAATGCTGAAGAACAGAGGAGCAAATATTCATATCAACCCAAAATTTAAAATGATTTGACTGCTGCCCTCTAGGTGTCAGGTTATGGCACCAAATACATCACTGATGCTAGCAAAACTCTATCAACAGCTTATCTGAAGACATGACTGACCTGTGCAGTTCTGAAGTTTCTGAATGAAAGCCCGAGAAACTGGAATAGGCCTTGGGAACTTCAAGAAGAAGCAAGCTGGCAAATCAACACTATTGGCACTGGTGATTGAGGAGAAAGAAGGTGTCCTAAAGAAGAAAAGATTACAATAGTATTACATCTGGGTTCATGCAAATACCTTTTTTTTTAACATTAGGAAGGCTGTAAATACACCTTTGTTCAGTTCTGAGTAACTAATTTATGCCGTTAGAAAACTAATTTATGCATTGTCCATCTTGGATGACCGTATGGAATCATTCTAATTCATTATGGTAAAATAGCACCAACAAGTAACCAACAAATAGCACCTGTTTCTTACCCTTTGTTGTCCACCGGATGAGATCCCATAATGAGAGGGGCAATTGGAAGTTTGTTCATTGTCAGTGTTCCCTCAATTGTAACACATATGTTCATACCCAGGTAGCGAGGAACTGAAAGTGGAGGCAAGTGTTAACTTTTCAAACAGCTGTAATAAAAATAAAAATCCACTGCACAGCAACGGGTAATAAACTGGAGGTTATGCGTTGCTTATCAGCATTATGCACTAAAACCCTGAAAAGAATTGATCTGGAGGGCCATAGGTTTCCTACACCTGCTTTAAGGAATAAGTATTTTAAAAATCGAGGGAGTGCCTATTGTACTCCACTTCTCTAATTTGAAAGACCATCACGTGTGGTGCAATCAGAATAAGAGGGAAGAAGAATGGGTGCAGTGGCAGCAAGTTGGGCCAGCCATAGAAAAAACCACAAACTGGTTCAATTTGTCACTTGGCTGTTTACTACGGTATTTAGTCTTTGCAACAAGCTGCAAACTTCATGGCTGGGGGTTTAATGTACAAGGTCCACTGCAGGTCCAGTACTGACATTTAGGCTAGATAATTTTCAGGATACTCCATCATGCTCACAATCATTAACCAGAAAACCAGAGAGTACAAGGTTATGTTTCCTACTAATAACCATTGTCTCTTAAAAAAACAAAACACAAACCTACTACTACTACTACAGTAATCTGAACTCATTATTTAACTGCCTCACTGTTAATCAAGACATGCACATGTCAAGAAACTTGCCTGGAGTCTAGATAAATTAGTAATCCACAGGAATGTTAATAGGACTGCTTGTTGATAAACATCAGACAGTGTTGGAATATAAGAAGCTGTCAATATTACTCAACTGACTATATAATATACTATTTCAATATATGAACATTGGGGGGAATATCTATACTCAGGAAAACACAAATAAACCTTATACCAAAATAAAAGAAATCTGCTGCTTGGGTTTCAAAGAAAACCTTCAATATAATCCAAGGTGTGTTCAGAATGCACATTTGGAAGCAGAAAGCATGTCTAGAAACATACCGTTGTTCTCATTCAGAATAACAGGAGCTCCAGTACCTTCCTCAATCAAATCATAGGGTGAAACATAATACTTCAGATTCATCAGGTGACCTGAAAGAAGAAAGCTTGTTAATGGGAAAGGGAACACAATGGGAATGGGAAGGTCAGAAGTGATGCCTATGTGTTGATCTGGACATATAAAATTATGTCCACCTAGCATTCTATGTAATTAGGAAGGTCACAGCTCTTAGGACAAAGATCTACAAATTTTAGGGTTTTGGGGTTAATTTTTCATACTACCCACCACCTTCTATTCTCTTTTGCATGAAGTTCCATGTATTCCCAAATCTCATTCTCTTATCTGTGAAGCAGAAACCCATCGCTATGACTTACAGATCTCACCAGCCCTGATCACTGGCTATGCTGGTTGGGACTTTTGGGAGTTGTAGACAAAACTCAGGATTGACAAGGCTGCTCTACCATAGAATAAATTCTGTCCAAACAGCTGGCTTTTTGCTTCAAAGAGTGTCTTAGTGGAACAATTCAATAAACGTGGGAGACTAAAGGTCATCAACTACATTCCTTTTCCTCTCATGGCACTTAAGATGCGGCTCAGCCTTGAGAATATGCCACCTTCATATTATGACCTTCTTACAAGGAATTCAGGGTGGCATATGTAGCATTGTTTTTATTCTTAAAACAATTCCATGAGAAAAATGGCCTGCTTAGTATCACCAAGCAACTTCATAGTAGTGTAGGGATTCCAACACCCGGAATTAAACCACAGTCATATACTGGCTATGAGCAAAAAAAACCCCAACAACCCAGTAATTTATGATGTGGCTCATGTATACCTACCGTATTTTTCGCCCTATAGGACGCACCGTCCCATAAGGCGCACCTGGTTTTTTTGGGGGGAAATAAAGGGAAAAAAATTATTTCCCTCCCAGGCGCGGGGTTGGGGCGGGGGAAGCCCGAGCTTCCCCCAACCCCAGCCCCCAAACAGGCAGCTCTCTGCAAGCCGTGGGAGCCCAGTGCTGGCTCCCGCTGCTTGCAGAGAGGTCCGTGAAGCCTGGACGCGCTGAGCTCAGCGCGCGCAGGCTTCAGCATGCAGGCACCTCTCTGCAAGCAGCGGGAGCCCAGCGCTGGGCTCCCGCTGCTTGCGGAGAGGTGTGCGAAGCCTGCATTCGCCCCATAGGACGCACACACATTTCCCCTTCATTTCTGGAGGGGAAAAAGTGCATCCTATAGGGCGAAAAATACGGTAATTTACCAAACATGTATTCAGAAGCTCTGAAGGTTCTTGGTCCTGCTGATGGCTATATCCGGGGTTGGGAAAGAATTTTCCTTGAAGTCACTTTGGCTGCAGATTCTGAGAATATTTTGCCTTTCCTGTTAAGAGGTGGATCACTTGCATTTATGGAGCTCTTTGCTTTGCTAGCTAGCAGTCTTCCAATATGCATCTTTTCTCTGCTTATGGAATACTGGCTAGGCTGAGCTCCATAAGGGGCTAATATGTGGATGGGTATTTCAACTCTTTAACAAAAAATAAAAAATAAAAATAGCATTACACCATTTCACAAGTCATCTTTAAAGGGGGAAAATGGGCAGTATTGTAAAATGGACCCCTCTTCTGTCACAATTTACAGTCGCCTACCTCCACTCCTTGGGGTGAGATAGCCAACACTGCCATGCAGAATCTTGTCCAAAGGGCTTGCATTGGTGGCTTGCCTACAAGCAGACAGAATCAAAGACATATGATAAGCTGGTGCAGAATTAAGACCCAAGACTGCCACAGTATAAATCTTTTGGATTATTATCTTAGACTGAGTTTGTAACATGCCCAAACTGAAATTTTAGGTTTGCAGCACTAAGATTAAAAAGAGGAACCCATTTTTCCTTCTGACATTATTTTTTCCTTTTTACTTCCAAAATAATAGGCAGTGTAGGTCACAGGACAGACAGCTGGTCTTGGATATGGGAGCCTGGAAATCCAGTACCACCTCCTCATTGGACTTTAGCAGTCAATCTTTCAACCCCAGATCCTCAAAGACCAAAGGTAGTTGTTGGGTTTGTTTGTTTGTTTATCTTTCAGTTTTAAGACTCTGGATTCCATAATGCTACCTTTGGAAACTTAAATAGCAATTCAAATGAAAGAAATGTAATATGCAAGCTTCTTTATTAATAAGCATCTATTTCTATAGACTGCTTTAGGGTGCAGTGAGTTTGGCTGTGTTTGTTGCATTCATCTTCATGTGAGCCCTTTAAACTTGATCGTCATCTGCCATATTTACAGAGGATGGAACTGAGGCTAAGATGTTGTGGCTTATCCGGGGAATAGCTAGTGGATCTGTAATTCAAGTAAGATTTGAACTCAGTTCCTTCCAAGTTCAATGTTCTACTTCCTGAACAGTATTGCTGCTTAGGACATCAACAAGTAAATGCTGGGTTCATTCAGTAAGGCAAACTTCTCTTACCAGTACATCCCTGCCATCTTTGAAAGATCAAGCTCCAAGGACTGAAGAGCCAAGTACATTTTAGTTTTCAGTTTGCTAAGGAGAAAAAAATAAAATATTATTTTAAAATTGGTACAGAAAAAAAGACAAAAAGATGCTTTGACATGGCAACCCTATACACATTAACCTGGGAGTAGGTCTTTTTGAACTCACTGGGACTCCCTTCCAGTATACGGTACATGTATAGAATTGCACTGTGAGCCAACCGGAGCACTGTCCAACAAGTAGCAGCCTTCCATGGAAGGTCTCTCAACTGTTATCATACAAGATCACAGACATGCCAAGGACTTAAGCTTCAGACTTTTTATAGCTTATGTAGTTATTTCAGCTGAACACCAGAATCTGGAAACGACAGGAAGGGAGACTGCTCTCGCACTCAGGTCCTGCTTGTGGGCTTCCCAAAGGCATCCGGTTGGCCACTGTGAGAACAATATGCTGAACTAGATGGGCCATGAGGTTCTTACATTCTTAGCTTTCCTATTAAAAAATCCCTTTTTGACAAAATGAAGACTATATTCTAAGACTGGCCATACTTCTAAAATTTCCAATGCACACAAAGGATCCAACCTTGGCTGAACAACTCCTCTTTTAAAAAAGATGCAGATTTTAGCCCCTTTTGTGTTCTTTCTAGCGTCAGTAATACTGCAGTTCTACACTGGCTTCCTTGAAGTTGGGAGAGATAATCAAGAGTGGTAATGTAGGAAAGGGACGGGGGTGGCACATAAAGTAAGGAGAAAAGGGGCAGGTAGACATACAATTGGGCAGGGTTTCAACCACTATATGCAATGCTCTAACAAATATGTGACTGAAGTGTTGCCACATCACAGAAATTATGACTAGTGGAATGCTTACTTGTCACCAGGCAGTTTATACAGATTGACAAGACCCTTCAGGTGCTTAGAAAATTCTTCAAAATTTCTCTCTCTGGGAAAGAAAAACATATCAATTTTATCTGGAGGAATCATACATGCCAGAGATATTTACAGTTAGATGCACCTAAGAGAGATGGTGAAAGGAGTCCATTTCAACATTTTAGCTCCAAAAGCACATGCTACTACAGCACCCCTCCATAAAATTCCAAGATGCACAATACACTTCATAGGAAAAATAGATAGCCACCCCCCCATACTGGAGGGTTGCAAGTACTGAAGCTTCGATTTCAGTATCCTTACTTTGAAATGTTATGGCCCAAGCTGCTTGCCTATGGTGCTGTGCCCTCTGTAGGCTTCAGTGCTCTTTTACTGGCTACTTGTCCTCCTGGGCCTTCTCAAAACTCTCTGAGAGGACTTTTTCCCTATGTGACTCTCATAGCCCTGAAACCAGTATTCTGAAGGAGAATTTCTAAGAGAAATCTTTAGAACAAAACAAATTATTGTAAGGCCTAGGTGGTTGCCAACAACCCTATTCTCCTGATAGAAGAGAAATATGACAAGTTCACCAACGCAGTGCCTGATGATGTCAATGTGCCTGCCAGTATCTATGGCATCTGCCAAAGGTCTCAGAAAATACCGCTTCAAAAAGTCACAATGCATGAGAGACTATTTGCTCTTCCCCCTCCGTTCCTATTTGCACTGGCTTGGCCTCTCCTAGACACGCACCCAGCAACCATTTTGTGCTACACTATGCCCCTTCGGTAGCCATTTTATAACTAACATTCACACTGCTTTCTTAAAATTCCAAATGTGCTCACTGGCTGAAAAATGTTGGTGATCCCTACGTACAGAGTGACGCCACTCCTAATTTCTTATTAAAGACTCAACCTTGCCTTCTTACTTAGGAGCAAAGGAGTTGGCCTCTCCGCAGTGGATGAGAACAGTCTTCATATAATTCCAAAGAGGAAGTTAAAAACCTTCTGCTGAAATCTATGTTTTTAAAAACCCCAAATGTGCAAGTTACAGTGACTTATCCAATGCATTTCAAAGACCTTCATGGATAAACAGGGACCTTTCAAACATGAGCTTGAAGCTGTTTTACAATTCAGTTTGGAGGCCAAGACAAGCAACTATTTGACAATTTGGTGGTAACAGCAAACTGTGGTTTGTACTAGGGAAGAAGTAACTCAAAGAAATGGAGAGCCCACGGGGAGGATGGAGGGCCTTATCATAAGGCCCATTCATATAACACCAAACCTGACTTGGTGTTGTTTGAACCAGCTCAGTGAATACAGAATATATATTGGGTCTATGTTGCACCAGTGTCAACATACTCTTCACATGTTGTGAGAGAGATTTGGGTCAGCTGTACAAGGCTCAAGTCATAGCTAATTAGCCACCAAAGGCAGGAGCAACATACTACATCCTAAGGAAAACTGCATGCTTAAAAGGCTCGTTTTGGCAGGGTGGTGCTTTATAACAGGGAAAAGAGAACTGAAAAGAAACCTGATTATGGTGACCCTAAAAATTCCATATTGTCTGGATATTGGACTTTTTTCATGGTCTCTGATATGAGCTATTTATGCTACTTTTCAAAAGGGCCAGAAACTGAAAACTGGATGAATATCCTCAGTTCATATGCACCCACTGTTTGCTGTCAAATCTAAGCAACACTGCTGCCCCACCCAGTTCTTCAATTCTTGTTCATTCCAAAATCTTCACCTCACCCTACACAATGCCTGAAAAGCACTATGGTTGAGAAAAGATCTGTACTCTATGTTCTAAAATAGCCAATATGGTGGATGAGTAAGCCACAATAAATCCAGAATGCTGTATATAAATTGTACAAGAGACATTATAGGAAATGGAGGAATGGTTGTAGCCATACAACAGAACTGCACATGGAGAAGGTATGTAGCCAGTAATGAAAGAGACTTAGTACTCACCTTAGATGCTGCACCAGCTCTGGGCAACTCTAGAAGGGAAAATAAAAATGTGTGCCATAACTTCAATTGAAACTGTTGCAGTTATTCAGCACAATGGTGCTGGCTTAAATTGTACATGACTATAGGGAATGTCAGCTTCATATGAGTACAAAGCCCTTAAAACTTTCCTAAACAGTCCTACAGGATATTTGGACAATGCAGAAGGCAGGTCAGAGATGTCCAGTGTTTCAAACACTGGGTGATAAGTAAGGATGATTAGAAATGACTGCAAGCATTTTGAAGGATGAGACTATAAAGTTAAAAAATGATCTCAAATCCTTACGCTGCTCCGAAAAGAACAAAAAATAAGTTTGGGGAGGGGGAGAGAATTACAATTGGTACTAACTTGGTTAGCAAGCTATTTGTACCACACTAGTAATAGGGCAAAGGGAGCTTTGACTTCTCTCCCTACTACTGAGGGATCCAACATTTTATTAAAGGCTGGGAAATGATAGCCTCGGTTTTGAAAGAGTAGGCAGAATGTGAAAATGTGGCAGCTTGTGACTTTTTTACAAGGGACTGGCTAAGAGGACTTAAAGGGAATTGGGCTGAATAGATCACTTTCCTTCTGGAGAAGTGTAAAACTAAATGCAGGAGTAGAGATATCTGGATTTTAGGAAGCTGTTAAGCTCAGGGTTGATACATACTGTAGACTGCCCTGTGCTCTCAGAACAGAATGGGCTGTAAAAACATGTTTCTACAAAAAGCAGGAGGCAGAAGTTTGGTGTGACCTTCATACTCTACGTACCACAGGGTTTTCTCCATGATGGGCCACCTTAACATCGCACAGCTGTCCTGTAGGATCCAAATGGACTTCCACATAGAACATGTCTGAAGTTATGTAACATTCAGTGCCATTTGCACTAAGATGAGATCCAAGACTTACACACAAGAAGAGAAAAGGTATTCACACATGAAAAGCTTTATCAAATACCAATCAATAGCACATCAATCTGTTTGGCTGGAGGCATCTCTCCTGGAGGCTCAAGACTGATAATAATGGGCTGCATACAGGTTGGTTGCACTGAATTTATACTGAACCTGCAATCTTAACCTCACTTTCAGGAAGTAAGTCACACTGACTTCAATGGTTCTAAACAGCCATAGATAGGATTGTACTGTAAGTCTTGATTAACTTGTCCCTTTAATTCCAATGAGAAATAAGTGCAACAACCAACCTTGATTATAGTCCAATGCGTAGGGTACATACCTCTTACATTTCTCTTTCTACATAACCACCATGTGATTGCTATTTGGCAACATTCCTTTTTTAAAATTTTTTATTTCAAAACTGAAAAATGGCAATATTCCTTTCCACCCATCCAGGGTAGAGATGGAACTAAACTAAAATCTAAGTCTAATTAAATCAAACATTTGATCTGCTGGACCTCACTGCAACAAAAACTTTGGCTTCTTCATTCTTAAGCGTGTAGTATAAACAGTGAATAAAAACATACCAAAAAATGTGATTGGTTGTAGTCTCAATTAGCTCTTAAACATAAGATACACAAAAAGTATTAATCTTACTCAGTGGCGGGGAACCTATGGCCCTCTAGATATTGCTGGACTAAAATTCCAAACAGTCCCAGCCAGTTGGCTAATTGTCAGGGATCATGGGAGTTACTCACCCATTTTGTCTTGCAATAGACTCTAAGCGATCTGTCATGGCAGGTAGTGATGTCACTAGGAGGAAGATGAGCTTGTTTAAAGCCAAGTACATAAGCAAATTTATTCAAGTCCCAATAGGTGATATCCAACCAAGCCATACTCAGAGTAGACCCACTGAAATCAATGGACAGTTGATCTGAACTGAAATGGGGTGGCAGACATAGAGGTCTATCTTTCCATCTGCTGGGCAGCTGGAGCTTTAACTGCCTGAGAAAGCCAGCTCACCTTCACAGCCCCTTATCAACTATGAGGTAGAGGCAATAGCCAAGGCACTTCTATTTGTCACCGAACTTGTGCCACATTCTAAAGATGCAGCCCAAAGACAAGACCCTGCCTCTTGGTCAGAAATCTTACAATTGTAGACAATTACTCCACAACTGGTGGAAATAAGAGTAAAAATTTGATCCTGAACTGCCCTCAGATGTGTACATAAGAGACAACTTCTGTGTCTGTACTAATTTAATTAGTTACTTGATTAATTATACTTGATGTCAGAAAGTGACAGAATTGCCACCTCACAGCAGTGGCTGTTTTAAAAGGTGGACAACCAGGATATTGAACTATGCAGAGATTCAACACACAGTCAACTGAGTGGGAACTTCGGGCTCACAGGAGCCTTTCGCTGACCCAGTTTTCCCATTGAAAAAAAATGAGAATTACTATGGTACAGGCTGCAAGTTTTGGTAACTGGCCTGAACAGGAACATAAACAATCTTTCTTCTTTAACCAGACACCAAGTGGTTAGGAGTGTGCAATATAACATGTGACTATACAGTGATAATTGATTCAATGACTCTATTGAACATGAGCATTATACATGCCCAGTATGCAGCTTACCCATTACAGCAACACAGAGCCTAAGAATGCAGTTATAAACATACAAGGCCATAAGTTCCACTAAATACAGTAGGACTTCTGAGTAAGCATGCAAAGGGCTGTCCAATAACCTTGAGTTACACAGTAATTCTTTGCGCCCATCTAGTACAAACCATATAAACACCTTTATTATCCTAATGTCAATTCCTCCTAGTCTTTTTTTTTTTTAAACCACAAACACTTATTTATGTTTCAGAAGCATCTACCAACCTTTTAATGCCTTCTGCAAAGTTTCTAAGCAGCTGACAAGATTCTGGTGACCAACAGAGTTCATTACAACTCGCTTTTCCTACGTTCAAAGGTGATGGAGAGAAAAAAATAGAGAAAGTGTTCATGCACATTCAGCAATACTGTGAAAAGAAAGCTATAACTAAAACATTGGAGAATTCAATGCATTCCTGAAGGCTTCCACTTTGTTTGTTCTGGAAAAATCAGCTCCTATGGGTGCTGTAAATAAAAAAAACGATCCACAGTTGATGGCCTTGTGCATTATAAAGCTAGACCATTGTATGAGTCACACCAACTCAAACCAATGACAGCTCAGAATTGTTCTACTAAATAATAGCAAATAAAAAGAATTATTATTCAAAAGCTACATTGTTTTGACTAATACTTTCTGTGTTCTAAGAGTTACTGGGTTTTTGATAAAAGAACCAGCAAAGACAGTTTCTTTGCAATTGTGGTCCATCACTGCCAATCTTCCCATATAGTGCATAGTTGCAGAGGAATGCTAGGCACCTTCATCTAGGGAGTATTCACAATTGATATGGAACAGCAGCAAAGACAGTGCTACCAGAATGGAGAGCATGTCATAGAATTCAACCCAGAATCTTCTGTAACTGCTGGGATTCTGTGAAAGATGCACACATTCTGTGAAAGTTCTCTTGGCAATTTACTGTTGACAGTGTCCTCTCTAAGTAGACAATCTTGACAATCACTGTTTTATGAAAATGTGCAGGGAGATTTTATCAAGTACTCCCATCTAAAATACGCTAAACCCTTACCATAACTTGCCGGACAAGCTTCATGGTTTCTGTCCACGGTCTACTGTTAGGGTTAAACTTGACATGAAGCCTTTCTAGAAGGGAACTCATCTTATTCAGTTTCTCTGTTTCTATAAGAGAAATTGCAAGTCAGTGAAGCATACGATATATTTGAATTTCAGTCCAGAGATGCAGGTTCACCTTCAATTTCCCTGCATAACCCCCAGAGAACATTAACTTGAGCTATGTAACCATGAATAGACTAAAGTACCTTGCAGAATGGGACCATGGTACATGCAACCCAGAATTCTTTACAATACGTACCGTCAACATTAGATAACCAATGGCAGGTACTGATCTATGTTCTCCATATTTCTTACATACGGGTGTAGAAGAGATCAATACTGTCATAAGTAAAATATCAAGATCAGGACACAATAAGAGGGCTTAATCCTACAGTGAACACAGCTAAAAGGGGCCTGCTTCATATTATTAAACCTCAGAACTTTATTTAAAATCCTATAATAACAATGGAATGGCAAAATCAAATGGAGGAGTTCAATATGTTGTTGTTTTAAAGGCAAATATAGCTCAGTGGGTTTACAAAAAGAAAACCTAAAGTTTAATATTTTGTTTTCAGCTAAAGGACCTCAGGTTGATTCTTTTGTATCTATTGATATATTTACTATTAATGCTGTCTGTGAAAATGTGATTCTTAAGTGATGCATCCCTTTCTGAGACATTTATAAGAAGGCAGGTTAAACAGGCATTGTTTTCAGCTATCCTACTGGCAAACTAACAATGCTGTAACATCTGAAATGCACACTGCTGCCACTTTAAACATAGGAGGCTTTACAAGGGAGCAATTACTTCAATATTTTTAAACCTCAGAAAGCAAGTTAGGCAGCATCATACACAACGAGCAAAAGATTTGTAAAGAAAGCTGTAGCAAGAATATTTACTTTCCTTTTTTCAATGGAAAGTTAAGTAACCTTTAACACAAAGCCGTAAATAGCAACTCACCTGACTGCCTGTGGTGAAGTAAGAACTACCTCCAGGTAACAAGGCAGGAAAGCTGTAAACCCACAAATGACTAAGAGGTGCATGTTGGCAGACAGCCTAGAATTTTTTTTAAAAAAATGATTTCTTTTTGGATGTTGCTATTTTTTTGAAAAGCTTCAGAAATGCAGAAGGCATCAACACCTCTAAAACCATCTCCATTTAATTGTGGGTATTATGTATGTCATTTTCAGGGCTGGAAAAGTTTCAAATTCTTAGGCAGCTGCAGAGTGACAAGTGTAGACAGCATATTTCTAGGTAGTAACACAACCGCATTTTTTTCTTTCCTTGACATTTCTACCAAGATATCTATCTCCATTTAGGATGATCATCTTATATTGTCATATACTCAGCATATTGGTCCATCTAGGCCACTACTGTCTACTGATGGGCAGCTAAGCCTCATGTTATTTATTGGTCAGACAAAGGTCTTTCAAAGCACTGCTGATGGTCTTCTAACTGGATATACCAGAGATTGAATCTGAGATCTTATGCACACAAAGCAAGTACTTTATTACTCAGCTATGGTCCACCCTCACCAGAAACCTTAAAAACCTACTCTTCACTCTGTGTTTTGAAAAGCAATAGATCACTCCCTCTAGCATGTCCTCTATACACATCCCTGGGTCTGCTAGCTAGTCACTGCTTGCAGACAAAAGGCCTGAAAGAACCTTTGATTTAACTCAACATGGTGGTTAGCATATGCTAAAGAAACATCCAACTCCTTTCTGAGGTTTATAGTCCATGAAAGCCCCTTTCTCTTTCTACAAAGCTCATCTCTTGCATGATGGAGGACTGCAAAGGCTACAGTCCTAAACATGTACTAGCAAGTCAGGCCAACTGAACATAGTGAGGTTTACTACCAAGTAAGCACAGTATAGGATTCAGCAGTAAATTCCACAACGGCTTCTACGTTTTGGGCGTTCCACCAAGCCCCTTTCCACCTGCAGGATGGGGAGTCTGCTGGCTTCCAGATGTCGTTTGATCCCAGCTCTCATCAGCCCTAGCCAGCATAGCCAATGGTCAGTTATGATGGGAGCTGGGGCACAGCACCATCTTGAGGCCCATAGGTTCCTCACACCCGCCTTAAAAGCAAGCGGCAGAGAAAGATCGAGCACGTTTAAATAAAGAAAAGAAAGCCAAACTTGTTTCTCGCCCCCACTGAAGAAGCATTCAACTGTTGAATGCTTTGCAGATACTACCATAGGAGCAGACTCCTAGCCCCCCCCCCGCCCCAAGTTCACAGGCACCGCCATTCAAATGGCGTGCATGTGCTGGGTCTTGTGATTGATTGCGTTTCACCCTCACATTTTATAATAATAATTATTTTATTCGAGTCGACACCCCTGGATGCTACAATTAAAAAAGGGGGGTGGGGCTTTTAAAAAAACTCCCTAACTCCAATCTGTACATAACTCCCGGAGAAGAATTCACGGATGAGGTCCGACGTCTTCCCGGAAGCGCTTTCCTCCCGTCCATGGAAGGAAAGGCCCCGTAGCTCTCTTTGAACGAGGAGCAGTGAGGCCCTTCTGAGCTCTTCGCCAGAGAACTTCCGATGCTTTTCCGCAAAGGATTGGGCAGCGTTGGCGGGCGAACCTTAATGAAATCTACAAACCGCCGCTCGGACTCCCGTCCCGTCCACCCCCCTTGGTCTAAGGGGCCTGGTCTTCCTACGAAACTCGAGCACCTTCACCCGCAGCATTTGCCAAAGGAAAGCGAGAGAGCTTGACCCCCCCCCCGTCACTCACCCTCGGCGCCCCCTTGGGCCGCCTTCATCCCTCAGGAGCGTGGTGGGGCGGCAGAGGGGCCAGGTGCCCCCCTCCGCTCTCCCTCATGTGGAGGTGGGGGGGAGAGGGCCTCTCCCGCTCCGAGGTGGAGGCGGCGAGGCCGGGGCGAGAGCAGCAGTTGGCCTGAGATGCTACCCCGCAGCAACCGCCATCCCGCCGCCGGCCGCGCGAGACTAAGTCGCGCTTCTTCTCGCGGGATTCGGGGGGGAAAAAGGACAAGGGGAGGGGAGAAAGTTCACGAGGAAATCCCGCGGTGCGGCCAACCGGCAAAGGCTAGGGGAAGCTCTCGCGAGATGTGGACACATACGCGCTCCGCTTCTTAAAAGGTCGCACTTTTTAACTCTTTCACGCGAACAGCTGGGCTTTGTTGTTGTCGTTGTTTGCTTTAAACATGGAAGACTTTTGTCGAAGGATGAGAAGGACCATGTTTGTCCGCGTCCTGTGGTGTTTTGTCATGGTTACCAAGCGGCCCATTAAAGTATTCGCTGAAAAAGCTGAAAGTGAGACGGCGAAGAAACGGCCATTCATAAGTTCGTTTGTTCCTGTTGCCAAGGGGGAGGGGAATCAATAATAAAGTTTTGTTGAAAGATATATGTCCCCAGAACTACAGTCTGAGAAGTTTCAATAAAGTTTGTTGAACGGTAAAGGAAGAAATGAATGAATGAATGGCAGTTCACGGCCCCTCCTTATAAAAACAACCTTGCGCTTTCCCTTAATAAAAGTTTCCTTCCTCAGGAACGCTGTCGTCTGCGGTGACCATGAAATAAAGTTTTGTTGAAAGATAAAACCACTTCCCGCGAGATTACGAAAAAAAACCAGCTTCATCGGCCTTCAAGCCCCCACCCCCGCCCCGCTTCCCTATTTGCTTCCAGCGCCCGGCGTCGCGAGACTTCTCTAGTCTCCTCCTGCGTTCCGACCGTGTGCGCCTGCGCGTGAAGGAGGGCGAGCGAGCGCTCACACGCGCTCATGTGCGTTCTCTCGCGATATTTGGAGAAACAGGAGCAGGTAGAGAGGAGTTGGGGGAAGGAACCCCCGAGCGGCTGCAAAGGAAGCCACGGCGTCGGCGGCCGGGAGGACGACGACGGCGATTTCTCCCCACGTTCTCGCGAGAGTTGGTGGCTAACCTTCTCCCTTGCTCACTTTTCTACCTTTCCTCTTCCCCCCCAACCCCTTCCCCCACCCGAACCTGGAAGCGGCTCCGTCTCGCTCTGGGAAGTACTAGGAGGAAGAGGAAGGTGGGGGTCCCGGCTTGGGGGCCTCGCTAGAGACTCAGGCTGAGGGCAGGGGAGCCCCCTCGGTGGGGACGCAGGGGCCCAGGGGTTTCCCCACACAGCCAGGCCTTGGGGCGGGTGGAGGTGTGCCCATCTCCCCGCCCCCGTGCTCTCTTCTCAGGAACTTAGGGGGTGTTTGAGGTAGGAACTAAGTCCGACCCTCATCTTTCTTTCCACGGGGACCTTGAGTTAGTGGGGAGGGAGTATCCCTGACCAAGAGGAGCACCAAGGGTGGCTTAGAAACGAAGGGGCCTATTGTTTGGGGGACCGCTGCTTCAGAAAACTGGGGGTGGGGTGGGGTCTTTTTCTGAAGCTCTCTTTTTGTGGGGGGTTGGGCAGCAGGTTGGAGAACTCCCAAACTCATTGCCCATTTACAAAGGGACCTAAGAGCATCTTAGTTAGTGCTCCTGGCGTGTTTATGTTCTGAAACTGGTGGATAACTGAGGTAGGGTACTTGTTCAGGGTCTTCCATCCTACCTTTGAAGTCTAAGAACAGGGGACATTCTTGCCATTGCTGCTTGTCCCCTATTCAGAGGGTTGGGGGTAGCCTGTGGGGCGACTTCTCCCGTAATATACTTTGTCGACCCAGATCCTTGTAAAGAAACCACATTCAGCCCCATGTAGGAGAGAGAAGGGTGGGTTGAATGTAGGAAAAGGTAACGAAAGTGAACGCAGCCCTTCTGTTTTGGAAGCGGGTAAGTTGAGGTTTAGACTTTGGGGGTTTTGGAGGATTCCCCCCTCTTTTCAAGCACAGTGGAGAAGGAATGCCAAACCCAGAGAGACATGGGGGTAAGAAGGATTCAGGAGGAGGGGGGTCCTTGCATCAAGAAGCAGTGTCCAGCAGCGGCAGTTCAAACAGCAAAGAGAGGCACCGACTCTCCAAGCACAAACGACACAAGTCCAGGCATTCCAAAGACTCACCGATGGGGGCCCAAGAAGCTGGAGCACCGCTCGGCAGCATGATCAAGCCATTGGTGGAGTATGATGATATCAGCTCTGACTCGGACACCTTTTCAGATGAAGCAGTCCTCAAGCTGGAACGCAGGGAGAATGATGAAAGAAAAGGGACATCAGAAAGGAGTGACCGGCTACACAGGCATCGGCATCATCAACACAAGCGAGTCCGTGAGTTGATGAAAAGCAAGCTGGTAGACAAAGAGAAGAGGCTGGACAGGAACCAAGACTCCTCAGGCAAGTTGAGTTCCGCTAAAGAAAGGGTGTCGGGGGCCTCCAAAAAGCTGCATGAGGAGAATGATGACCATTCATCTAAGTCATTCAAGAGCAGCAGCAAGGAGTCCCGGTCAGCCAAATCGCACAAGGAAAAGTCCAGGAAAGAACGAGAGACTAAGTCCGGTCACAAAGACCGTAGCAAAAGTCACCGGAAAAGGGATGCTCCTAAAAGTTACAAATCGCTGGACAGTCCAAAGCGGAAATCCAGAAGTCCCCATCGCAAGTGGTCAGACAGTCCCAAGCAGGATGATAGCCCCTCAGGAGCATCTTACACGCAGGACTATGATCTCAGCCCTCCACGCTCACACACATCCAGTAACTATGATTCTTACAAGAAGAGTCCCGGTGGGTCTTCACGGAGACCATCAGTCAGCCCACCATACAAGGAGCCTGCTGCATACCAATCCAATATGCGCTCTCCCAGCCCTTACGGCAGGCGGCAGCGGTCGGTCAGCCCATACAGCAGGAGGCGTTCATCAAGCTACGAGAGGGGAAGTGGGTCTTACAGTGGAAGGTCGCCTAGCCCATTCAACCGAAGGCGCTCCAGCAGTCCTTTTGTTTCCAAGCGGTCGCTGAGTCGAAGTCCTGTGTCCAGGTGCGTGGCCTTTATCTTTAATTAAAAGTGTTTGACTTCTTTGGTTCAGATGGTGCTAGTGTCCTGAAGTCAGATAAGAAAAATATTTGCTTCTCCCCTGTAACGTGATTTGTTTAGGGTACAAGGTCTTTGTTGCTTGATTAGATAATTATTATTTTCACTTTATTGCATTGGGGATCTGAGTTTGAAAGGTAACCAAACCCATTCAGCCAGTGAGACACTGGCTCAGTTCAGATGTCGCGCTGAATCATTGTTCCCCAGCCTGGTGCCCTGCAGATTTTTTTAGGCTACAACTCCCATCATTCTTGATCTTTGTACATGCTGGCTGGGGCTGATAGGTTGGGGCTGATACCTAGAGGGTACTAGTTTGGGAAAGGCTGTGCTAAACCATAGTTTAGCATGACAAGAATGAGTACAGTGAGCGTTGGAATAACATGCTTCCTTTTTCTGCTCCTGCATGGCTTTGAGGAGATGTTTAGAAGTTTTGGTTTAGATTAACTAGTTTGTTGTTTGAAACAAGGTAACTTAAAACCATGTGTTAAGCTGCCTTGTTGAAGCAAATCATAGTTAGCATCAACCACAATTTAGGATTCAGATAACGCACTGAATGAAACGCACTTTAATGAAAATCGGAAACAAAAAAACTCTTTGGAGCTACACCAGAAGAGGGGATAGGGGAAATGGAAGCTACTTCAGCTCATCCTTATCATACTAAATTAGAGTTTAATGGGACCCCTAAAAGTGAACCATGATTTGAACACAATTTCTGAAGTGGCAAACCATGGTTCCATTTTGTGGCATGTCAGTTGCTAATCTATACAGCTGGTGGGGATTCACAGAATGGGAAAATTGATGGATACCTTTTACTAAATCTTGCTTATGTTAACTAAAAAAGCAAGGTTTAGAGTTGCAGAGAACTGTTCCATCTTGGTCCTAAGTATATTGAGCGGTAGAAAGTGAGGTACGTTGAAGTCAATAGAACCAAAGTCTCTCACAAGATTTGTGCCTATTATGTGCTTACCAAGTTCCACTGGTTTCAGTAGAACTTGGTTTCAATTAAATCTGCCTTGGGTAGCTGCTTTTGTCAAGGTAGAACAGGTGAATATGAAATCTCCCCATATGTGAGAGTTGTGGTGTATGTAACCCAAATCTGAAGATGTGTGTGGAAATGTTTGCTTGTGATCCATTACCACATTCACTTTAGATGTCAGTACTTCAGAAATCCCTTTTGAATACAGCTAGTGATCACCTTCAAGGGAATCCAGGCATCCTACAATCTGTTTAAATTGACCTTGGGGGCAGTAAAATGTTTTTAACAATCAGTCAACACCTTTCACCTGTTCAGTTTACTTAGAATGAGGTTACATTTTTGTCATTTCTGAAACTTAGTTATTTCATAATCTGGATGTGCAGAATTGCTTTGGTCACAGATCACCCAACAGCTTGTTCAGTGTTAGAAACTGAGATATGAAAGCTAGGAACTAAATGGCACCTTAAACCTAGGTTATGGGCGCACCAAGAAATGTCTATGTGCGCTTTTTATAACAAGAATACAAGCTGAAAATGAATGAACTGCGGCTAAAATACTATGTTCATTTTTCACATGGGCTAGTCCTTCTCCTGCCCACCCCACTAATATTCTCCAGTCTTCACAGAGTAGTTGGAAGTGGGGAGGAAGAAAAAGGTCCTCCTTTCCTTCTGTTCTGCAGTTTTAATATGAAATCTTAGGCACAGTACTGCTCCCAGAGCTCAGAAACTGCTCGTACTTATGAAATTCCCTGTCGTAAAAGGCGCCTAGAACAATGGGAGTTTCGAACACTGAGCTTGCTGCTGGTGCTTTGTGCAAAGTTGCCATTTGACTATAAGCTCCTTGTGCTCTATCTAGTGCCTAGCACCTTGTCAGTCCTAAACAAACATATAGTCACCATCTTGTTGTTTTGGCTATCTAGTCACTAGATTCTAGTGGGGTCGTATCTGCCAAGCCATGAACTCTGTGGATAGCCTTCAGCAAATCCCTGTCTCTCAGCCACCATTCCCCACCTGTACAGTAGTAACATCTCTTGGGTCAGGCAGGTTGATTCCTGGCAGCTACTTCTAAACAGTGTAGAGCAAGTGCAGCTGCCATTTCCTGCTCATTAAGGAGCAAGTGCTATCAGAAAATTCTCTCTGGCATACAGCATCTCTTTTTAATGAAAAAGAACTGGATAATGAGAGCTGATTGCAAGCACTTGGGGTACCTTAAGTACTTTTAGGAAGCTGCTATGAAAAGAAGTGCCTGGTGCAGCCTTTGTTAGGTACTAGGTAGAGTAAGCTTGAACAGAGTAGATGTTTAAATATTTAAATATGTGAGCCTATGAGGGGGATCTCTTTCCTGTTTGTTTTCATACACCCTTGTTCATCTCTTTGGATTTGTCTGCTCTTGACTTTTTTTTCATTATGTGTATGCTGCGTTATTTCACCAGGTGCTTAAAAAAACCCTTAGCTTGCTCTAGTTCACCTCCTTTTCCTATTGGGAGCAGAAAGTTAATGTTCCTCGATAGAAAGCATGTTCTCTTGCTTCTGGACTGTTTCATGGGAACAATAGGAAAAGACCCCTTAGGGCTAAATAAATATTTCAGAATTTGAAGAAGCCAAGTATCAAATGAGCTGCCTGCTTTGGGCAGAGGTGGGGTCCAGTTTCTAGCCAAATTCTTAAGTGAGCAGAGGCAGGTATGTTGTTTAATGAGAGTGGGGTTGCAGAGCATGGGAAATACCCTACCTGCAGGAACCTTTTCCACATTGGCCCATCTACTGTGCAGGATTCTGGGAAATGTCTTAGCATACATGCTTGGATTTATGGACTGCAAGAGAGGCCTGCTGTGTGTAGCCATCACCTCACTGAAATTAAAGTGTGCCCGAGAATACTGCAGTGCTGTGTGCATTCCAGGGAAATATTGGTTCATGGTGAACAAACAATCTTTTCAGACAACCGTTTCTAGTCTTGTTATTATGGAAGTTCTGTGGGGCACTCTTTTGAAGTCCGCTGTTATAAATAAATTCTTGAAAAGTTTGAAAATGCAGATGAGGGAATTTCTCATTGTCACAGTAGGTTCCTGAGAGTCGAGAAAAGATGCTCAGACATTCCACTTGCAGTTCTTTGGATGTGTCTTAGTCAAAACAAAAGGGAGGGATAGAGTTACATGGACATAGAGCTTTCAAACAGCCTGGAAAAAATAAAAGAGCTTTTTTGCAGTGTATCAAAGCTTCACTGCTTGGTTGCTTGAAAGTGATTCTTACTCAGCGTGGAAAGCCAGGCAAGTGGATATTTGCATATATGACTTGGAGGGTCCTTGAAGGAGTTACAAGAAAACATCCTGGTGATTGTGTGTGTAGGATAAACGGATGTCCCCAACGGTGATGGTCATCTGCTCTAGGGAAAACAATCTGATTTGTGCCCCAGTCAAGGGAGGCACACCCAGGGAAGAACCTACCTGGCAACTGGCTATTTTCCCTGATGGAGGCTTTCAGAATAGCAACTGTGAATAGTGAGCTAGCTATCACCAAGAGCCCAACTGGCATTTCCCATGTCAGAGGCCATTCAGAGAGTTTGAACAGTCTGAAATGGCAGGTATGTCTGTTGTGGTTACTTATTGACAGTCTGATGTGCACACAGAATGAAGTTAGAGTGACTGGCCTGAATTCAGTTTGTTTACTAAACTGAATCAATGACGCTCCTTTTGGTTGCTCCTAGAGGGGCTGCCTTCTGCTGTGTGTGCCCTCCTCCCCAGTCTCCTGGTCCTTGTACAGCCAAATCTCAGAGCCTAATTTAAATTGTCCCTGCCTGTCATCAGTCCTGTGCATTTAGTGAAAAATGCAGCTGGGAATTTTCCAGCACTGCCTATGAGTATCAAAAGTTATGCTGTCTTTCAGTAGTGGTTGTAAAATATATGCCCAAACTTTCAAATCACCTGTAAGTAATAAGGCAACCAAATAAAACTTCACTATCTTCAGGAACGTTACATTTTGAGCTGCTAAAATGGCTCTTAGCAGCATCTTGTCCTTGTCAGCTAAGACAGAGTACCAGGATTTGGTTGAGTTTTCATTTCAAAGAAAATGCTTCATCTTCTGAAAACACCTGACTCCAAAAGTTGGTTTAACATTTTTGAACTTGTGTGGTAACTGTTTAGTACATATTCTTTTACTCGAATTTCACCCCCTATGTTCATGTGTTCCTGTTTAGGAATGATTTAGATTACGGTGATCAATTGACCTGTCCGGGAATCAGTGTGTTCTTACATGAGTAGAATGTGTGCTTTTATTTAAAATACGTCTCTGGGTTATTTGTGGGGCATAGGAATTTGTTCATTCCCCCCCCCCCCAAATATAGTCCAGTCTACCACATGGTCTGAGGGATGGTGGACCGACCCACAGCTGAAAAAGGTTGCTGACCCCTGGTGTAGTGTTTCTAGCCCCCAGGCAAGTTGGCTAGGAGCCAAATACACCATGGCCAGAAGTTGTCCACCTCTACTTTAGCAGGTAGCGCAGTGACTGATTGTTTAATGTGTTGTAAAAAAAAATGTGGCTGAGAACCTCTAATAGAAGCAAATGGGGAAGCTGGCGAGGAGTTAAAATGCTCATTGGAGCCACAGGATCATAGCCATGTCTACACACTTCAAGCAAGCCCCCCACCCCTTTGAGAGCTAAAGGTTTGCGTTTTTACATAAAACACGACTGTAGCATTCTTTGGAGATTCTGATTTTCCTCTTCTTTTTCCACAGGAAGCCAGTGAAGTCTCGAAGTAGAAGTCCTGCTTACTCGAGGCACTCATCTTCGCATAACAAAAAGCAGAGATCTGGGTCCCGCAGTCGCCATTCCAGTATCTCACCTGCTCGGCTACCATTGAACTCCAGCCTGGGAGCTGAACTGAGCAGAAAGAAAAAAGAGAGGGCAGCTGCTGCTGCAGCCGCAGCAAAGGTTGATGGGAAGGAGAGGAAGGACTCTCCTAGTGTTTTATCTAGGAAAGAAAACAGTTTGGCTGAAGTTAAAGAGCCAGCGGTTGAGGCCAAAAAGGCAAAAACGGCTAAACCTGAGAAGTGCCCTTCTGACATTGAGCCAGCAAATGTCACACAGCACAACACAGAGACAAAAACTACTCCTGAGCCCCTAAAAACAAAGGCAGTAGAGAACCACGAGAAGAAACCTCCTGCTTCAGTTAAAGACTCGAAAGCAATGGGAACAAAAGATATGAAACTTGCAGGCGGAAAGGAGGAAACTGTGACCCCAAAGGAAACAGAGACAGCCAAGCAAGAGGTCCCACCTCTTTTGCCTTCGGTTAAGTCACTACCTCCTCTGCCAACATCGTCGCCCCCTGCTCAGGCTCCTCCTCCGTTACCCCCTTTGCCTCCATCACCAGTTATTCCCCCTCTGCCGCCTGCCCAGTCACCTGCCACTCACACCCCTGCTTTAGTTCCATCGTGTCTGCCGTCGTCTACCCACTCCAGGACATCTCTGACTACTCAGGCTAACTCTCAACCCACCATGCAGTCCTCCTTAAAGGTGCATGTATCTGTGACAACTGCTGTTCCGCATCTGAAAACGTCAACGTTGCCTCCGCTTCCTTTTCCACCTGTCTTGCCTGGGGAAGATGACATGGATAGGTAAGGGGAATAACCAAGTAAACCTCTTCCACAAAGGGTTGGTAATATTATGGACCAGGACTTGTTAGAATTTATGTATCTGCTCATTTCTCATTGCAAATGAAATAATCTGGTGTTTGAAATGTGATTTGGCTTTATGAAAATGGCACAGATAGTGAAGAAAAACTCAAGGCCTCAGATGTAGAAAGCAGCTTTGGAATGTATGGAGAGGATACCAGGTATATGGAACGTGTAAAACAGGCTTCTAAATTAGTGGGATGGTTAGGATTGGGGCTCCCTTGCAGGAAATGGAAAATATGGTCCCAAATTAGAGCATGTTGAAAGGATCTTTGCTTGAGTAAGAGAGCTGTAAGAGGCTGTAGCCTGAAATTCTGGACAGCTGTTGCCAGTCAGGATGGTACTGGATTTAGCTGACATGAATGATTGGTTGTACACCAGCGCTATTCCTTGTATAGCATATATCAGGGGTCGGCAACCTAAGGCCCATGGGCCACAAGTGACCCACACAGGTTGTTTAACCGGCCCATGAGCCGCCCACTCAGCGAGTCCCCCCGTGCTGCGTTAAAACGGTGCTGCGTGGGGACTCGCTTTTGCTGCACCGAAAATCACGTCTGCACATGCGCAGACGCCAGAAATTGCATCTGTGTAGATGCAGACACTGAAAATCACGTCTGTGCAGGTGCAGACGCTGGAAATCGTGTCTGTGCAGATACAGACGCCGACGGCGGAAATCGTGGGCAGACATGCTTATGCGCGGGCGCAATCTGGCCCACCGAGGGATCTCTGCTGGAGTGAACTGGCCCGGGCAAGGTAAACCTTGCCGACCCCTGGCATATATAAACCTAAATTTTTGTTTTAGTGTTGGTCCCTTGTTCACAATGCCTCACTTATGTGGCCAGCTCAGGAAAAAATCCCCAGTTAGCAACAGTTTTAAGTGCGTCAAGTTTATGCTACTGGGCTCAGTTTTTTCTCTTTAAAGGACTTGGCAGTCAGGTTCAGACTATCTTGTCTTGGTTCATTAATCTGAGATATGCATGAGTGTTTAGCTCTTGCACGCCGCCCCTTCACAGTTTGCTGTTTTCCACAGTTAAACTAGGAAACTTCTTGTTAACCCTAGTTTCCTATTTTGGATTAACTGGGAAACTATGGTTACCGGCTTCAAGACAAGCCAGCATATTAGCCTGGATATTGAACTGTTTAATATCCTAGCTTGTTTTGAAGTTTGTAATGTAGTTTTCCATTTTGGAAAAAATGGGTTCAACAGAGACTTCCTGAGTTAATCGTGGCAAAGGAGCTGCCTGTGCACTGAGAGATTATCATCTGAGCAAGGACAGTGTGAGGCATTTGCTTCCCTATCAATGTTTGATTGCCATATTTGGGGTCAGAGAGAATATTCTCACAATACAGAGTCTGAGTTTTTAGGGAGGTTGGGCTTCTTTTTTAGTGAGTCCTTTGGCTCGTTTGCTTTTTCTGGATAGGTTCTCAGCCTGCTTATCAAACCAAGGCTTGTTTTAGTCTAACTCTAGTTTGTTAAAACTACAATCCCCTGAATTTGTAGATAACCACATTCAGATGTAATGCTAAATAATGGACGAAGCTGAGGCTTTTGTTTTCCCCACTCCTTGTCTGGTGTAGTTGTAAGGAGGAGATAAACTCATGCCAGTCTTTGTTAAAATATTCCTAAATATTGACGTAACTGTAAGCCTTGAATTAACTATGAACATGGAAATTGCCCATCCTTTTGGCTTGTGAGGTGGTTTTCCTTTCTAAGGAGCATGTACTGTGATGTCATGCAGACGTACAGGCAGAGTTAGAGACTGAGATATGAAAGTTAGGAGCTAAATGGCACCTTAAACCTGGGTTATGGGCACAACAACGGAATGTCTAGGTGCGCTTTTTCCTAACGACAACAAAGCTGAAAATGAATGAACAGCAGCTAAAATATTATGTTAATTTTTCATATGGTCTAGTCCTTCCCTGTAATATTCTTAAGAGGGCTCTCCTCCAGTCTTCAGAGAGTAGTTGGAAGTGGGGAGGCAGTTTTAATATGAAATCTTAGGCACAGTACTGCGCCTAGAGCTCAGAAACTGCTCGCACTTATGAAATTCCCTTTCGTAAAATGCGCCTAGAACAATGGGAGTTTCAAGCACTGGGGGTGGGATCTGGTTTTGCCTCTTCTCTCCAATTCAGCTAGAGCCCATAGAGGCTTCCAAGAGAGAGATTGGAATGGTGCATTGTAATCATATGTTCTATATGGTGAAAGTTATGTAAACCAGCTTCAAACAATTGAGTGGGGGTTTGCTTCATTTACAATATTGTTCTTTTTAAAAATAATACTGACACTACTAGGGGAGAGGAGATAGGGAGGATCAAAGGTTAGTAGGGTGGTGATGTGGGGGTCATAGTTTATGCCTGGCAGCTGTGTTGAACCATACAGCCCACCTTTAGAATTGTAGTGCTGGAATATGACAAAGAAAATCCTACCTTCAATCCATCTGAACAGCTGCGTAATTAAGCAAAGATCTAGTGCACCCCTGAAAGAGAGTTTACAGGGCAGTAGATCTAGATGACTTTGGCCATCAGAAGTCAAATGTTCTCAGTGTCTCTACCAGACTGACTTCTAGGGAGGGGCTTCATTCCTGACCTCAAACAGGGCAGTTAGTTGAACCCCAGGTGTGAATTTTTGCTAGGCTTAGCTCGGCGATACTCATTTTCTGTGTGAGCCCTTCACATAGGGCTGATTCAAAGTTGCATATATACATTACTTGACAACTAGTTACAGGCGGCAACCATTTCACACTGGGGTTCCATTCGTACCCCTTGTGCATGTCAGTAGAGCACCCTTTCTGCCTTCTTCCGGGTCTAAAAGGACCCATGTATTGGCAATCACGTGTCAATTGGATGTTCTGAAAACGATCACTGCCTGTATTTCAAAGAGCATTGTGTTTGAAGTGAAATGAAAGTTCTTGTCTGTAGGCCATGGAGGATTAAAGCCACTTGTGGTTGCTAGTCATGGTGGCTACATTACCCTCCAGCATTGGAAGCAGTATGTCTCTGAGTGATGGGGATCCATTTTGAAAACAGCAGGCTGCACTAGATGGGTCTTTGGTTTGACCCAGCTGATCTCTTCTTAACTAATCCTTCATATGTAGTGGTGCATTCACACATGCACATTACTACTTTAGGTTGTCCTGCTGACTCTGCACACGAACCAGCCTGTAGTTCTGATTCAATTTGGTGATGGTAAGGGGTGTCACACCTGTAACACCAGGTAACTGAAGATGGATGAAAATTTAAATTTTAACTTGTGGAAAGTCAGCCCACTCCTTATAAGTAGAAACTTACCTTTGCAAGCAACAGTTGGGGGGTTCTCTTCTCTTTTCCCTATCTACCCCACCCTCCCTCTCACCAACCATGGCAAAGAGGGCTCCAATTCTTCACATCTGCTGGGGGGAAGGCAAAGGACCCCAGAAGTGGTGGCCATTTCAGCCCCCAGCCCACAAAGCATTGATGGAGCACTTATAAGCGCCCCCCGTTATGCCCTTGTTTTTACTTCTTCCAGGCCCAACAGGATCCCACACCAGTGATCACGCGTCAGTTGGATGCGCCTAAAGTGGTCTCCACCTGTATGCAGGAGCAGAAAGGGGGTAGATGGCTAGTCAATAAGAGATAACTTACAAGGGAGGAAAGGAGAACCTGTGCAAACCAGCCTTTCTCTGGCTTCACTAGACATTGCCTACTCATTTTGGCCCTGAAACTGCGACCATGAGGGTTAGATGCTTCCTAGTGTGTGTATGTGTTTGTGTGTTAAAGTAACTTTGGATACCCAAATCGAGGCCAGATACTAGATTTGGTTCTTGTATGGCGCATCACTTGGGATGAGCTAAATACCAACAAATACTCACTGTCGATAAGGTTGGAATCCTGGTGACTATCACATTGCTCCCAAAAAGAAAGCTTATGTCACCTTTCTGTTAGAGGGTGTTGAGATGTGACAAGTGGTTGCTCTAAATAATTCATAAATGTGCCCTTCTTTTTGTTGTTGTTGTTTTTCCTGGTGCTTTAGCCCAAAGGAGATTGTCCCCTCAAAACCTGTGAAGAAGGAGAAAGACCAGAGACCACGACACTTGCTCACGGACCTCCCACTCCCTCCAGAGCTTCCTGGTGGAGACCCTTCCCCTCCAGAGTCTCCAGAACCAAAGGCAGCCACGCCACCTCAGCAACCATGTAGAAAGAGACCAAAGTAAGTGTGGAGAGGGCATCTATTTGCATAGCGGCCACTTCAGGGAAACGTCTGGTCATTTTGGTAAGGTTTGGAATTAATGGGAGGAACCATAAGAAACCAGATGAAGATAGACACTTAGCTACCTACCCAAGTTGTGTAAAGCAGTACCTTCCAGGAAAGTAGAGCTTGCCAGATCGTTGCTCAAGCAATCTCATGCCATGTTTTCGTAGTGATAAGAACAGTTAGCATTTATGTCTTGCATTCTCATTCATTCTGAATCACCTTATAGGAGCCCTGTGTGGCAATTGCCAAAGGCTACATACTGTGTTGAAGGCAGAGGCAAGATTTGAACTGGGAACTACTGGTCCCCAACTCAGTTACTGTGCCATGTTAGGTGTCATGCGCAGACTGATAAACCTGTTTTTGAATTGATATACACGAATCCTATTTCATGATTAAAAATAGAATAAACACTGCATAATATGTTGAGATTCACGCTTCTAAAATAACAATAGAAACAGCATGGAGAGGCTGAAATCTACTCCTTGGAGGCCTGGCAGAATTAAATGATTTCATGAAGCAGAGTAAAGCTAAGAAGATGCTAACTTTGTGTGGCTCATAGGGGAGAGTATTCTGCAAGCAAAATGTCACTACTGAAAAAGCATTGCTGTTAGAGGATACCAGCCTTGTCTTTAGCAAGGAAGGCATCTGACAAAGGGCTCCACCAGAAGATATTAAGACACAGGGAAGGTCATTGAGAAAGATGCATTTTCTATATAAATACCTAAAATATAAACTATCATGGCCTAACCAATGTGGAACATTAATATTCAATGTTGACACCTTACAATTCAGCTCAGAAATAGATTGGTAGCCAGTAAAGATTTATTTAACTCCGGTGTAACTGAGTCTGTCTGACTAGCACCAGTAAATAACACTATGATTATGTTGCAAATCTATATAAAACTTTTTTAAAGAGAGAGGAAATGGCAGAAGAAAGAGGTTCATAAAAGGAATCCATCTCTTTGCACATAAAGAGTAAGTCTTTAGGAATCTTTTCAGGTGACGAGAGAGGGAAAAGATTACTACGTAGAAGGTAGCAAATGGCAAATCAGAGGGCGACTGATTTTAGGTGTGGTGCGGGAATCAGCTGCTGGTATCCTAACTAAAGGGAAGAAGCAAAATTCCCAGAGCAAATGTATTTTCTTTGTGTTTATTTATTAAATGTAACCTCTATTTTTATAAAATAATGAAAACAATGGACACAGTTTTACAGAAGCAAAAAAAAATAGCAAGCAACTGACTGAGGATTCACTTTGTAAGAGCACCAGTGCAGAAATAGTCCGGCAATATCTGTAGAGTCACAGATTCCCCATCTCTGTGTCAGTATCTGTGGTAGCAAGACTGAGGAAGATCTCTGTCGGAGACTTTGGAAACCCAGTGCCTGTTGGAATACTACTGGATCAATAGCTAAAATCTGTATAAAACAGCTTCAATTATTCTCATATATGTTTAAACACCTAGTCCTGTAATGTCTCAATGGAAAATTGCCCCAAACCCATGTTTGAGGTTCTTCAAACTCCTCAGAGGAAGCGTAGAGCATAAATGTAATAAATAATATATCGAATTAGAAATTTCAGTCAGTGTTACAACTTGCATGCATGCATGCTGTAAAGAATCTGTAGTGTCAGGTGTTGATATAGGAACCATGAAGGCAGATAATGGACAGGAAAATCTACCAAAGCTGGTTATTCAGAAACGTTTTGTCGAAGTCGGCATTTGGGATTTTTACGGCTCTTGTGCTTCTCTACCCAACTCCCATCTCTCTCTCTCTCTCTCTCTCTCTCTCTCAGAATCTGTTGTCCTCGTTACGGTGAGAGGAGGCAGACGGAAAGTGACTGGGGAAAGCGCTGCGTGGACAAATTTGATATCATTGGTATTATCGGCGAGGGGACCTATGGGCAAGTGTACAAAGCCAAGGACAAGGACACAGGTGGGTACTCGGTGCACACTATTTTCTTTTCTTATTTATTTATACATACTTTTCAAATTTATACATTTCACTAATTTTATACATTTAACTAATTTTACAGTCATTTTGACATTTCAAAACTTGACTTCCTTCCCCCTCATTCTGTGGTTCCTTAAATTTGTTTTTAATATCTTCAGCATATCCAAATTAACTTCATTTGCTCGTTTATTCATCTTCCTTAACTATAAACTCTTGTAAAACTGCAGGTTATTACAATAATCCTGCCAGTGTCTTTATCTGTTTATAATTCATCTGTAAATATTCAGCAAACCATTTCCATTCTTTTATTAAAAAAAAATAATGTTGCCTTGATTTCTTATTCTTCCGGTAACTTTTGCCATTTTTTGCCATTTCTGCATATTCCATAAGTTTTTGTATCCATTCTTCCTTTGCTGGGACTTCTACTTCTTTCCGTTTTTGGGCAAGTAACATTCTTGCTGCTATAGTAACATACATAAATAAGTTTCTATGCATTTTAGGTCGTTCTGTCCCTATAATTCACAAAGGTTATTTTAAACATCCTTTTCCTTTTCATAGAAAAGTGCACACTATTTTCAGTCCGTTTTTCTCATATTGAATTCACTTTTAAGTAGCTGTCGCAGAGCGTGCCGGTCATCCTTCCCTTGGGGGTTCCCAGTTGGCTCCTCCCACCATTCCTCTGCATCCAACCGATCCATGGCAGTACCGTATAAAAAAGCACCATGTTGTCTAACTGCTTTCACATTTGTTGACATCAGCTGTTTTCGTATAGGCAGAGGCCGTATGCTTACGGATACCATTTACTAGAAACTGCAGGAGGGGAGAGGACTGTTGTGCTCATGTCCTGCTTATGGGCTTCCCATAGGCAAATCATTGACTAGATGCTGGACCAGATGGGCCACTGGCCCTGATACAGCTGGGCTCTTCCTACATGATGTGGCCGGTGGCCGTGTAATTGTCAGGAGTTCAGCCTGCACTCGAGTGGGACCCTGGCAGAGACATATGCCCGACTGGCATGTTCTCTTCCTCCTGGTCGATTGTTCGGGAGCTTCATAAGATTTCTTCAGCCCGAACATCACAGCGACCGATGCCAACCGACACCCGCACACTTAGGGATCCACAGAGTTTGCGCATCATGCGTATGACAGACCTCCGCAACTCAGCATTTTGGCTAATCTACTTTATTTACATATAAACACACACGGAGCACTGCAACATGGCTCTCTCTCTCTAGCATCAGGCAGCAAAGAGAAAAAAGAACAAAGGACAATAGTCCCACTTCACGGAACACAGTAACACAAACATCCTGTCTCCGTCACTTTCCACTCTGTAGAGTCAAAACATACACCGTCATGTGATAGACAAAAACCCCATGACTGCAATTATAGATCAGGAAATCTAACAGTAATAGGCTGCTGCTTGGAGGGCTCTTTTAATTGATCATTTCTTCAGAATGTAATACCAGTATGCTTTCTCATGTTTTCTCAAAACAAACACTGTGCAGTACACCACGATTGATACCATAAGAAGAGGCCTAGGGATGTATCCAGGCAGAGAAGCTGAATTTCCTACTTTGCTCCCCAACACTAGCCATTGCACCACAGTACAAAGCAATAGCCTAAAATGATTTGTAAGAACGAAATGGGCAAAATGACTGGCAGTAGACAATAATTGTCTTCTTGATGTCAGATTATAAGCGTGCAAATAACATAATGTATCTCTTACCGCTGCTCCTCCTACTATTATAAAATTTGTATACTGTGGATCTCAGGGTGGTTCACAAGATAAAAACACAAAATACATAATAAAAACAAGGACAAAACCAATCGATTAACCTTACTTTCCCCCCAACCCCAAGCAGTGTTGGCCTTATCTACCAACCAGTGTTGTACTTATCAAAGGTCCGGCTGTGCTGACTTAATATTTCTTCATGTAACTTGGAAGGGAGGGTTGTGTTTAAGAGGACCAGCCTTTTTGTGGCTCATTTTTATTGCAAATGGTTGCCTGCTTTCTTACCGACTGCCATTTGTGTTTGACAGGTGAGTTGGTGGCTTTGAAGAAAGTGCGGCTGGACAATGAAAAGGAGGGCTTCCCCATCACGGCCATCCGTGAAATCAAAATTCTCCGGCAGTTGATTCACCGCAGTGTTGTCAACATGAAGGAAATCGTCACAGACAAACAAGATGCACTGGATTTCAAGAAGGACAAAGGTATTGAAGGACATTGTGCTGAGAAGTAAGATGTGAGACTGATGCAGGTTGTGGGGCCCCCTTAGTAGCAGTGAACATACTTAGCGTATAAAAATGCTCCATGCAGGTAAAGGATTCTGCGTAGCTTTGCTTCAGTTTTCCCCAGGAGTGATAGCATGGCAAAGGCTTGTCTTGTCACAAACATTCACGTCTGAAGTTTGCTCTCCCATTTTGAGGGTCTTTCGTGAGATATGTAGAAGAGTTTCAGGCTTTCCCAGTCCATCTCTTTTACTTGGGTGTCATAACCATGGTGAGCAGGGAAGGAAATGTTTCTCTCCTTAGAGATCAGTTCAGTACAGTGACCTATATGATTCCAAGGTGAGTGATGGGCTGGCTCATGCCAATTTTATTCCCCCCACCCACCCACCCAAAGAAATCATGACAATCTTCATAAATATTAAGGAAGGCAGAAAAACGAGGTTTTTAGCTGTAAATACAGAGTCAGAGCAAAAGCTGCTCTTGCCTTTTCCTGCTCACACCATAATCCATATTGGAAATTTCACAGACAAGTGTTTGGGCTAAAGTGCCAAATTGTGTACTTTGACACTTTCAGTATTAACAGGCATTTTCTCCTCCTCCTCACCTTCTCCAGGTGCCTTTTATCTTGTATTTGAATATATGGACCACGACCTCATGGGATTGCTAGAATCTGGACTGGTGCATTTCTCAGAGGACCACATCAAGTCTTTCATGAAGCAGTTGATGGAGGGGCTCGACTACTGTCACAAAAAAAACTTTCTACATCGAGACATAAAATGCTCCAACATCTTATTAAACAACAGGTAACTGCCAGACCAATTTGACAAAGGGGAATGTGGCTCCCAATTCCTGTGCTTTTTAAGGCCAGTGTGGAAAGGTTTTTGGAAGCTGCAGCTCGTATAAAACGCAATAGCCAGATTGCTTTCTGGAATATACAGGGTGGATGATCCTACAACAGCCCTCCACCAAATGCACTTTCAAATAACAGTTGAAAGTGCTAGTTGTTACCTATAAAGTCCTAAACATTTTGCAGACAGGATATCTGAAAGACTCCTCTGATGATAATAATAATAATAATAATAATAATAATAATAATAATAAATTTTATTTATATCCCGCCCTCCCCAGCCGAAGCCGGGCTCAGGGCGGCTAACAACAATAAAACAGTATAAAAGTACAGCATAAACAACACTCTAAAATCATTCATTATAAAATTAATTAATTCAAGCCACTGGCAACCATTGGGCCAGAGCTCCGTGAAGATTGCCGAGGCGGGAGTCAGGCTGTGCCCTGGCCAAAGGCCTGGTGGAACAGCTCTGTCTTGCAGGCCCTGCGGAAAGATGTCAAGTCCCGCAGGGCCCTGGTCTCTTGTGACAGAGTGTTCCACCAGATCGGAGCCACAGCCGAAAAAGCCCTGGCTCTAGTTGAGGCCAGCCTAACTTCTCTGTGGCCTGGGACCTTCAAGATGTTTTTATTTGAAGACCGTAAGTTTCTCTGTGGGGCATACCAGGAGAGGCGGTCCCGTAGGTACGAGGGTCCTAGGCCGTATAGGGCTTTAAAGGTTAAAACCAGCACCTTAAATCTGATCCTGTACTCCACCGGGATGTAGCACCGGGTGAATGTGATCTCGCAGCGAATCTGCGAATACGAATCTGCTTCAGGGGATTAATCTCTACTTCAAAGATAGGCTTCACTTAAAATAAGCTTTGGAGGCCTTGTATATCCCACCACCAAGCGAAACAGAGCCTTTTCTGTGGTGGCACCCCAACTTTGAAATGCCCTCCCTGAGGAGGCCTTTAAAACTTATTTTAGTTCTATGTAGCGTTTTGACTAATTTAAATTTGATTATTTCCACTCTGTTTAATCCCCCCCAAAAAATAATTTGTTGTTAAATTTTATTTTTTTTGGTGCTGTTTTAAATTGGGCGTTGCATTTGTGGTGCCTCATACATTACTTTATAAAAACAAATAAATAGAATTATAAGTCATTAGGAACTGGGCTGTAGCAGATGTCTCTCAAGGCTTGAACTGTTCCACAGAAAGAAGAAATGGGAATCTACCAGATAGTTCAAATTAGCCGTATAAGTTCTTAAGTTCTGCCCTTTGTTAAACTTTTTTTTAAAAAAAGAGCATTGCAGATGTTTCTTGTAAATGTGTGAGTGCGAATGACTGAAGCTTCTGTTAATTTTAGTAATTCCTGTTCATTTTCTGTTTCCTATTCATGCTTTTGTATAAGCCATTGTTAATAAAAGTCTACTTCCGCCTTCTTGTTGCAGTGGGCAGATCAAGCTGGCTGACTTTGGGCTTGCCCGGCTCTACAGTTCAGAAGAAAGGTAAGGTGTCTGCTGAGCAAAGGATAGGTGTAGATTTAGCTACACCAGGATGGAATCTACACACACATATAAAAAAACACACTGTGAAAATGCTTTTTTAAAAAATGTTTTGAAAAATATATTGAATTTGCCATAGCTCACCACTGCCATCTAGTGTCACATTTGTACATTTCACTTTACAACACACTTAAAATGTTTCAGTTGTGGCTGTATAGCTGAGTGCCAGGACAGTCTCCTGCATAAATGTTAATCTTGCATGTCTCCCATCTGTCTCAGTGAGACTTATTCAAGAGATAGTCCTGCTTGGGTGAACATCTGAGTAATGTCTTGGGTTCAAATCCCACCTCGGTCTTGAACTCATTGGAAGCCCTCAAGCAAATGATTCTGAGCCTTCAGTCCCTGTTGATGAAGTGAAGACTGGTGATTTTATTTTCAACCAAAGAGGTGGCTCAAACCTATCTTTCTCTGACCTTGGAAGCTCTGCGTTGTGATCAACTAACCTTTACTCAGAGTAGACCCATTGAAATTTGTGACTGGGAGTAGGTTAAAGGTAAAGGACCCCTGACAGTTAAGTCCAGTCGCAAACGACTCTGGGGTTTGCGGCGCTCATCTCACTTTACTGGCCAAGGGAGACGACGTTTGTCTGCAGACAGTTTTTCCGGGTCATGTGGCCAGCATGACTAAGCCGCTTCTGGCGAAACCAGAGCAGCGCACGGAAACACCGTTTACCTTCCCACTGGAGCGGTACCTATTTATCTACTTGTACTTTGACGTGCTTTTGAACTGCTAGGTGGGCAGGAGCTGGGACCAAACAACGGGAGCTCACCCCGTTGTAGGGATTCGAACCGCCGACCTTTCGATTGGCAAGCCCAAGGGGCTCAGTGGTTTAGACCACAGCGCCACCCGCGTCCCATTTCAGTGGGTTCGCTGAGCAAAAGCTAGTTGAACTCAACCCTTTCTTCCCCGATCCCTCAATGTGTGGAGGCTAGTGGTGGTGAAGGAAGAGTGTTTCCACAAGTGATCAGAGGCACTTCTATTTCTGCTTCACATGCTCCTGAGCTCAGTCTCTGGCAGGGTAAAGATGCCTTTGTGAGCCACACCCTAATTCATTTCGGTTCAAATTCTGTGCTGCCAAATGGCGCTTGAGGGTGAATGAAGTAAGGATCGCAAATAGCTTGGCACAATTGAAAGTGCCATATAAACAGTCAGCAATAAAAACAATAATTTGAATCCTTGATATAGGTCTTATATAAGCTTGACTTTCAGTATATTAAGCTCTCTCCATACACCACAAGTATTCTGGGGATAATTCATCCTATGAATAGCTTGGGGAGGGTGGGTAGGTAGTTTGATCCACAGGGTGAATATCTGTATTATTTCAAAATAGCTTGAGGCAAATTGTTTTTAGTTCTGGATCAGGAGATTGGGGGGGGGGGGGATAATTTGGAAGTGATAACAGATGAAATGAATATGTTTCTAATGCTGGTTGCTTTTACAGCATTTTGAAATTCTTCCTTTCACTGTCTGAGTAATGTCGTTCCAGCATTATGCACATTGAAATGCTCCCTTTTAAAATTGCCACAATCAGAATGTTTCTCCTAGAGGAGCCAAGTCTCCAGGCTGCCCGTTTGGGAATAGTCATTACCTGCCACCACCACAAGGAAGCAAAGCCTGGAAGCTGTCCTACTCTGGGACTAAAAATAGTATCCAATAACATGCACCTTTTTAAAGATTGTGTAAGTCCGTTTCCAGTCCAACAAATGGCCTAGAATCAAACAGATGGGCATCTGATTAACCCCTTAGATGGGAGGCCACTGGCCTCCTGTTGCGGCGTTCTTTGTGTTGCATATTTCATTGTGTAAACGTCACTCAAGCTTTTATGCATCAGGTTGCATGCCCTATTAACCTATAAAGCATTTTTTTCAAGTAGCATTAGCGATCTGATGACATTTTACAAGCATGACTTGTAAAAGCACCTGCAACACACATCTGGATGAAACATTAAAAGCCCCTTTTCCCGTTGTCTGGATTGAGCAGGTGTGGCTGTGAGAGAAACCTTCCTTGACCTATACAAAGCCCCTTAACACACACACACACACACACACACACACACAAAATATGGGTTGTGACTATGGAAAATGATTCCTACACAGTTCATTTTGTTTCAGCCAGCTGGGATTGAAGCTTCAGCCTTGGTCCCAAACACAGTTTGGCTCCACCATTCTTGCTTCTGTATGTATGTTCCGATTCCTTACAGAAATCTCTCAACCTGAAACATCTCTTTTTCCCCCTCACTTAGCCGTCCATACACCAATAAAGTCATTACATTATGGTATCGACCACCTGAGTTGCTGCTAGGCGAGGAACGTTACACTCCAGCCATTGATGTCTGGAGCTGCGGGTAAGTCATCTTTCTAATTTCTGATATGAGTTTACAGTTCTTGCTGAATGCTTCCCTGTGTTGTGCTTTTTCAGTGGCTTGTATGAGTGTGTTTGTGTGTGAACTAAAAACACTTTCTAAACATTTAGGCATACTGTGAAAACTCTGGCAGTGCCCGCATTTGATGTAGTTTAGAAAATCAAGCTATAGGCCAGGTTCTGTCATTTGCATCCTAATGGTACACCATGACAGTGTGTGTGAGAGAGAGCCCATGGACTGATATTTTTATTGTGTGATGCATTCCATTGTTTCTTTTTAAAATTTGGTAGCCTGGCCCCTTTATTGCAGAAAGAGTCTGCTCAGTGTTCCATGAGCCTTGGAGCACTGAGGAATAGAAGATTCTGTGTTCCATGAGTTCCAGCTTCCATCCCGATCCAAAGTTAAAAATTTTGGACACCTAATTGGCACAGAGGCTATCACAACACTGATCAGGCTTTCTGGATTTGTTTTATAGCAGTCTTTTTGCATGGTAAAGGTGAATGTGTCACACGTCTTCCCAATGCAAGTGGGAAATGTTGATCATAGAGGTTAATGGAATTAGCCTTTTTTTAACATTCAAATTTGACTGGGCACCTCCCTCTCTGTTCTGGGTTTCTACCAAACCTAAGCAACCAAGGAAGAGTCACCCAACTCCCCATTCAAATGCTTCCTTCAGTTTCTGCTGTTCATTTCAACCTTTCTTTGTTCCTTTCCCCCTCCCAGCTGCATCCTTGGGGAACTATTTACAAAGAAGCCTATTTTTCAAGCCAATCTTGAGTTGTCCCAGCTTGAATTAATCAGGTAAGTCATTCTGTGTGTCATCAACAGGAGCGTGTGCAAAGAGAGCTGTGTGTGCTGTCTTGGCGATGCCAGCAGTCATTTTGTTCCGAAATGCTAGCAGTCACCTTATGTGCAGGTAACAGGGCCCCCCACAGGTAGTTTTTTTGTACAGACAGAAAGCGGTTGTTGGCAGCTAAGTGTCAGAACCATGTAGACACAAACAGAAGCAATCTTTGCAATCAGGATCTCAGTGAGAGAGAGAAATTATCCCTTGACTTCATTTGAGTGCCTCACCTAATTGGCACCAGATTAAAGGGAGGCAAGAATACCAGCGGCCTCCATCATAGAAATTTAGGGCAGCTCAGAGCATATAATGCCCTTAGCCTAATGTTTCACCTTTTTAAAAAAACTCTGGTCTGTACCTAAACTTGCTTTTACCTTCCAAGTCTTAAGATAGAATTATTTCTAAACTCTACCATGAGGGACGTGGGTGGCGCTGTGGTCTAAACCACTAAGCCTAGGGCTTGCTGATCAGAAGGTTCGAATCCTCACGACGGGGTGAGCTCCCGTTGTTCGGTCCCTGCTCCTGCCAACCTAGCAGTTCAAAAGCACCTCAAAGTGCAGGTAGATAAATAGGTACTGCTCCGGCGGGAGGGTAAATGGTGTTTCTGTGTGCTGCTCTGGTTCGCCAGAAGTGGCTTAGTCATGCTGGCCACATGACCCAGAAGCTGTACGCTGGCTCCCTCAGCCAGTAAAGCGAGATGAGCGCCGCAACCCTAGAGTCGGTCACGACTGGACCTAATGGTCAGGGGTCCTTTACCTTTTTACTATGAGGAAGAGCCTTCCTAAAAGGACAGCAGTATTCATGGGGGTCCTTTAAAAGTTAGAAAAATGGGCACTTCTGTGCAATTAACCTGGCCTTGCATGTAAACAAGCCCTGGGAAGCTTTATAGAGATCTGTTTCCTTTGGATCTGCTGTGTGTTATGTCTGTTTTGTGGCCTATTCTCCTGAAGGGGGCAGGGGATCCTCGGATAGGATCCTGTGCCGGCGGGGAACTGTCTGTTCGAGGATCCCCTCCATTCCCTGCAGAAAATGGACCTTCACAGGAGGTCCGGTGTCACATTTTTATTCCTGTCCATCCTTGACAGGAGGCCCTGTCTCATCTACCTGCAGTGTAGGGTGAGGAGTAGCGAGGGGAGTGGGAGGCTGCATGCAGGCATGTGCAGAAATAGCTTTGAAGCCATTTGGCTTCACTAGATGAGAGGGAAAATCAGAAGAGGCTTCAACCATCCACGTCTTCCAGGCCGGAGAACTAAATGGCCTCTGTTTGAGCGGTTTCATTTTGACAGCTGTTTCACTTCTCATTTTATGGTCCTTTTAACTTGTGTAAACCACGAAGAAATCCTGGGCAACGTGGCAATGTAGAAAGGCAATGCATAGTTGTGTTCACGCTCTCCCTTTTCCAAATCTCCTGCAGCCGCCTTTGCGGGAGCCCCTGTCCGGCTGTGTGGCCAGACGTCATCAAGCTACCTTATTTCAACACCATGAAACCTAAGAAGCAATACCGAAGGAGACTACGGGAGGAGTTTTCCTTGTACGTCCTGGGTAACGGTGTTGTGTGCCTGCGAATCCTTATGTCTGTGATATCTCCAGAAAGCACGGAATTTGTGTATAACTCCCCCCCCCCCACAAGACCCAGACCCCAACATTTTGGGTGGGTGTGTGTGCTAGCAATAAGGGTGGGGATTGAGAGGCATGGAGAGGCACCAGAAAAATGATTTGCTGCTGGAGAACAATCCACGATAGAAATGGAACGAGATGCTTGTGATATTTGCTGCAAGAGATCAGCCCAAAATGAGCTGGTGCTGAAATATAGAGTATAGCCAGTGCGGTACCCCAATGAGAGAGTCCGTTCTGAACGTGAGACATCCATGTTCATGCTGAGCCGTGAAGCTCGCTGTAGTAACCTTGGCCAAAACAGAGTTTCTCACCCTAAGCTACATTGCAGGAAGCTGCCAGGCTAGTGCTCCCCTCTAAGCTTTGGGAAGTGTAAGTGAGGAGCAAATATCCTAATCAGTACAGTGGTACCTTGGGTTATGAACTTAATTCGTTCCAGAGGTCCGTTCTTAACCCAAAACCGTTCTTAACCCAAAACCGTTCTTAACCTGAGGCGCGCTTTCACTAATGGAACCTCCTGCTGCTGCTGTGCCGCCGCCATGAGATTTCTGTTCTCATCCTGGGGCAAAGTTCTCAACCCGAGGTACTACTACCGGGTTAGCGGAGTTTGTAACCCAAAGTGTTTGTAACCCGAAGCATTTGTAACCCAAGGTACCACTGTAGTTTCAAAGTGACTTTCTATCTAGAAACTGTGTGCAGGTCGTTGTCTCCCAGCTCAGAATGGATTCATCATCAGATTTCAGTTTAGCTAGAAGAATACAGTGGTACATCTGTTCTGGGAGTCCATTCGACTCCTGAAACTGTTTGAAAACCAAGGCGCGGCTTCCGATTGGCTGCAGAAGGTTCTTGCACTCAAGCAGAAACCGCGTTGGATGTTTGGCTCCCAAAAAGGTTCGCAAACCAGAACACTTATTTCTGGGTTTGTGGCGTTCAGGAGCCAATTTGTTTGGGAGCCAATCCATTTGAGTACCCTGATACCACTGTAATGCACTTGGGTTGTGTTGCGCAAGCCACTAGCTCAGTCCTAGGAGTAATAATATTGGCCTGCTTTTAAAGGGCAGGGGTATGGATTCAACTAAGTCCTACTCCGAGGAAACTGGTTGAAATGAATGAACCTAAATTAATCATGTCTCCTAACGCCAGTGGATTTATTCTGAGTAGGACCAGTGATGAATATCACCCAGGGCATTGGGGACAGGGAATTAAGAGATAATATGTGTGCAGAAGAGCAACGCTTGTTATTGTCATAATGGGGACTGTTTGTGGGTTGTTGTTGTTTTCTTCATTTTCTCTCTCTTCTCCCAGCATCCCTTCTGCTGCTCTTGACCTATTGGACCATATGCTCACGCTGGACCCCAGTAAACGATGCACAGCAGAGCAAGCCTTGCAAAGTGACTTCCTGAAGGACGTTGATGTCAGCAAGATGGACCCTCCAGAGTAAGCACCTCACTGTTCCTTGGGAAAGTGAGCCTGCAGGGTGGGGACTGAAATCTGTCCTAGCCTTTTAAAGGTGCATTGAGAGTGGAGTGCTTGGATTCGTAGCAAGGCGGGGCTAGCCAACCCACAGATCCACACAGAGCGATCTGCACAGTTCAGACCACAGAACGCCACTGGCAGGGAGGGAGCGTTCACCAACAGATGCCCACTTAACCATCGCAGCAGAAGCTGCATATTGTGGTGACACGTTGCAGTGGAAAGGTAACCTCCGCCCTGGTTTGTGAGCCCTTTTAACCTCGGGGGAATTAAATGGCTTCTGTTACGTGTTTCAGCCTCAGTGTATGCTCCTTCTGTGTGCAATGAGAAAGGAAATCATCTGATTAACCTGACACCCCAACCCCACCTTGTAAGGCAAGAGGATCTAGGAAAGGATTTTTTTGCTCCCTGTCTTTGCCTGCCTCATTCATATTCAGAGGCAACAGGAAGACTTCAGCCTCCACACACCCAAGCATATCTGCAGCCCCAAAATTGACTCTGCAGCACAGCTCAAAATACATCTCTAAGTCTTCATGAAAAAGTTATCTGTAAGAGTTCCCTAAATTTGGCTTAGCTTACCTGTGTTACTGACCTGACCCAATCCATTGCGTCCCCTGAGGCCTTTGCCACACACAGAGGACTCCTGGAAGGGTTGTGTCATACTGAGATTTTGAGCAAAAGTTGTGCAAATCTAGCTGCTTTTGTAAGGCCTGTCGGGTAGTAGGAGACTGACCTGCCCTTTCTCTTAAGTTCTCCATTCAGGCCAAATAACTCAGGATGGGCAGGGTTGGTCTAATACCTGAGATAGTAAAAGCACACCCACCCACACCCAGTTCTCCATAATGTGCTAAAAGCTTGGGAAAGAAGAGGGAATCTTTGTGCTGAGCATTTGGAACCGGTGTGGCATCAGACAGGCAGGGGCGGTCACCCAGTGTCAGAATTTGTCTTCCAGGCTTCTGCCACAACTTCATTGCTCCCTTCTCAACAAAGGTCCATTTGCTGTCTTTCTGCAGCCTTCCTCACTGGCAAGACTGCCACGAATTGTGGAGCAAGAAGCGGCGGCGGCAACGGCAGAGTGGGATCGTGGTAGAGGAACCCCCCTCGGCCAAGGTTTCCCGAAAGGAGACAGCCTCCGTAATAAGCACAGATGCTATCAAGAATCACAGCAGTCCTGTACAACCACAGCCTGCTCCGATCAAAACACAACCTTGCGCTGTAGACTCATTCGGTCAGTGTATAGCCTTGGGTAACAGCTATAGCTTTAGTTAGCTAGACTGGGCTGTCTTCTTACTACCCTTGGTTCCTTTTTGCCATCCAGCTGGCCGCTGGTTGCTTTTGCTCCTTTAGACAGAGGCAACTGGGTTGAGCTCTAATGTAAAAGGTATATTCTGAAGCCAGATTTCCAGCCCCTTCCCCCGCCCCCCAAAAAAGTGACAAGGGGGATACAGCTGTTATGTCTTGCACCTGGGAAAACCATAAGTTTGGTGCAGGACCCATGTAGCAGGAAGCTGGGGCAGCAAGCAAAGATGCAGACAGATGCATTGGCAGAAGGACTGTCAACTAATTAATCAGGACTTCCAACTTGGAGAGTGTTTCCAGAAGGCTATCCAGGTTGATGATATTGAAGTGTCCGAGAGGTCCAGGGGAATCAGTAGGATCACTCTCCACGTGTCTCTCTCCTGACTTAAGCCATTCACCAGAGTGACCCTATCAGATTCTCGAACAGAATGAGTCAGTTGGTCTGAGAGATCTGAGATGACAAATCCAACAGGTGATAGCTGAAGATAGCATGGACTAGTAGGAAAGTGAAACTGGGGCAACTCAGTCAGGTGGCAGGGTATTATTATTATTATTATTATTATTTATTTTTATTATTAGCTGGGTTGAATAGAAAAGATTCCAGAGTAGCACTAGGTCTGTGTCTATACAGGAGCAAGACTGAAACCTCCTGTGGCTTCCTGTCCACACCCGCTAACCCACCCTGCATAGTCAAACCCATCAGTAGGGCACAGAGCACTTCCTGCTCTGTCAGATAAGGGGGTGCTCATCCTGAGAATGGCTCCCCACCCTGTCTCCATCCTTGGACTCTCCATGCCCTTAATAGCTCTGATTTTGGTTGTTGTTGTCAGTCTCTTGTAGAAGGCAGAGGGAGGCAGGTGTCTGATTGTGCATGTGGATGGGTGGTTGCTTATGGACTGCCTTCTGCTAGTCCATTCCTAACACTCTGTTTTGTGTTTTCTTTTGTTTTTGTCCTCTGGCGGCTTTCCTTGGCGTTTGCAGCAGGCCTCGGTGACATCACGCAGCAGCTGAATCAGAGCGAGCTGGCTGTCTTGCTGAACTTGTTGCAGAGCCAGACGGACCTTAGCGTCCCGCAGATGGCTCAGCTGCTCAACATCCACTCAAACCCGGAGATGCAGCAACAGCTGGAAGCCCTCAACCAGTCCATCAATGCACTCAATGAAGCCACCACACAGCCGCAGGACTCTCAGAAAGCATCCGAAGAGGAAGCAGCAGTTGAGGAGCCGCTCCCGCCAGCCCAGCCGTCAGAAGAGCAAGCCACCCCGGAAGTGGCGAACACTCAGGGAGACATGCAGAGCATGCTGGCGGTTTTGCTGAGCCAGCTCATCAAGACCCAGGAGCCAGCAGGAAACGCGGAGGAGAACAATGGGGAGAAGAGCAGTGAGCTGCAGGGGCCGCGGAAGACCCCCACTTTGCCTCAGGAGGAAACTACAGGTAAATAATCGCAGCATCCCCCCTCTTGCTACTGGGACATAAGGAGGGAAAGGATGTGGGGGCTTTCCAAGCGGTAAATAAAAAGCACTTTGAATATTCTTTAACCAAGCCTGGTAGTCTTCTCTTGAGTGTGTGTGGAATCTGGCAGCAAAATCCCCCTCAGAAGTTCTTGGTCAGGCTGCTCCCTCCTGCGTTAAGGCCAAACAATAATACAATCTCCTTTAAGAGTAGGAAACCACTTGCACATCAGAATTGCCACCTGAATTTAAGTAGTGGCAGCCACTGTAAGACCTGTTACACAGGGCTGGTTCCGACATTCAGACAGACAATCTCATGTGGATTCTACCACATTAGAAAGCAATTTGGGGGCTGACTTCGTAAATATTCTCCAGGCCTAAACTTCCATACACGTAAGAAGCTGACATGGCAATGAGAAGGCAGGGCTAGAGCACTTGTTCTGCCTGTGCTGTCTTTCCATGTGTAAAGAAAGCATTTTAAATAAGCAGTTCTTCCCCGCACCCCCCCCCCGCCCCGCATTCTGAAATGGTAGTCATGGGAGGCTTTCTGCCATGTGGGTTTCCCCCAACCCTGAATGTTTTGATCAAGTGTTTCTCATACTTCTTTGCTTGCTACACTGCGTGCATGTTTAACGTACCATAACTTTCATTTTTAAATGTCATAATGCACCCTGAGAATAGGATGGAAACTCCTAAAAATTCTTTTTGAGTCTGTGGCTAAGCTAGAAGGAAAACAGGAGCTGAATTTCTTTGTTGGGGAAATGGGTTAAGAGGAAATCTTACCCCACCTGGGTGAAGGCACAAGTTTTCTTCCTTTCGTTTGCTTTTTTAAAGGAGCACGTTTCTACTCCTTTTGTTTGCAGAGATACTCTCAAAAGCATGTTGGCAATATTTGCTAAATTCTCAGATGCTAAAGGAGGGGCTCAGCCCTATTTCCTGTGGGTGGGACTTTGGGGCTCCGCCCTAGGACTTTGCAACTCCCCATGACTAGCCATAGTAAAATGAACATAGTACAGTGGACGCTCTGGTTGTGAGCGTGATCTGTGCGGGATACACGTTTGCAACCCGCAGCATTCGCAACCTGCAGTGCCGCGTCAGCACACGCGCGGGTTGCAATTCAGCGCTTCTGCGCATGCGCGATCCCCGAAACCCAGAAGTAACCCGTTCCGGTACTTCCGGGTTTCAGCGGGTCCATAACCCAAAATAACGCAACCTGAACCGTCTGTAACCCGAGGTATGACTGTAATATGAAGCAAATAGAATAACCTTTTCTTCGTTTTTCCATTTTCTATTCATGTCACACAATGTGGGTTTCCTTGGTTAATTAAGTTTTGTTTTTGTTTCTCTTCCTTTAAAAACATCATGAGTACGCACACCTAGCCCTACTTAGAATTCTGTACCTCCTACCATTTCCCCGACTTAGTTGCAGCTCTCAAAGATCTCGGGAAGAGGCCTGTCAAGCCTTGCTATCTCAGAGCCTTCTGGTGGGCGGTCACCTGGGGTCTTTTGTACGCAGAGCATGTGCTATGGCCCCCTCCCCATGAGTCCGTGTCTGAAATGTTTTGATGTTTGTTCACGTGTGACTTTTAAGACGGTGTTTAAAAGAAGTAACCATTCCACAGCCTGTCCTCACATTCTCCCACCAGAGAAGAGACCCCCGGAGCCTCCAGGACCTCCGCCGCTGCCGCCGCCGCCGCCCAGCCTGGCTGAGGAGAGCATCTCCAACGCAGCTCAGGACTTTAACCCGGCCGTGACGGCTGCCCTCCTCCACCTTTTATCCCAGCAAGAGGCAGGGCTGCCGAGCCACCCAGAGCACGAACCCCAAGCTGTGAGGCCTTCCTCGGATTATACCCGGTCGCAAAGCTCATCCAGGACTTACAGCACCGACGGGACCGAGGGAAGCAGCTTCGACGTCGACGAGCGGAACTCCAGCCAGACTTTAACAGCGGAGACGTCGCCTCAGACCTTGGGGAAAAGTAGGACATTTCTGGGCTCCGCAAGTCACCTCGGGGAGTCAAGCAGCTACCAGGGCGCAGGATCGGTTCAGTTCCCGGGGGACCAGGATCTCCGTTTCGCCCGGGTCCCCTTAGGGATGCATTCTGCCGTTGGCCAGTCCTTCATCAAAGCCACCGAGGGGAGCAACAACACACTGGTGCACCCAGAGGCCAAAATTCACAACTACAGTGAGGTGGGAGTGGCAAACGCTAGTTCTGGTGACACAGGAACAAGTCACACGTGGGGGAACCCGGTCCAATCCGCTGCTTACGGAAAAGCCTTTCGCGGGCAGAGTAGATTGCCTCCAAGAGGAGGTCGAGGAAGAGGGTTACCTTACTAAAAATGACTGGAGAGGAGGGAATTGGTACCTTTTTTTTTCCAGTGGTGTTTTACCGTCCTTTTCCCCCTTGACCTTTCCAGCAGCCGGTTTGTCAGGGCAAACCATTGCCCACCTCCAGCCCACCACAGAAATGGTTTATTGTTGATACTTTCCCCTCCTGCTCCCTTTCTGCTCACCAGACTGCTGCTGCTGTTCTCTCCCCCACTCCACCATGGGGCTTTAGAATGAAGACCTTGGCCTTTCCCCCCCCTTCCTTTTTTTTTTACATCTTCCCATACCCAAAGACCTACTGATTTGGGTTTCCCCACTCAAAGATGGCAGGAGAAGGAAAGAATCCTTAAAGAAGTCATAATAATAAATTGGAAACATGAACCGAATGTGTTTGCTAGCCTTGAGCCATTTATTTGTGAGAGTGAGCCCTGCTGAGAGTCTGGAAAAAACTGAATCGTTTCCTCTGCAGCAGAATGAGGTGGCAGAAAGAGCCGTACTGCTCCAGACTGCAGGCCGGAGAACCTACCTTTTTTGAATCCATGCACACGAACACACACTACAACTTGCCTCCCTGCACACAGAAAGCCTAGCACACCTGGGAGTGAGATTGTAGCCCAGTCCCTCTCTCCATTGTGCTAGCCTTGTTGTTTTCCAGGAGGCAAAATGATGGGTTTAATATATATATATATATTATATTAAAAGGGGGGGAAGAGGAGCATTCAGAAAAGGACAGTTCTCCCACCCTCCCCCCAGTGGTAAAACTCATTCTGCCGCATCGTTCCACTGTATGTGTAAGATCCAGCCTCAGTATTGCAAAGGCAATGCGTTGTTTTGTTTTCCTTTGCCTCCTTGCATTTCAAGATTTGTCAGATGGTGCCTACATGCCTTTTATACTGAATTGGGAGGATTCGGTTTATGTTCTGTAAGATCTGGGATATTTCTCTCCCCACCCCCTTCTTAGCCACATCTTCTTCCCATGATGAAAAGACAGGATGCTACCATTCTTCTCCTGGCTAGCTGTCCCTTGTTTTACTGTGAAAGGCCTCATGCTGTCTCATACTCACCTCCCAGACCTTTAGCTGAACTGAATTTCTGTAGTGTCCACGAGTCCGTTGACTTTTGGATGTTTTCTTCTTCCTTTTTTTAAATTTTCTCTCTTAAGAATGGTGAGTGTCTTTTTGTTGAAGTTCTTAAGGCCAAAGTAAATGGCCGAAAATAAAATAAAAACCAAAAGCTTTGTAATCCTTAAGTTCTTCGGGGTGGAGTGAGCTTAAGATTGAAGCCGAGAGCGGTCGGGGCAGACGGGAGCCGAACAAGCAAGATCGGCGTTTTCAATCTTCCGAATGGTTAACAAGTGTTTACTGTCTCTTGTGCAATTTCATTGTTGTCAATGTTAAAAAGCAGCCTATCCGCAGCTTTCCTCACTGATACTGCAGTGAGGATCAGTTTATATTTATATACTTTTAACAGCTTTAGCAGTTCCACCTGCTCTGGTTAATTTGTTTCCCCCAAAATATTTTCTAAGACGTAGATTTTTACTGTGAAGGACAGCAAGCCTGTTTTTGTTTTTTTGCGGGGGTTTTTTTTTCTTCCAAAAAAGTGGAAACTTGGAAGGGTGACTAATTTCTCGGGGGGGGGGAAATCATTCTCCTTTTAAACTTGACAGTGTTCAAAGGGGAGAAGCATGTCAGAAATTGCAGGGGGCAGAGGGAGTTTTAGCTCCAGCTTCTGGCCTTTACAAAAGAAGAACGGAATCTTCTTGCTTTCGTATAATACAAAAGAAAAGCTGCCTCTGTGTAGCACACTGCTGCTGAGGGCAGGGAAAAATGCCTTAAAACACATGGATAGGAGAGCCTGATGTGGTACAAGGGAATTGAAACGGCCTTTAGAAAGAGTTCTGTGGAGGTTGGGGTAGGCACTGTTCAGTATAATATGTGCCACCTTGTATTGACAAACATACAAAAAACCCACAACCTGCTTCTTTCAATTCTGCAAAGTGTAGTAAGTTTGCAAAATTCCAAGTGTAAATTTTGTATGTGTGTGTTTTTTTAATTCAGTTATGAGTTCATGCCTAACATGCAAAGAAAAAAGAGAGAGAGAGTACTGTACATGCAGAATATGGTAAATAAAAAGGAGAGACTTCTCCCAGGCATTTATTTAAACATTTCGCTTTTTTTCTTTTCCCTTCTTCAGTTTCCTGATGTTTTGGGCCTTGGCATTTTTAGGCTGTCATGGAGTTCTCAGACATGTCTCTCCTCTTCTCCGTCCTCTCCACTTCCCTCCCTCTCTCCAGGGGAAAACACAATTGCTGCCATTCAGCCGTGTGGCCATTAATTTTATTTTTTTGCTCTTGTCATAAACCTGCTCACCTGAAGGAATTTGACCACCCCTTTCATGCAGGGTCTTGCAGATTCTGACTTAACACGCTTCCTTTACTGCCTCAGATCCTCCGAGGAAAAACTACTTAGGAAGGTATACTCTGGGATGAAGATTTTCTCCCCCCCTCCTTTCTAGTGTGGAGTCTCAGCAGCCATAATGAGTAACGTTTACCCAGTTGAGGAAAGTATGGAGTTTACAGAATCCAATCAGTTTTGAGTATTTAACCCAAAGTAAGGGACACGGGTGGCGCTGTGGGTTAAACCACAGAGCCTAGGGTTTGCCGATCAGAAGGTCGGCGGTTCGAATCCCCACGACGGGGTGAGCTCCCGTTGCTCGGTCCCTGCTCCTGCCAACCTAGCAGTTTGAAAGCACGTCAAAGTGCAAGTAGATAAATAGGGACCGCTCCGGCGGGAAGGTAAACGGCATTTCCGTGTGCTGCTCTGGTTCGCCAGAAGCGGCTTAGTCATGCTGGCACATGACCCGGAAGCTGTCTGCAGACAAACGCCGGCTCCCTTGGCCTATAGAGCGAGATGAGCGCACAACCCCAGAGTCGGTCACAACTGGACCTAATGGTCAGGTGTCCCTTTACCTTAAGGTATCACCTTGAGTTTCAAGGGAATGAAGGGGGTGCAAAGGAGGTAGTTGATAATAAACCTCCCCCTCGTTTTGGCCCCAGCAGCTGCATTACCAGTTTTCATACATTATGGGGTTGTTATTATTTTTTTAAAGGCCTATGGTGACATTTCTTGAGTTGCTGCTGCTCAGTTAGAATGTCACATGGAACAACTTTGCACCTGAATTGCTTACCCTTGTGCCACAGCTTATTTTGCATGACATCTGCCCTATGCTGGATGGTGGCATCCTAGTCTTCATTGCCACGCATCCTCTTTGGGTGTTGTGTGTAAAAGGTACAACTTAAGGAGTCGTCGCGCCCAAGTTTAGCATTTTAGGAGGCAAGAATGATGGTGGTGAGCATTGAAAGGGGGAGTAAATATGTCCTACACATGAGGATCAGGATCCTAAAAAGTCCTGCTTGGATAAACTTGGGGACCCTCCTTTGGAGAATCTTTAAAAAAAAATGTGGGGAGACGTCTGATCATCAGATGTGGAAGAGTGTACCTATGCTGTATTGAGCCAATTTTAGTTGCTTAACAAAATGGCAAATACTTTGAGTAGCGCAAATCCTTGCTTCAGAAAATCATGTTTATGCATGCACTACTTACAGTCACATGGAACAACTTCACCCCTAACCTGTTGCCCCAGGTTATGACTTGTGAAAGACCTAACGCATGTAACAAACAGCACAGGTAGAATTTGGTATGGCTTGGATGTGGCAGTTGAAAGCATTCTGTTGACACATGCACAAACAGGAAATAGCTAATATGTGTACGACCTGACAGAGCATGGGCGGACCTTGTCTATCAGCAGGTACAGCTTAATCAAACCTGTTTTTTTCAGCTTCCACTACTGGTTAATTAACACAACAGTTTTACTTGTGAAATGCCAGCACCTGGGCAGTGGAAACCCTAATGGAACATTACTAGAGCTCGTTTTCAAAAAAATTCCATAAACTGGGGGTGGGGGGAGTGAAAGATGACTCACACAGATCCTAGCTTTCAGGAACCCCCCCCCCCTTTTAAAAATACATTTCTAGCCCTTATAGTTGGGGAGATACGTATGAAGTCATGCAGGGTCTGTCGGCAGAAAACTTCAATGTACTGTACAGAGATGGCAGCAGTTTTTAAATGGAATTCCAGCAAATTCCTTGGAAAGCTCATGGGGGTGCCACACTGAGAAGTTCACTGGTGGCAACCAAGCTTCCCTGAAATACAGCTGGCCCTCTGCTTCTGATTTTTTTTCTGTGCAACATACAGATTTAGAAGAATATTGGGTTACATTCTCAATTCATGGAAAGCAAGGACAAGACCCAAAAGATTAGCTCAGTGCCTCACATGAACTTGGCCAGGAAGTTGAGAGCTAAATTTGTGGCTCGGCTTGATTGTCCTTTATAGTTAAACAAATTACACTATTACACACACATGCATGTGTATGAACTAAGTGTGTGCCCTAAAACATAACCCTCATTTCCCTGGAACATGCAGGAGAACATATGTGTAACTGTGAAAGAAGTCCCTGAAGACGCCAAGTTTGAAAGCCCTTGTCTTGTATCACTTCCCCACAATAAGCTGCTGTTTTCTCCTTGAGTTGTACACAGCTGTGACCCATCACATATTCACATCTCTTCTGCATTGCTAGAAATATATTCAGCAGACTACCAAATTCCAGCTAGTAAGCTCAGAGTAGCCTGCAAATTGAAGGAGGGGAGAAGATGCAAGATGCACTGAGTTTCCATTCTAGTAGAAATAATCCAGGTGTAACCAGGAAGTGTCTCATATCTGCTCTACTAGGAATGTACAAGCCTGCTTTCTTTGTTGTCCAAGATCCTTGTGAACCCTTGGCCAAGGCCGTGTGTACACAGTGCATTTTTTTTCCAAAGTAAATTTATGTGTCCCCCACCAGAAAAACCAGCCTACATTCTAACTTCGGCATAAATTTATTATGCAGTATTTACTAATATATAACTCTGGTTTTGCTAGCTATGAGGACCGCAAGGAGATCTACAGGGCATTCGGCTCATTGCAAATCTCATTCAGCTACTTCAGTGGGTTCTGAGATTTTTGCCAAACATTGTGCATGGCATACTTCAAAAACAATAATTCTGAACATTAACAAAAAGATGGCACAGGGAAAAACCACAGGGAAATAGATTTACAAGTTAGGCTCATAATTAATACCCAAATCTTATCTCTTATATACATAGAGCTACTCCCCACCCCTGCCCCCCCCCAAATTCCTGTGTTCATTGTTCACCCTATCTTAAATGTGTATATGTATAGTTAGCCAATGTTGCCAGACTCCAAGCATTAACAGAGCAATCTTCTGCATGTCTCTATTCAAAAAAGGCCTGCTTTTGGAATTGGTGGTCTGATACACCTGGGAGCGATCAAGAACTCCTGAGTGTATCTGATTGCTGCACCAAACTCAAGTGCCAAACTCAAGTCATGACTGCAAAGGAACATTCCCTTGCAGCCTTGGCTTTATGTGTCCTGTGCCCGATGTCAGATGGGCATGGCTTGGCCCAAATGGCAAAGCAAGCCAAATTAGGAGGGCTGATCTACCACTGATTTAAAATTTAAATGAATTTAAATTTTAAAAGCAGGATATAACAGCATCAGGCCAATTGCATATATAATCTTTCCATATGCATTCACAAGGGCTAGAACCATGCTTCTACTTTTTCTTAAATGAAAGTCAGCTGAATTCTGTGCACATGACCATATGTCTTTGGCTGCTCCCATTGGAAAGAAAGCCCTGCCCATAGTTTCTCCCAGCCACCTTCCCAAACTGCTGTTCGCTGGCGCAGTACTTTGGGTGCAGCCTTACGCTGGGGCTGTTACTCTTGATTTTGCATTATTTCTGTATGCAGAATTAATTTTCCTTGATTTTAATGCAAAAAGCAGTGTGTATATATTCTCAACTGCTGGCCACTTTTAAGAAACCAAATAACTCTATAAATGCGTGCAATTGACATAATGTCCTTTGCTCACTGAAATGTTGGTGCAGAATCTTTGCCCTCCTCCTGGAGTTGGGGGTGTTGGCGTAATGGAGTGTTCATCCTAAATGTATCTTCTTGTTTCTTCCATGGATCTAATCAAATGAGCTTATCTGGATTGCAAGAGTCTCGCTGTAGTGAGGCTCAACCAGAAATCAGATTTCTCAACAACAAGGACTGTACGCATTCTGAACAAGTCTCTCTGATTGTTCATAACAAAATTCGTATTACTTATTGTTTCGTCCACCACTTGGAGCAGGTCCCCAGCCCCCCATCCCACCCTCGAGGAGATCACTATCATGCAATGTTTCTTCTCTGGCCTCTCTCCTGCATGATTTCTTGTATGTGTAAAACATGTTCACTCTCTTCCCACAGAACCGGAATGATTTGCCCCTCCATAATATAGATACTGACTGAAGTAAGCAGCTGCTTTGAGGGCCAAATGAACATCTCTCTTGTACTCTGAGCTTGTAGTGACATCTGGTGACATAATTCATGCCTTGCACATTATTAGAGCACCAACCAATGGCAACAGGGAAATCCACTTGCTTCCATCCAAGTGTATTTAAAAACCCAACTTTCAGATTCAGCTCCAATGCCAAGGTAACTAACCACGTATGGATGAAAAGATAATGGGGTTTTTATATACAGTACCAGTTTCCATAATTATGGTGTTTTGAAAATAATAATAATAATAATAATAATAATAATAATAATAATAATAATAATAATAATAATAAATTTATTATTTATACCCTGCCCATCTGGCTGGGCTTCCCCAGCCACTCTAGCCAGCTTCCAACAAAATATTAAAATACAGTAATGCATCAAACATTAAAAGCTTCCCTAAACACTGCTTGGAGCAGGTATGAAGAAACTGAGCCTCCAGATGTTGTTGGATTCCAACCTCCATCAGTCTTGGCCAGGATCGCCAATGGATGATAGGAAGTGGGACTCCAGGAACATCTGGAGGGGAACAGGTTCCCTGTCTCTGGTTGAAAGCATTGCCTCCCAACCCTCCTAGAATACTGGTTCATTCGCTTTTCAGATCTAAAAAGTAAACCACTCCTTCACAATAACTTGTTCCTGGTTTTGTTTAGCTGGATGGTATGCTGGGTTTATAGAAATCCATAGAAAAGGTGAACGATATACCACCAACAAGAAGGGAACTCAGTTTTGCAAGCTGTCCTGCGGGCGGAAGCCACATGTGGTAAATGTGGCACAGATCTTAACACCATGACTTTCATTTTGGGGAAATGCAGAGGGGCTGGTTTGTTCATTCTTCTGTACTTCTTAATAATGCTCTCCAATGACACATGGGGTGTGTTCTAGTCTTTTGCACTTATTCTCATTTGTTCCCCCTTGCCATTGCCATCCTTGCAGTAGTGCAACTCATGCAACACATTGGCGACTAATATACACACAATAATTACCAGAATAATTATACATTCTTTATCAATCTTCTGAGAAAAATAGAAAATCTTGTGCAAAGCCACAGAAACTTGCGAACTACCCAGTCTAAGATGAATGTACAATGTCTAATTTCAATAGATTTTTCAAATGCTTCGCTCTGCCAGTCCAAGTAATCAAGAGGCTTCTGTTTGCCCCCGATGGGGCCCTTTTACTGGGGCTTGCAGGTAGCACACACCATGACTTTCATTGTGGAGAAATGCAGAGGGGCTGGTTTGTTCATTCTTCCGTACTTCTTAATTCTGCTCTCCAATGACACATGGTGTGTGTTCTAGTCTTTTGCACTTATTCTCATTTGTTCCCCTTGCCATTGCCATCCTTGTGGCACAATTCAGCTTGCACAGCGCTTTGATAATATTAATAATCAGCCACCACCACCAACACACACACACACACACACACACACACACACACACTGATTTTGCCTCCACAGTTAACAGTGTATTAAGCGAGTTTGCCCTATCTGTTCTAATCACTGGGCTAGATCACAAATGCATGTGCATTGCTTGGTGACTGTACACTTGAGGGTGGCTGAATGTGAGAACTGCCTCCATTGGCCAATCGGAAAGTTCCACCTGTGCTGTTTAGATCTCCGACGGCTCCTTTGCATGTGAGAACCATCCAACAATTTTGCAGTCCTCAAGTGATGAATGTATGTGTGAGAAAGAACCAACCCCTGGCATGGGAACCAGTGTGGTGGTGTGTGTTGGACTGAGGAGACTGGTTCAAATCCCTCCACCCTCAGTCATGAAACTCACTCAGTGATCTAGGGCCAGTTCCTGTCATATAGTGTAACCTATTTCACTGTTGTTGTGAGGATTTAAAATAAAGGGTTTTGGGGGGGGGACATTTATGCTACTTTGATCACATAGGGGGAAAGGCAGGATAGAGATGTAGTAAATTAATAATCCTAAATTTCTCTAGGCACAGACTTCACAGGGATTTCGTTCAGAATTTTTTCAGCCTCTCGACAATATCCTCCAATATACCTGGTTATTTGTTGACAATGCTTAGGATGACTTGTTGCAAGTTTTGAAAGCTTGCAAATACTTTAAAGCAGTTACAACTAATGCAATGGAAGTGATGTTAATTTATATTCCTTATTTTATCTTTAAAAAAATTCTATTTTGCCCATCATGGCTCCGTAAAGCCCATAGTACGTATATAGCTCTTAAGCGCTCAGAGCAGCTAAGTGCTCTCAGTAATCCCTCTAATCCCGCTGCAACTAAGGTAAATCAGAGTTGTTACACCTGTACAGTGGTACCTCGGGTTACATACGCTTCAGGTTACATACGCTTCAGGTTACAGACTCCACTAACCCAGAAATAGTGCTTCAGGTTAAGAACTTTGCTTCAGGATGAGAACAGAAATCGTGCTCCGGCGGCGTGGCGGCAGCAGGAGGCCCCATTAGCTAAAGTGGTGCTTCAGGTTAAGAACAGTTTCAGGTTAAAAACAGACCCCCGGAACGAATTAAGTACTTAACCCGAGGTACCACTGTACAGGGTTACCAGGTGTCTTGATAGATTAGGACATGTAGGCCGAGAGCAGAAAATGTCACCTGGTAACTCAGGAGTGGGCCTTGGTGCCCATGGCATCAAACCAGTGTGGTGTAGTGGTTAGAGTATTGAACTGGGAGTGTTGGGAGACCAGGATTCAAATCCCCACACAGCCATGAAGCTCCCTGGGTGACCTTGGGCCAGTCGCTACCTCTTGGACTAACCTACCTCACAGGGTGGTTGTGGAGATGCAATGAAGGCAGGGAGAGTGAGTTTTTGGTGAAATTTGAGCTGAAAAGTCCCAACTGGGAACTTCTGGTTCATAGCTCATGCTTTTAACTCCTAAACTCCTTGGTTACATCTAGCTTATATATAACTACCCTTGCTTTCTCTCACTGCAGATGGCCATGCCCTGGAACAGTGTAGATGACCATGCCCCTGTATGCCTGATCTCAGCTCATTGAGGAGGCTCCTCCCTGATCTTCAGTGAGAAAAGAACCAAATTTGTAAGTAACGAATGTGACATGTCGCCTTACAGACACTTCAAAAAGGCCTCGTGCTTTAATGCAGTACAGCGGCTCTGGAAAATGGAGTCCCTGCTTTGGTAGGCCTTGCCCACTTTTCTGATTTCTTGCTGCCACTGAAAGGCCATCTGGTCAAGTCGTCATCCAAATAGAGGCTCATCCCTTCCCAGTTCAGCTGACACAGTCCAGATTATGAACTGCTCACCGATCAAATAGTTCCACACCACTCAGGCAAGTGAGCCAAGTCGCAGAATGCAAGTGAAAGAGAGGAGGGGGGTAGAATTTAGTATGAGAGATGTCCATCTTAGATATTTCAAAGCAGGGGAGGCACCCTTTTTCAATGTTGCAGGACCCACATACCAGTGGTGGGTGTGACCAGAGGCACAAATGGGTGACGCAATGGAGGTAAATCTGACCTTCGTACGTAAAAATGTAAGGCGGGCCTGCTGGATCAAGCCCATCTAGTCCAGAATCTTGCTCTCACAGTGGCCAGCCAGATGCTTGTAGGAAGACCACAAGCAGGACCTGAGCACAAGAGCCCTCTTTCTTCTCCCCCACTGTGGTTTCCAGCAACTGGTATTCAGAAGCGTTACTGATGTCTAGGCAAAGCTTTAGACATCATGGCAAACAGGCCAGTTTCTTCACAGGCTCCCGCACCCCTCTCTAGTCCCCGTCCAGGCAAGCAAAAGCCATGACCAGCATTGTAGGGCACTGTCATGGACTGGTTGGAGGCAGAGGAATGTCACTGGGTGGCACCAGCGGGGGAACCCCCAAGGAAAGAAGGCTCAGAGCCAGGGGATTGGTAGTGGGACAATGATGAGTAGTTAGAGGGAGAAGATTGGGGGGGGGAGGTGTTGGAAGCTGAAGAAATTACAGGGTTTAGTGAGAAGGGAGAATCTGTGGCAGAGAGAAGACCAGAAGCAGGAGGGGAAGGAGGCCAAGAGGCAGAGTTGACTCAGGCTGGTGAATTTTCAAGCGTATCTTCCCCTCCCAGACCTCCAGTCCTGGGAGAGGAGCAGGACATTTCTGCTGAAGTTGAATATATCCATAGCAAGGGGCAGTCCAACGCATTGGACAAGGAGAGCCAGGAACTGTGTTGTTGGCTCAACCAAATGGGCAGAATTGGCAGGTGCTGGCGGCAGCAGTGGTGGACCTACGTTTTGGGGGCCCTGTAACTTGAACTGTTGTGGGGGCCACTTTGCAACGGTGTCTGCGTAGCCACTGTTATCTTCTTCAGCCGCGACAGATCACCACACCTTTACAACATCTGGGCTACCGACTGTCAAAGTTTTGGAGTTGTTGACATATAGACCCCAAAGAATTAATCGATTTGACTTGTGTCACTCAAATGGAGTCTACTAGGCCAAAAAATTTTAAGCAATGTGGACTGACGTTGCTTCTGGGGCCCCTCTGAGATTAGGGGCCTTGAAACCAAAGCTTCATTAGTTTCATAGTAGATGCACCCCGGGGTGGCGGCACAATTCGAGGGGAGCCTGTCAGGCTGCACTCTCTTATCATCTGAGCTTTTGACATCACCAACTTACTAGGTAGATTGAGAGTGTACCCCAAAAGTGACACTACCATGGGTTACTGCTGTCTGTTAAGGGTGCTGCTGAGAGGAGACCCCTATCCCCCTCACAGAGCTACAATTCTCAGAGTGGTTTAGCAGTCGATCCCTCGTCACAGGGAACTCTGGGAACTGAAGCTCTGTGAGGGGAATAGGGGTCTCCTAACAACTCTCAGCAGTACCTTTAACAGACAACAGTTCCCAGGATCCTCTGGGGGAACCCATGAGTTGTTTTAAGCTGCACGATTTAAATGTATGTTGCAGATGGGGCCGTAGTCATTAATGGGTATTTATTGAAGGATAGACAGCCACCAGATGGCACTCTATAACCAAAGTAGAGGAGTGGAAGGTTTAGGTTTTCTACCCCAATTCGCTCTGGCTGCCTCATCCACAGCAATCCTTTGCGAATGTGTGAGAGCAGAAAGCGCACACTGCAGTTTTCAAGTACCTGCAGAAGCAGCCTTGTAATGGAAAGCTATGTCTATACTACAGATTGAAAGCAGATTAAAACCTGGTTTTAGCCATCATGGGTTCTCTAAGAACTTCTGGGATTTGGAGGGAGGGGGTTGTTAAGTGTTATTTTTATAGGAAAAACGGTGCCAGAATTCACCATGAACGCCTCCCTTGTTCTCTTATAATAGCAATGGCACCCACCTGAGAGGTGCCAGAACTGAGTTCTAGAAAGTTCTTTTAAATTTATTTTTAAAGGACAAGATGACCCTCATAGTTGCTTTCAACTCTACAACTCTATGATTTTATTCCATCCATATAAAAACAAAAACAACAAAGGTAAAAATATCAGAAATTATTATTGTTATTCTTTATTAAATTTGTATGCCACCCTATCCCCTCAGATTTCAGGAAGGTTCACAACATACGATATAAAAAACACAAAATACATAATAAAAATAAGAACAGAAACAAACCAATAGTACCCTGTCCCACAACACATTTAAAAAGGCATGGATGTCACTCAGCTCAAGGCCTTGTTTTCCCCTGGCACCAGAAGGTGTATAAGGAAGGCACCAGGCGAACCTCATGTGCATTCCCTTAATTTGTCAACAAAATTGGAAGGTGTGAGGAGATGCCCATTAGGCATTAAGAAGTCACTATTTCCCACATTGATAAGAACCAGAGTCCTGGAGGCTAGTTGTGTTGGTATATGAATATAATAAAGTCCCACCACACAGTATAAAAATGTTCCGAATCTTCCAAGCCTCTGGAAACTTTCAGTGCCAGATTACGTACATGTTTTTGTTTTTGTTTTACCACAAGGATATCTGCAGGCCTGGCTCTGTGTATATGCTAGTTACTGCCAACAGACACGGTGCCAACTCTCCTTAGGTTGCCATTCTTTGAGTATGACCGCCCCATGTATTTAGAAGTGAAAGCTGTAGAGTCATTTGTATGGAAGTCTTTAAAAGAGCAAATATTTCCTGCTCATGGGCAACTCCGGAGGGTGGTTGGGGCAGGGCAAGGCCCCTCCAAACCCGGAGCTTGCCCCCTCCACTTGCCTCCCCCCTCTACTGCTGGACTCCTGCCCATCCTAGACCATCGGTCAATGTTGGCTGGGGCTGAATGAGCACTGAAGAAACACAGATTCCCCAACATGTTTTAGATGCTCATTGGTAGGCCTGATCAAGGAACCCCCACCTTCTGAGGTTAGCGGATGGTCAGAGAAAGAGACTTTTCTATAAAGGGAGCTGAGTCTCTGGATTACCATCTCCAGAGATACCTATTTAATTATTTGATTTTGCTTATTGCTTGCTCCACCCCCTCCACTAATTTTAATCTTTGTTGTTAAAATTGTTTTGTATGTTTTATTTCAATTCAACACTTTAAAAATAGCAACAGTTGTTTTCAACATTAGTAATGGAAAAGTGAGCTGCAAATGCTTTAAAACGTTTTTTTTTTAAATGTGGCTGTCCAGCCTACCTTACAAGGTTGTTTGTAAGAACCATCAAGTTATCACGAGGAGCATTATGAGTGCATTAGAGAGAAGTGCCGCATAAATAACTGTTGTGCAGTTAAATACGGGCCTGCAAAGCTGGCCAGATGGCTGGTTTTGCTCTTGATGAAAGCGGCAAGCTTTCTTTAAAAGACGCAAGAGGGCAGCACATGCCAATAAACCTTCCCAGCACTTCATGGGGGGGGGGGACTGCTCTGGCTTCCCTCTTTTGGGTTATCATGGCCTGTTAACCCCATCTGAGCTCTGTTTTGGTTTCATTCCCTTTTATCACTTGCTGAAGGGAGACCTTTGAAGCCACAGAAGTCAGCTATGCTGAGACAGAGGAGTTCTTGGAGTTCGCAGTGCAGCAAAAGGTGCTCATTTCTTGCTGGTGAAGGCATCCTCGCAATAAAATCCAAAGCTGGTTCTTGAACTAATTATTGCCACGTAGCAGGGGGCATGAAAAATCTCATGCCTGTTTCCTGGGTTTTATATTAAGGAAACATAAAGTCAACCATTAAGCAACCTGCATTCCATTCTGAAAAGTATGAAGAGCAATATGTTTCATATGCAGATTAGCTGATTATTTATAGAGCAGCATCCGTACATGGCATTTTACAGAGTTTCCTATGTACACTGATCCAGGCAAGTCCCTGCCTCCAATGAGCTTACAATGTAATGTAAGCAGTGGGGGAAGACCCTGGGCATAGTCTGAGGGTGTGGTGCAGCTAAGTAGGACTTGCTGTGGTGAGTGTCTGGATAGGAGACCTCCTCAAAACTCCATGTTGAGTGGAAAACTCCACGTTGAGTGGAACTTGTCACCTTGAGTTCTACGATGGAAGAGAACAGAGATGTACAATATTAAAACAAATAAACAAGATGGGAGGGGAAGAGATGATAGGTAGCCACAGATGGGTGTGAGGAAATGCAGTTGCATGTACTTGAGCATAAAGTTGGGCATAAAGATTAAGAAAAATACTTCACTGAAAAGATGAGGGCTTGAGGAAGTATTGTAAGGAAGAGAAAGAGATAGGACACTACTTATGTGATCAGGGGGACCAGGTATAAGGGGTGGAAAGGAGGCTGGGGAGAGTCAAGTTAGAAAGCAATGAGACTGTCAGGCAACTGAGGGTGAGGCATGCTTGGCATGCTTCTGGGGATTTTTTTTTTTTTAAATGAAAGTTGTGAGGTCTGTTTTGTTCATTGATTGATTGTCTTGCCTTCAATTCGGATTCCAGCTCAGCGTTTGATTCACAGCGCTGCCTCGGGGGATATTGCTTCCTCTCAGACTACGTTTCCCCAGTCAATAAAATGGGACCTTGAGCGTTCTGGTTCCCAAGATGGCGGTGAAGGTAAAAACGAAGGAGAAGGAGGGCAGGGAGCCATTTTGTGTACCAAAAAAGAGCTGCACAAATTGATTGCTGGTTACTTTCCATTCATTTTAAGTTCCTTTTTTTTTTAAAAAAAAAAGTATACTCCACTCCTTGCTAAAGGCTCAAAATGGGCAGGTGTCAAATATGAAGAGTATTCTTTAAAAACAAACAAACAACTAACACATTTAATGCTCCACACTAAATAAATACAATTTAACAATATTTTAATAAGTATAAATATATTGCATGCTCTTTGATGCTTCCTTTGCATCCTATCACTGTGCCTGTTATGCTACACCCCATTAACTGGGTGTACCCAGCAATCCCTTTGCCACGTTGTCTTGCGGCTCAGTACTGAAGTTCTTAGGTAAATAAATTTTGTCTTGGGATTGCCATACCAGTTAGCAGGGAGAGAGCTATGTACGTATGTATGTAAAGCAGATTTGTGCCACTGACAGAAAACCCCTAATCATGTTTTGCTTGATAAACCATTTGCAAAGATGACCTCCAGAGATGCACAAAACCTAATAGCTAACCAGCTTACCTAGGTTCAGCCTCTTGTTATAGAATCGTAGAATTGTAGAGCTGGAAGAGACCCCAAGGGTCATTTAGTCCAACCCCCTACAAGGCCAGAATGGAGGACTAGGCCCCAGAATTTGTTGAACTACAACTCTCATCATCCTTGTCCATCGCTAGCTGGGAATGATGGGAGTTTGAGTCTGACAACATTGCAGAGCCACAGGTTCCTCAGTGCCGCTGAAATAAGTGATGCGTCTGGGAATGCCATGTACCATAGAGCTATATCTGTACCACCATAGACCTATACTGCTTTAAAAGCCATTCACTCTTTTAAGGGATCATTGGGACTTCCGAACGGTGTCTCTGGTATAACCACATTGTGATTTCCATATAGATTTGTTCCCTCATATCTGGAAGGAATGTCATGGAGCTGGAAAACATGCTGAAATGGGCCATCAGAATGACCCGAGGGTAGGAGGAACTTTTCTGTGAGAAAAAGCCTTATTGATTAAGAACTCTGTAAATTTATTTATTTGCTTTTTCAGATTAAAGTTTTACAATCACATATACAACATGCAACACAAAAACAAGGTTCCAAAGCATCTCCTGGACTTCCCTCCTCCCCTTTGTGGGTCCTATTTTTAGTCATTTCCTCCTGCATCTTTTATAAGATTCCAAATCTTTTACCTCTCCACTGTGTCCAAAATTCACCATTAAACTACAAATGTTATTCTAATCCTAATAATGATTTTAGCTGTTTACACAATGGTTTTTAAGATAAATTATAAATTTTCCCCATTCTCTATTGAAATTTTCGTCTTCCTGATTTCTGATTCTTCCCGTCATTTTTGCCATTTCAGCATAATCCATCAACTTAATCTGCCAAATTGATTAAGAACGTTAAGTATGCAACCCTATGCATGTCTGCTCAGGAACAAGCCCCAATGATTCCAACCATTTTGCCCCCAAATTAGCATGCATAGGATTGCAGCCCAAAGCAGCAGGATGGGAGAACGTGAAGCATTTAAGCACAAGCATAGATATAGGAGTGGCCAGGTGCAAAAGGACAGTTGTGCAGAAGAGGGAATTTCAGCTGGTATAGCTTGCATGGCAAGAAGACAGGGGCTCCTGAACCTTTAAATTTCAGCAGGTATGGCTTGCCATGCAGGAACTGCCTGCTGAAATTCCTTTGTCTTCACAACCATTAAAGGTGAAGGTGCACCATCCTCTTTTTCACCTGGTCACCTTATAGAGGCAAAGAAGGGGTTGCATGCAAGCGAATGAGTCAGCTGCTAAAGGCTCTGCACCTTGGGTTGAACCAAGCAGACTGGGAGAGGAGGGGAGCGCCCTGCTCTGTACCATAGCGCAGAAAAGCAGCACGTTCCTAGAGGAGGCTTGAAGCGAGCAGAAGGCTGCTGGCAGCTTTTCAGGCTAGAAGCTTTTGTGTGCCTACTTACAAGGCAGTGAGAAAGGCTTATAACATTGGGAACGGTGAAAGCGAAGGTCCGTCCGTCTCTCTTATAACACCACCACCAGTTGGGATCACCACCCTTTATCAAACCAAGGAGGCCAAACTAAAGTACTTCTTTATGCAACGCGTGCCTAAACTGATGGAACCTGCCGCTGTAAGATGTGGCGGTGGCAAGTGGCTTTTAAACAGACTAGGACAAACTCTCCAAGAAATGGTCTCTTGGCAACAATTCTTAGTTACCCAGAGTGGCTGGGGCAACCCAGTCAGATGGGTGGGATATTATTATTATTATTATTATTATTATTATTATTATTAGCAGCCTGGTAGCTGAAAAGGGACCTTCTACCCGTATGGCAGAGGCAGAACGATTTTGATTCCTGGAAAAGTGGAGATGAACAGGGGGTGGTCCTCTCCATCAGGCCCTTGTTGACAAGCGCATAAGGCGCATAAGCCATCGTGACTGTATTTCACCTCCCAGGGTCAGCGGCAGTGTTCTGCCTATCGGTTGTCGGGAGTTGCAAGTGGGGAGAGCACTCTTGTGCTCAGCTCTCCTCCCACAGCTAAGTCCTTCTTTTGGGGGCCCTCTCTGTGTGTTTGTGTGTGGACTCCCAAGCCCTCACCCCCTCCTCCCCTTGACTTACCTCCCCCTCCCCTTCCCCAGTTCCACCCCACCTTCCCTGCCAAGATGGCTTGATTAAAAAGCCGCTGCTCCTGGAATAGCTGCACAGCTGGTGATCCTGTCAGCACCCCTGAGCAGAAAGTCGCTGAAGATTAAAATCTCCAATTAGCGGGAACGTGAAGCCGGCAAGAAATGCGGCAGATTCCAAAGCTTGGGAACACCTTGATAGGGCTTCTTCCGCCCAGGATTGGGAATAAGCCCACTTTCCGGCCTAATGGCCGGATTTGGTGTTCCATGTTGGTTTATGCTGCCCACTGTTGGTGTGGATATTTATGCTATTGCTACTCAGTCTTCTCAGACATGGCTTTGTTTTCACTCTGGGAGTCCCTTTCCAAGGCTTTTAACTCTTGAAATGTGAGATTATTAATGCAAATGTTTGTTTAGAACTTGGGCGTTTCACGGTTTGCTTTTCTGCAAGTTGCATTTCTGATCCTCGCCAGATTCTCATGCCCAAAAGCCTAGTCGAAGGTGCAATCCTGTGTGTGTTTGCTCAGAAGTAATTCTCGCTGTGTTCGAGTGGGTTTACTCCCCGGAAAGGGGACATAGGATTGCAGCCTAAATTGCTAATCCTTGTGAATGTAAGGAGTCAACATTATATTTAAAAAGGTGTTATCAAACACTTGACCCACCCATTAGCACAGAATTTAAAACCATGGATTCTGCATGATACCTTACAATTAGCTTGGAATATGAGCCCATGAATATCTGGCTCCGTCCTGGAGAGCGACTATAGCTGTTGTGGGTCATTGTAGATTATTGTGTGTTGATACAGAAATAAAACGTTGAAATGGAATGTTTCGCAGTTTAACGTTTTTCCCCTTTACTTCGGCATGGTTAAAGGACAAAAGCTGTCTTGGATTTGTGCCATTGACAGTGACACAAATACAGAATATCAAGAGCTTGCCAGAGTGGTGTGCATTCTGCCACGGAACCTCTGCACAAGAGTAAATACTGTATTGTGCCTCTTGCCTTCCTGCTCCCAGGCTGTTAGCAGGTTGAGGGTGATTTAAGCTGGGGAATCAGCATGAGGGAAAGGGTTAAGGCTCCTTCCCTCAGAACCATAGTCCTGATCCAAATCTGTGAGTCTTGCCAGCTGCTTTTAACCAAAGAAAAATATGTACTGAGATCAAATCATGGATCTCTTGAATCAGGTTTATTTTGGGCTTCAAGGGCTTGGGGTTACATATATAGCAGCTGTGGAAAAGGAAAGCTGTTAAAGATGGATGCTGAGAAATAAGGCTGGGGCTGGGGCTTGGGCAGAGGTGGGGGGAGAAACCGAAGAAGTTAACATCTTGGTTTGAAATGACTACGCAAATCTTTGCTTGCAGACCCCGTCTCCAGTAACCTTGTTCAAATGGAATCTGTGTTGACTTAGCAACTGTTTCTCTGCTAGAGAATCTGTTTTCTTTTTTCCTCCTCCCCTTCCTAGATTCAGGCTTAGTTACTTGGGAGAAGGAGTGCATAAAAATGGGGCCAGGCCGCAGCTGATGAAATATAATAACGCCAACCACTGGCTATGGAAATCAGTCTGCCATGTCTCTTGTGCATATACACACGCATGCACACACACACACACACACACACACACACACAGTGCTAGCCGAACAGACTGGCATGGCCTTGTGTTGGCACAGGTTCAGAGAACCCTCCTGTAGCCTCTCTCTCCCTCTCCCTGCGTCTCGTTCGAATCAAAGCGCAGATGAGCCAATCGTAGCGGGATAAGGAGGGAGTCCGTGTGGCACGTCCTCACCTGCCATTTAATTGGATGTATTTTTAATTAATAGCACCTCGGGGACCGACATGAGACGCCGCCGGTCTTTGAATAGGGACTGGGGAGGAATTGGGGAACGTGCAAGGATTGGACCGCAGGGTGCTCTTAGTGGGCAAACACTGCCATCAATCAAGGGCCACTTTGGGCTGTTTGGATGGATCTCAGCACGAAGGGAAATGGATAGTGCGCATGTGTTATGTGCGTGTAGGACAGGCGAGGAATCAAAGGGAATAATTCGTCCTCCTTACTTCTAAGGACAAGCCCTGGCCGACTGGGAGAGGCGCCAGCCTCAAGAGGTTATCTTTACTTTTGCCTCCAAAGAGATGAGACTTTTGTTCGTTGGTAGTTAAGCTTTGTTTAAGACTTCAGGGGAAGTGGCATCTTATCATCTAGAAATCTGCATTCCTGAGTGCCAGGTGGGTGGCAGCAAATGCTCAGTATCAGGAGAGAAGCCTCAGAGGTGCCCTGTTTATACCAGGGCTGCCCCTTCTGGAATTCAGTTGGGGTGAAGGCAAGCAAGGCAAGATTTTCATCAAGGCCAATTGGATGTATTCAAGATGAAATTGCAACCAAGCAGTGCATGTTAAGAAGAGTGGGGTATTTTATACACACAACCTATAAGACTGCCAGTGGGCACCATTTTGACACGCACACTTAATACATTTGCCCTTTGGATTGATTGTAACAATTGCCACTCAAGCTGCTTCGAGATGAAATTTCTGTGGAGCACTGATCCTCTTAATTTGCTTGCAAGGAGATCAGACAATGGGTGCTTCTAGGCTGTCGCTATATTCAGGCAGGATTTCATAGAATAATAGAATTTGATCACATATTGTTCATGCAGATTGCACAATTGATTGGGAGGCCCTGCTTCCCCTAGATATTGGAATGCTTGAGTTAAGGAAAGCGACAGGGAAGGCACTTGCTTTGATGCTACATTGTCCATCCTCCCCACAAACAAATCTGGGTCATTGCTCAAGGAACAGGTCGTCTGGAAGCTCCAATTGCTAGATTGAGCAAATATTGCCCTACAGTTCCCAGTGCATTTTTCAGTCACGTTCCCTATTACAAGAAGTCCAATTTGAAGTGGGATTGGGTTTGCTGCTGGTGTGTGATTGAATCCCACCCGAAAATAGTGACAGTTTGGCCGTGCCCTCAGAATTCATGGACTGAGTCAAATTATAGGTCAGGTGTGGGGAACCTTTGGCCCTTCCGATTTTGCTGAACTACAACTCCTATCATCCTTGACCATTGGCCATCCTTGTTAGGGCTGATGGGAGTTGTAGTTCATCCTGAAGGGCCAAAGGTTTCTTCTATTCCTGCTATAGGTGCCTTTAAGAAATAAGGACATGTTGGCTGAAATGGGGAGTAGGAGGCAAAATGGTGCCATCTTCCCTCTAAATGACATTCCTGCTTCGTAAGTTCAATATCTAAATGCTGGCGTTGAAAACGGGTTCGGGGCTGAAGCCATACATTCCAGGGCTTGGCTCTGCCGAGCTTCCCTAGGCCGTGAATCATGACCAAATACGCCTGGAAGTGAAGTGTATTACTTGTGCAGACATACCCTAAAATCTAGCCAACCATTTGCCACAGGCAGACTCAGGGCTCTTTTCCCTCAGGCAAACAGAAAGTATTCAGAATATTGTCTCCAGCTCAGCTCCCTGGCAATTTAAACTTTTGTTAAAAGAAGAAGAATGTTTCTAAACCTTATGGCTGCGACCGTGTGCCAGAAAGGTGCCTGAATAAAATATTCAGCTGCCATGGGTACAGAATCAAGTTTTCGTTGGTACAGAATTTGAATTGCCTGGGTGCAGAATCTTAATTTCTTTTCTTTCTTTCTTTTTTTAAAAAAGTGCAAGTATTCGGAGTTCTGGGCATACTTGTGGAAAATAAATATACTTGTGTTAGCGTAAATGTAGGGTTGCCACTCCTCCACCCCCCCTAAAAAAACCACCCTTTGCTTTAAACAATCGCTTCTGCTTGATAGGAGGAAATTCAACAGTGAATGTGACCCAATATCTGTACAGCAGGAAAAGATTTGCCTGCTGAAAGCATGTAGCTTGTAAAAGGCATGGAAGCCCTTCCATGGGTCCGTGCCTGTGCATGAGGAATGTGCATGTGTGCATACATAAGAGAGAGAATGCAAAACTGTTCCACAGTCCAGCATGAAGATGCAAACCTCCTCCGTCCATCCTATTCTTTCTGCATGCAGTTTTTCCCCTACCTGGATTGCTAAGGCTTGAAATAGAAAAATGCTGGTTCCTGGAAAAGTCCCAAGTGGATCTGGTGGGGAATGGACCTAAAGAGTGCCATGCAGAGATTTCTGGCAGGCCTGGGAGAGAGCGCAGGGACACCAAAGCCATCTATTCACCTGATTTGACATACGGCTAAAAATAAAAACAGCTTGGGGCGGGTAGGATAACCAGCCTTGTCCCTTGCTTTTCTGGCAGCTGGACTAAAAGCAGAAACTGGAACACTAGAACCTGGTTGGACCACTATTTTTCTGGTTGGTTGGCAACCCTGTTCCCGCTTGGAGTGGGAAGAAAATCTGTGCACCCCCAAAAAGAAGACCCCACTAGTTTGGCTGCTTCTGATCTTACTCGGTTGGGCAAAGCAATAGTTGGTCTTCCAAGAAGGTCTAATTAACTCACCTACAAACAACGAAAACACGCACACAGCCATTTCCCCCACCCCTTATTCTGTCTGCTTTTTTTATTGGAAATGCTGTCTTCCGGCCTTGACTGCCACTGCCTCCGCAGAAGGGCGGCAAAGGAAGCTTGGGCTGGAAGAGAAACCTCTGGAAATGAGTGCACAGCTGGTACGGCTTTCCTCCTGCTCAGCTGCACCAGCCCCCCTTTGCCTTCTGGCGAGTCCCCAGTTGGCGGTGGTGGGGGGAAGGGGGTGGCGGGGAGGGGGGAAGGCGGAGGGGAAGGGGAGGGAGGGTTCCTGCTGGTAGAGAAGATGGTCTCTGCGGTGATGCGTGAGGGCAGCTGCCCTGCAGAAGGAATGATGGAGAGGGAGCTGGTTGGGGGGGTGGGGGTGGGGAGGGGAGAGTCAGGTGCTTGTGGTTTTCAATGTAGGCCACTCATTAATATTTAGTGTCGTTGGAGGACTGTGGGGAAAGTGTGAATGTGCGACGGGGAGGTTTAGCCTTGTTTGTGTGGCAGCCTCTGCTTGGCCTTCTCTGCATTGGAATTTGCTTTGCCCAGGCAAGGATTGAGGCCTGCAAGCTGCAAGGCCCAAAGAGGCCTCATGGGTATTCTTTGGCCCAAAGGCTTTCGGACAGAGTGGGAAAAGTTGCCACAGCTATTACTAAACGTTATTTTGCCCTAACCGTGGGTGGCCGTGCTCCAGACAACCCCTTTTATCAAGGAGTAATAAACTGTCACCTTGCTCACAGATGACCACACACAAACACACACAGTCCAAGCCTGGTCCTGTGCTTTAAAACATCCGCTATACAGTGGTACCTTGGGTTACAGACGCTTCAGGTTACAGACGCTGCAGGTTACAGACTCCGCTAACCCAGAAATAATACCTCAGGTTAAGAACTTTGCTTCAGAATGAGAACAGAAATCGCACAGCAGCAGGAGGCCCCATTTGCTAAAGTGGTACTTCAGGTTAAGAACAGTTTCAGGTTAAGAACAGACTTCCAGAACAAATTAACCCGAGGTACCACTGTATCTGCAGGGCTGAGTATGTACAGCTTTTCATAGCACTGAGAGAAACAGTATCTCTTGCTCCATGTCTGCAGAGCGAGCCGCTGCTACAGGCAGAGGAGCAGGGACTGGGGGGGAAAGTTGGCAACCTGATGTACAAGCGTGTGGGGAGCTGGTTCTCGGTAGCGCCGCTCCAGAACTTTGTCATGTGCCGGCTCTTCTGTATGTTAACGGGGACATAGTAAAGTTTTTTTTTACCGTTTTGGAAAGGGCTAAGGACAAGCATTTCTCCAGATACAAGGTAAAAAGGTAAAGGACCCTTGGTTAAGTCCAGTCAAGGGCAACTATGGGGTGCGGCATTCATCTCGCTTTCAGGCTGAGGGAGCTGGTGTTTGTCCACAGACAGCTTTCCAGGTCATGTGGCCAGCATGACTAAACCGCTTCTGGCGCATGGAGGACCATGACAGAAACCAGAGCGCACAGAAACGCCATTTACCTTCCTGCCGCAGCGGTACCTATTTATCTACTTGCATTTGACATGCTTTCTAACTGCTAGGTTGGCAGGAGCTGGGACAGAGCAACGGGAGCTCACCCCATTGCGGGGATTCGAACCGCCGACCTTCTGATCGGCAAGCCCAAGAGGCTCAGTGATTTAGACCACAGCCACAGATACAAACACTGCGCTAAGTTACTGATAGGTGTAGCATCGTCTGTATTGACCTGGTGCATTAGCAAGGACTTAATAGAATGAGGATGTGCTGTCAAAGCCAATTTTCACTGTCCAGATTCAGCCCTGGAAGATGTGAATTGATAGTGCTCAAGAGGAGCATCAAACATTAGCCGAGTTTATTGTCTTCCTTACTAAAACCTGCTTCACTTATTTCAGAAAATCCAGGGATATGTTATGCAATGCAGGGTGGCAAGGGCAGCTTACTGCATGTAAAATGTAAGGTGTGCATTTGGCCAATCCTCTGAGATAGAAAGTCTATGGGGACCGTGGTGCACCCAGTTCAGACTTTACAGTGCATGCATAGCAGGGAGGCTGTATCCCACCATGCATGCAATATTCCTAGCTCCAAGAGGTATGTCAACCAGATGTAAGTAACCCATAGTCCAACCTACACATTGGTGGGATTAGAAAATAGGGCTTTGAGAAAACGGAAGTTCCAGTTTCCAGTTACTCCAGAGCCTCTCTTTTTAGAAATTAAGCTCCAGTCTTAAAAGATGCTGTACAAACCACAGATTGGTGGGGTTTGAAATCTACTTTAGATGAGTGTGATTGGGGGGTTGACCACTAAGTAGAGAGGAAGGGGAGAAAGATGTGTCGGGAAGCAGGAAAAGTGGGAATAAGGGGGGGAGGAGCATGGAATGACCACTTCATTTGTGTGAGACATCGTCAGCTACTTGCCAACGTTGCACTTTTCTGCAATGACTTGGTTCCTGGTTTGTGGCAAACTGCCCTGGATTGCATGTGCCAGAGGTTCATAGAATCATAGAATTGTAGAGTTGGAAGGCTGCCAAACTTTGGTCTGCAAGCTTCCATTCCATTCCTTGGAAAGGCTATTGAACAGTAAAGAATATCTGTATTTGACACTGCACTTAATTCGTTTTTTTCCTGATGACAGAGATCAAGGCTGTTTTGACCAGGGTAGCAAAAAAGGCTAACAAGGTTTTGGCAAAGGGGCCATGATTTTCATAATATGGCACTGATGCAGTCAAATTTTTCCTTTTAAAAAAATTTCCCTTAAAAATTCACCAGGTAAGTGTAATTTTGCTGAACCTGACCTGAGAAACTTTATACTGAACTTCACAGAACTTTGCTCCCCCAAATAGGCACATCAATCACATATTAAAGTATGTGTATGTGCTTTGATCTGTCATATTCCCCCAAAAGTTTACTAACTGTTGCAACGAACTCTCCAGCAATTTTCAAGTGGCCATCCTCCCATTAAAAAAAAGAATTGATAGTGGGGTTGCGGATCTCCTTTCAGCACAGGGTTGAACTTAAATGATTCTCCTGTGGTCCCATGAATAATTGCAATGACAGGAGATCTGTGGCTCTCAGAACTGTCATGGGAAAAAATAATCTTGCCCCCGAGACAGAAGTCCTACGATTTATTTGTCCCTTTGTGATCCTATGACTCATATAAAGCCGCAAAGCAAACCAGTCAATCTTGAATGTGTTTTTCAAACATGATAACTGCTAGAGTTAAACATTCAGACCTTTGTGCAGCTAGATTGGATTAAAAAATGCTTGTGCAGGAAAAAACGTGCAATGGTTGGCTGGCGTGTTTGGTGTCCGAAAAGTGATCTGTAAGCAGGGCGGTCCACCGCTCAAAATGAGGTCTTGAAGAGGGGTTTGAAGGGAACTGAAGCAGAAACTGACGGCAGGAGCCCTATGTGGCATGTAATCCACTGGGAGCAGTCAAATACAACATTCCTTGTTTTGCTAGAGTGGGCATGCAAGGGAATGTTTGGTCCAGCCAGTCGAAACTTCCTGTTCCTCCTGGCCTGGAGCATCCTTCCTCTTGCATGTGACCAGTGGTGGGCGTGACCTTTCCAGACCTGGTAAAAGGCCAAGTCACGCAGCCACCTCCCTCTCTTCAATCGTTTTCGTCTTGCAAGCTTCCTGATTCACCTGGACTGTACTGCTGGCTGCCAACAAGCAGTCCCCCAGGTTATCTCCCATGTCGGGTAAACCTGTTTGTACATGTTTGTAACTTTAAGCCTAAAGTCTGCCTTCAGGGATCACACTGTGCTATGCCTGATCATGAGTAAAACTACATTTTTTTGCTTATGAATAAGACTGTTGTGTCTTTATTCTTTTAGGAGGGATCAAAGGGGTCTTACCTGGAATAATAGAACATATCTCAATCTGGGCAAGCTGGATTTAATTGTTGATTGTCTTAAGAGGCTCACACGAGCCTGCAACCAGTTTTCTGCTGCGTAAGAAGGGGAATGCACTCTGCTAAGGGAAGAAGCTTGCTAGCGCAAGTTAGGAAGGATAATAATAATCAGTATATCCTCTCCTGCCACCCTCAACATTCCCACAACCATCCCAGGCACAAGGTGGGTAATAAGACAAGAGTGGGAGAAGGGAAGACAAAGAGGGACTGATGAGCTGGTTTGGGGGCAGAGGAATGTGATATCTAAGGTATGGGGAAGGGGTAGGGTCTAGGGGAGGAAAGGTAGAGAAATATATATAACAGAAAACCTGGAATAAACCCAAACTATCTGGGTCAAACAGCGACAGCTGGCAAGGAGGGTGCCACAGGGAAGGACAGCTGCCATCCATCCATGACCTGCACACACACACACAGAGGAAGAGAGTGTGTGTGTGAAGCCTTCTATTTCCAATATGTTGGCAATTCTATGGCGATCACCCTGGGAAACCTATTTGTTCCTCTCATACCCATCTCACAGAGGCTGGAGCCCGTTTTTCACAAATGTCGCAAGTGTCATGTCTTCCCCCGCTGCCTTTTCTCCCTTCTGTGTGGCGTAAAAGAGCATTGCGTATCGTTACAAAACAAACAAACCCAGAACGCAGCAATTTTGGCAACACTTTTGTTGAGTATTATTATTTGTGACTTGTGACTTTTACCCTTGGTAGTTAATGTTTACTAGAGCCAACGGCATACATTGTGTCCTGCAGGGTTACACAAGGAAAAAATGCCAGGGTGTTCGACTGTGGGGATCTCTCAAGGACCCCCCCACACACCACTACCACCACTACAGTCATAACATTTGAGAGTGGGGAAGACAAAGGAAAGGGAAGAAAATTAAGGTGTGTGTAGAGGGGTGTGTGAATGTGATTGATCCAGTTGTATCTACTTAGGCTGAGTTACGGGTGATGAGGGTTGGGTTTAAGAGGTTGAGCTAGAGAGGCTTTGTTGAAAGGCTAAAGAGGGATCTGAAGAAATAGTTATGTCCTCACAAACATAATTGAAGAAGATCGTGCTCGTGCTCTGGTCCATGGGGTCACGAAGAGTCGGACACGACTAAATGACTAAACAACAACAAATTCTGGACAGCAAGGGAGACTGAGGCAGAGCAAAAAGAGCACGAGACTGTCAAACAGTTGAGGGCGGTACAGTTTCAGAATCCAAAACACAGTCCTCAGGCCCGATCTGGCCCTCCTAGCAATTCATCATGTTGGACCCCAAATAATTTGACTGTGGAAACAAGGTACCATGGAGAAACCATGGGCAATGCAGATTTGAGCGCTCAGGAGGGAGTGCTTCAATGCATCGTGGGTTCTGGCAATGACCAAGTGCAGTGGTACCTTGGTTCCCAAACGGCTTGGCACCCGAACAAATCAGCTCCCGAATGTCACAAACCCGGAAGTAAGTGTTCTGGTTTGCAAACGTTTTTCAGAAGCCGAACGTCCGACATGGCTTCCGATTGAGTGCAGGAAGCTCCTGCAGCCAATCGGAAGTCGCGCCTTGGTTTTTGAACCATAGGGAGTCAAACGGACTCTTGGAATGGATTAAGTTCGAGAACCAAGGTACCACTGTACTCAGGAAACACTGGGGCAGATTGGAGTACTTCCTGTTTCCTGGCTGCTGGGACTGAACCTGTGACTTGTCTGCATGCAAGACGGATGCTCTACCATTGAGCCACAGCCAATATCCAAATATAATGCTGCATGTAAACAATGGGTAAGAAAGAAATTCCAGTAATTTAGCTGATTAATTGGTAGGATTAATAATTAAAAACAGTTTGATAAAAAGGTGTCCCCAATTAATCAGGCAGATTTTGAAATAATTAGCCATTATTTCATTAGTACATAAATGCTGAGTATGTGTCGTCTTTGAAAAGCCACCAGTCTCCCTCTCCCATTGCAGGTGGAGATATGTCTTCTAAAATAGTGCATTTTAAAAACAGAAATAATACATTTACTTCAGGACTGCTGCTTTTATGTTGATGCAAATTTAATTGATTGATTAATCAATATGCAAAATTGATTGATTGACTACAACTCATATATATAGCTGTATACATGTTGCAAACTTGTGATTAGAGTTAATCATGTACTGAGTAATACTATATATGTGTAGTCCAAAGTAAGACATATTGAATTAAATGGAGTTTGCTTCCAGGTAAATGGGTCTAGGACTGCACCTTAGATTTATGTAATCTGGGAGGGTGGGAGACCTTAAAAGTGGGGTCGGCCATGTGGCACTCTTCAGATGTTGCAGGACTACAACCCCCATCATCCCTGACTATTGGTCGTGCTCGCTGTGGTTGCTGGGAGCTGGAGTCCGTCAAACATCTGGAGGGCCCCAGGGTGACTTAAAAAGTACAGTGGTACCTTGGGTTAAGAACTTAATTCGTTCTGGAGGACCATTCTTAACCTGAAACTGTTCTTAACCTGAGGTACCACGTTAGCTAATGGGGCCTCCCACAGCCGCCGCGCCGCCGCACAATTTCTGTTCTCATCCTGAAGCAAAATTCTTAACTATTTCTGGGTTAGTGGAGTCTGTAACCTGAAGCATCTGTAACCCAAGGTACCACTGTACTCCTAAGTAGAAGGGTATGTATTTTATTTAGAACATTTTAACACACCTTTTCTCTCAGAAATATAAAATGACTTATGATAAACAATGCACAATACAGTGCAAATTAAATGTTTCTACTGTAAATGAACAACATGATTGACTTCTCACAGTATACTTTATGTATTCTTTCTTTCTTTCTTTCTTTCTTTCTTTCTTTCTTTCCCTCTCTCTCTCTTGCTGGATTTCACAGTTCAAACAACCAAACTGAACAAAAGTTGCTGTTCAGCACAGCAAGGGCAGAAATTCAGAGTTAACACCATGTTCGGCCCTCACTCTTTTACCACCTGTTGGAGCCACTCCTTGAAAGAGCCCTGCTCCACCCATTTAACAGCCTCGTTTTATTTGTTTGTTTGTTAATCAGATTTATAGACTGGCCTTCATTGAAATATCTCAGGCCGGTTCCCAAGATCAAAACACAAGGTGCAAAAGTACAGATAAATAGTTAAAACACAAACAGCAGAACAATAACTGCCCTCCCTCCTCCCACAAACCCATTTAAGAGGCTGTAGAATATGAAGCAGCCCAAGGCCTGACTGAAGAGGAACGTTTTTGCCTGGTACCCTAAAATATATATATAATGAACCTGTGATCCCTTGCGGCTCTTGTGGTTTCTCACAACCTCCAGCAACGGGGAACAGGCCTGGCTTCAGGTTTGGGCGCCTCCCTCCACCTCACCCTGTTTGCAGCTATAATAGAATTGCACCAAGCAGCTGTCCTCTTAATTGGGTCTAGCCAGCCTTCCAATTTCCCAGGCTGCCTTGGAGCAGGGGCTGGGAACTGTTGGCCCTCTGGATGTTCCCGGAGCACAAATCCTACTCACCCCACACACCCCCTCAGCATTGGCCAGGCTCACTGGGGCCAGAGTTTCCGGAGGCTCACAGATTTCCCCACCCCTGCCTTAGAGAGATCGGGGGAGGCGGGGGCATTTTGAGAAAGCAAAAGGTGGCTGGATCCAGCCTCTCTTGGTGCTGCTCAGAATGCTGGGACGGCGGGGGGGGGGGGGGAATGAAATCAAGGGAAGGCCAAGGCGGGCTTTAGCATGGGGGCCCTGGCAGCTGCCCAAGGATGCCAGGTGCTCGCGCCAACCTTGTATGTGGAAGATCTGCTTCAATAGCTGGGTTTGAGATTAGGGCACATAGTTTACAAATTCCTAGTTATGGACTATTTCTCTCTCTCCTCCACCCCCAGTTCTCTCTCTCTTCACCCCAAGGAAAGGTAGGATCTTCCTAGACGTGGGGGTCAGCTCAACCTGCCTTTGTGATCCACGTCTGTGTGCTTGTGTGTGTTTGTGCCTGCCAATTTATTAGCGTTATTCCAACATTGTGATGCAGCAGGAGTAAGGGAAGCAGATGCTCCTTGGTTGTAGTCTTTATTGTTACCTAGAGACAAGCTACTGGCGTTTTCCCAGCCTCTCTCCCCCCCACCCGCCCACCCCGCCGCACACTTCTCTAACTCAGTTCCCTCTGCATTCTGCAAAAGAGAGAGAGAGAGGGAGAAATTTATGGTATGCCCACACCATTTGTTTTAACTCCTTCCCGCTCAGATGGCAGAGAGGCAACCAACCAGGGTGTGATTGGTGCCAGGGCTCCCTAACAGGATCTGGGAGGGGGGGGAGGGGTTTGCTTCCAAGACTCAAGTGGCCGTGCAGGCCTGTGCGCCTGCCGCAGAACATGCACAAAGTGCCTTCTCATCTCTCGAAATAGAACTAGACAAATTCATGGAGAATCAATGGCTCCAGTTGGAGGCAGAAATGCTTCCATATATAGTGGTACCTCGGGTCACATATGCTTCAGGTTACAGACTCCGCTAACCCAGAAATAGTACCTCGGGTTAAGAACTTTGCTTCAGGATGAGAACAGAAATCGTGTTCTGGCAGCGCGGCGACAGCGGGAGGTCCCATTAGCTAAAGTGGTGCTTCAGGTTAAGAACAGTTTCAGGTTAAGAATGGACCACGAGAATGAATTAAGTACGTAACCCGAGGTACCACTGTATTAGTTGCTGGAAACCCCACAGGAGGAGAGAGGGCTCTTGTGCTCGAATCCTGCTTGTGGGTTTCCCACAGGCATCTAGTTGGCCTCTGTGAGAACAGGATGCTGGACTAGACGGGCCATTAGCTTCACCCAGCAGGGCTCTCCTTAGGTTTTATGAACTTGGGTAATTCAGAACTGAGTGTTCAGAATTCCTGTCTCAGCCTTAGACAAACTGCAATTTCTCAGCCCTGGTTGTTCCGTCTTCAATATGGGGATAATTAGGTAGAATGGGGTGGGGTGGGGTAGAGGTAGGGGCAGAGGAAGGGGGTGCAGCGGGTGCAGGCTGCCCTGGGTGTCACCGCTGAGGGGGGTGACAAAATGGTGGGTGGCACTCATCGCAGGGCCTGCAGCGCGCCTGAGCCACATGTCTCCCCCAGCTGTAGGGCGGCTGAGTGGGAGGACACAGGCAGACTCCAGAGGCCCTGCGGTGTGCCCGCCCTTGCCCCGCCCCTATGGGTGGCTCGCCCTGCCCCTAGCTTCCTCTGCCGCTGGGTAGAGGAGCTATATTTCAGTAGTACAACACACCCCTTGGCAAGAGGGGGAAAGTTCCAGGTTCATTCTGCAGCATTGTCCGTTAAAGGATCTGGAGAGACAAGAGACCTCTGCCCCAAACCTTGAAGAACCATCGGCAGACCAAGTAAAATAAGAACAGTCCCAGCTGGGTGAACGGTCTGATTCTGCATAAGGCAGCTTTGCAAGTTCACTACGAATCCATAGCAACGTCTCACAAGCCTGGAACTGGGGGCAGGGGGAGGTTTGGAAGTTTCCATGTAAACTTAAAACCAGCACCTGTTATGTTCAGGAATTACGGATGTAGTAAGTGGAACGCACTCATCGTCATCGTTTTGATGTTTCCACGGTACTGAAAGAAGCGCTTTGATCATAGGTTGCCCCTTATCCCCCAGTCCTGATTACAAAATGCCACCTACCTTGAGAGCTTAATTAGAGGAAGGTGTAGTATAAATAGAATGCCATTGTGCTTTGACATTTCAAAGAAGCCGTCATCTAAGGATAGTCCTCAAAGGTGTTTTCTGGATGCAGTAGTCTCACCGATGCACCTTGTGGCTGTTCCTTTGGCGCTCCCAAGGCAGACTCCAAAGGAAGGTAGCTCTCAGGGGTCCTGGAAGCCCATGCCCAGCTGGACAGGGAGGAGGGAGGAGACAAAGGAGTTTTCCTGGTTTTAGATCGCACACATTCTTCTCCAAAGAGCTCAAAGTGGCTTACTGGTGGGATCCAGAAGCCAGCAACAGTTCAGCACCTTTTGTTCCACCTTTTCAATGCCTACTGGAAACATTATTATTATTATTATTATTATTATTATTATTATTATTATCCTGTCAGGCTTATGTAGACAATTAAGAATACATCTTTCTATAATAGCAAGCTGCTCTCTGATTTTAAAATTTGTATTTGGTTTTTATCATGTGTGACAGTTGCTCTGGATATTGGTAAATAATTCTATTTATAAAAAGTAAAGGTAAAGGTAAAGGTAAAGAACTCCTGGCTGTGGCCCAGAGATAGAAATACAGTGGTGCCTCGCAAGACGAAATTAATCCGTTCCGCAAGAGTCTTCGTCTAGCGGTTTTTTCGTCTTGCGAAGCAAGCCCATTGATGGATTAGCGCTATTAGCGCTATCAGCTGTTTAGCGGCTATTAAAGGCTTAAAGGCTTAGGGGATTAGCTGCTAAAAGGCTATTAAAGGCTATTAAAGGCTTAGCAGATTAGATAAAGGGGGAAAAGCGAAAAAAATCTCAAGACTCATAAGGTATTTTCGTCTTGCGAAGCAAGCCCATAGGGGAATTCGTCCTGCGAAGCAACTTCAAAACGGAAAACCCTTTCGTCTAGCGGTTTTTCCGTCTTGCGAGGCATTCGTCTTGCGGGGCACCACTGTAAGATAAAGTTCCTACCAGAGAAGAATGGCAAGTTAAATTGATGGATTATGCTGAAATGGCTAAAATGACCAGAAGAATCAGAAATCAGGAAGACCAAAATTTTAATAAGGAATGGGAAAAATTTATAATGTATCTTTAAAACCATGGCAAACAGTTAAAATCGTTAGTAGGACTGGAAAAACACTTGTAGTTTAATGGTGGTTTTTGGACACAGTGGAGAGGTAAAAGATGTGCATTATTATAAAAGATGCAGGAGGAAATGATTAACAATAGGACCCACAAAGGGAAGGAGGGAAGTCCTGGAGATGCTTTGAAATCTTGTTTCTATGTTGTATGTTGAATATGTGACTGTAAAATTTTAATCTGTCAGGGATTCGAACCGCCGACCTTCTGGTTGGCAAGCCCAAGAGGCTCTGTGGTTTAGACCACAGCACCACCCGCTGTGGTGCTGTGGTCTAAATTTATAAATTGATATTTATAAATTGATATAGCAAACATCTGGACCACTATTGGCTCCCCACACATGAAATGGAATGATCCTGAGAGTATTTTGTGATTTCTCTGGGGGACTGGTGGTGCGCAAACTCACTGTGCACAGGGATGCCCGCTGTATAGCCCGCTAAAATCCTTAAACCAACCCGGCGTTTTGCTGTGCTCAAAGCTTATTGGATTTCGAGGGGTTCAAGCTGATGATGTTGTATGAGAAGTGACTCTGCCTGTATGTTTGCCATGGACCCATGTATACCCTTCTACGTCTTCCTTTTTAATAGGTTCTTACAAACATGCTAGAAGTCTCCTAGAATCCCTCTTCTCTGAAGACTGCACCATCCGTAGAAAGGTGAGTACACAGCAGGGCAACAGAATGCAAGGGCTGTTCCTTTGTTTCAGCACTTCCTGTCAAACAGAAGGGATGCCCTTTGATTTTAGATGCAGCCGAGCCGCAGGTTTCCTTCTGCCTTATGCTTAGGCCTAGTAACCCTTCCATTCACTCCAATTGCACAAATGGCATGCTTGCACACGCCGTTCCTGCCAGGGAGACCGATGACCCTTCCAGGTGTGTGTGGTTTTTTTTTTGGGGGGGGCACAACTCCCATCAGCCCCAGCCAGTATGGCTGGTGGTAAGAGATGATGGGAGCTGGAGTCCAGTAATATATGGAAGGTCTCATGTTTCCTATCCTTGATTTACACAATCCACATAGTTATAGCTCAAGCAAACAAGGTGTCTCATCCTGGAAGTTCCCGTCTGGTCCAAACTCAAATGAGTGTGTGTGTTTTTTGTGCGTGTAAAAAAATGGGTTAAAGTATTTGAAATGGCTCAAGCATAGCATGCCACCATCCAGTGTGGGATTTCTCACTGGAAATAGGTGCTGGGATTCAAGCCTAAGACTTCCCCCTGGAGATAATGCACTCTAGTCGTCCTAGCTGTGTTGGGGGCAGGCTGAGATCCCTCATGGGGGAATATATGTCCATTCCCCCCACCACCACCTCCTTGGCACACATAAGGAATTTTGGCTGGGTTCAAAATGCATTTGATGGTGCCTGCAATTGACCATGAAATAACAGCCACCTTCCTCTGAAGCCCATCTAGGGTTCACATCACATCTTAGAATTTGGTTCAATTCCTAGTAGGCCATTGGTGCCAATGGTAGGAGCGTGTTTAATAACGCGATGGCCAGTTTCTGTATTCTTTGAGGTCCTGCTCTCCTTTAGGTGATGGTTCAGAAGTGTAATTTGTTCATGCTTGCTATGAGTGGTCAATCTCAGAATAGGTATCAGCCTGGGGCATTGTTTGGAAAACTCAAAGAGATACGTAAGCTCTAAGGTTCAGAGTGACTCGTAAATAAATGTATAGTGTATTGATCCCAGCAGTGAGTCTTGGTCGGGTTTGGTCATTCTGATGGTCCCACTCTGACCTGCTCTCATCCTGATACTTCCAGGGCCTTTTGCAGAAATGTGGCCTTTTGCCTCCCCTCTTGCTGACTGCACACACTTTATTCTACATCAGCTCAGACAGTCTCAAGTACTGTACTTTCTGAGAGCACTGATA